GAAGATTGGGATGGGCTGCTAAAGCAGGGTGGCTTGAGGTAGTCTGGTGGACCGTTGCTTGTCAAAAAATTCACTACTCGTTAGATGAAGAGCGAACCTTGTACGTGGGCGAATAAACCCTAGTCTGATACCCTGGGAGCTGTTGGAGACCGGGGGGGCCAGGCGACACCAACCTCAAGAACCAGAAGGGTTACTCAGACATCGTCAGTTTGGTTCGCGTGCGACTGTGCTTCGTCGTTGCAGGAACAGAACATGTGACGCGGAGGCAGTGCTTAGTATACCGGCGATGACTGTAATCTAAGAAAAATGCAACCGAGTCGCACTCGTCTGGTTAGCTGATAGAAAGCTGGCGAAGATAAGAGAAGTGATTCCGATGGGTATTTAGGCGATTACACAGAGTACAGTTCTCACTGTCGTCCGTCGACTGTTCAGAGAAGCGACAGGTCATTGCACGCATGTATCAGGGTTGAGAGTCATACCCTATTGATTGGACGCGGCACGCGCGATAGAAAGGGGTGTGGCAGAATATCTTCACCCAGTTGCAGCTGTCTGCCGCTTTGTGGCGATGTTTTTGTCTGATCCAGTTGCTGTATCTGGGAAGCGGCCCGGCGTGCTGGAACCCCCATGGTAGCACTGCGCAGACACTGAGGGTACTCCATGGGCTCTATGTGTGTGTGTGTGTGTGTGTGTGTGTGTGTGTGTGTGTGTGGCGTGTGTGTTCCTGCAAGTCGGTTCACAGAGACGCTAACAAGCCAGGGACTGCCCTGGCTGCTTACACCACTATGTACAGCCTGTAGGTCACGCAGAAGGTTGAGCAGATGTTGCTCAGAAATGCGCCCAGCAGATTGGTTGGGATGATATGCTGTAGTAGTGAAATCTGAGGGGCGGCATTTGGCATACAGGGATAATCGTGGTAGTTTTTGGTTTGATCTCTCTCTGTTGCACAACGGTCATAATTAGCATCAACTTGGTACTCAGAAGATAACAAGTAGCAGCGGCAACAAAGTCCACAGACTGAGCCGCGAGGCATGTGGCGGAAGAAAAGATACCGAAGGAGACGTAAGACCAGGGCAGAAGAGAATAATGGTATGCGCAATGACGGGCTCAATATTGGGTAATGAATCGATGTACACGTAGTGTCGTGCACTTCCAGCACCCACATCGTTGGTGGGCGCCAATCTGCCGGCGCATGTCCCGCAGCGTCCGACATCCACCCCGCTAACCAGCGGCTTATTTTTATTAATTTTTTTTATTTCTTTTCTTCTTCCATGTATTCGAGTGAATCGTCCAAGATAATGGTGTGGGTAGCGCGGGTTGACTCAGACCCAAGCATCAGGGGGGGGGGGGGGGGGGGGGGGGGGAATGCCGCTAGGGCTAAGGGTAGGTAGGGGCCTCGGGGGCTGAGATGGGCCCATCTGGAGTTGCGACTTGCGAGAGAAACAGCGACTCAAATGGTGGCATGCCGGGTAGGCCTGAATCGCAATCGCCTGAAGATTTCCGTTCCAAAAATGGATAGGATATGTTTCAGTGAAGCACGACTGGCACTCGGCTGGCCTTTCTATTGTTTCGTCTCAAGACCCGAGGAAAGAAGGATGAGTCGTCCCAGGGATGCTACACACGCTTGTGATGCTCCTGTTGTTGATTGACATGCGACGAGACACGATGGCGATTGAGAGAAAGAAGGTCGGCTGACGCGATAAACTTTATACGGAGGCTTTTATTATCCATTTTGCATTTTGTTTTTGATTGATTTTTTTTTTCGGGCCCTTCCCGTCTCTCCAGATTGATAAGGTGACGCCGAAATGAGCAGGAGATGGGGTTTCCGCAGTGGAAACACAGAAAATAAACCAACAAGTATGGCAGGTATCTCAGATGTTGACAAAATCGCAAAGGATATAACTGTAGGTGGCGGTCGTTGAAGTTGAAAGTGACGTTGGTTTGATATTGCAGGGAATGTACGGGGGGTGGACGGGAAGGCAGGGCATGGAGGGGGGAGGGAATGTAAGGCAGGCAAGGGCAAGACTGATCGTGGACGGCCAGGGTTGGAAAGTCGCGATGGAACTGGAACACGCCCACTGCACGTGGACACGTGCTTGTCGACAAGGGTTCAAGAAGAGGCAAGAAGTAAGAAAACCTCTTTCCCTTTCTTACATCGACCAGTCTGGGTGGGATGGGCAAGAACGACCAGGCTCACACGCGACAATAGGCAGGCACGAGCTAGTTCACCACCTTCTTCACCTCACCTTGCTTGCAGTATAACATACTATGCAGTCTTCCTAGGCAAAGGGTAGTAGGTAGCCCTTGCAGCGTACTCACTCTTTTTCAACCTTGACATTTGCCAGGATCATGCATTGTCATCAAGCAAACTACAGTAAGCCGCTCAAGTTGACAGCAATGCATGCATCTTGTCTAGTATTAAGTTGGAAAACGCCTCCTCGACTCTTATTGGGACTTTGGACAGCACTAGAATGTGCCTTGCCTCGCACCCACGAGCTTCACATGGCAGGAATAGCCGGCAAAGTACCACATTGCGTAGACATGCAGGTAATGAATGCAAAGACATCAGATGTGTCGCAACAAATTGGATGGGTTTGATTGATTGAGCATGGCCGCATCTGCCGCCATAGTCTGTCTGAGATACCATAGCTGCCGGCCCTGTCTCTGCGGTGCTATTCCGTCGTATCTGGGGCTTGGGCTTGTTACCCGTATCTAAATCGATATGCATCTCCCATCCGTATTTAGTTATGCCGAGGCAAGTGCCATGGCGCGCTGAATGCCAGCTCTGCGACTCTAATGCGAGGTCGCTATTCATCACCTGTCACACTCTGTCATCATGATGAGGTACGCAAAACCGATCAGTCATTGTCCATCGGTGGCCGCTTGGCTAGGCTAGGGATGCGTGCTTGACCTATTCCACACCGCCAACCAACCCAACTTCTTCAAAGCTGCAACGGTCGACGGTTCTTGAGCGATGCGATGCGATGCGATGCGGGAGACAAGGATAACGGCACCGTCAAGTTGGGCCTGATGGGACAGCAACACCAGGGAAGTGCCAGGGGGGAAGGATGATGGATGGAATGGAATGGTGGAAGGCTTTAGGAGCGGGAACTGGGTAGGAGGACCTGGGGCCTGGTGGGAGGCCACGGGAAGCCAAGGACCATGGGGGACGCCGTAGACCAGGTGGCAGTATGGGAAGGGATGGGGGGGGTGGGTGTGCGAATGTGTGTGTGTATGCTACTAGGTCCCACAGACAGAGAATCCAACAAGCTGCTGCGGCCCAGCCTCCCGGCCCTGGCATGCGCGCCAGTCGGGAAGCGCAAGGGCTGGTACTGGGGGGGTGAGGTGGTGGGGTGGTAGGGAGGGAGGGAGGGCTTCATAGTAATCGTGCTAGGGGGAGGCGAGGGTTGCCAGCGAGGACAAGGGCCAAAGGCGGCATGCCTTGTCCTGCTAGTCCAGAGTGCGGTTAGTTTAGCCAGATAAACGGCAGCTCTCCCATGGTGCTGGAGGAGACCCTTGCGTAGATACCTTGCTTGTGGCTTGCTGTGTTGCTGAATGCTGGCCAACCCGAGGCAATGTGCCTTACATTGAGATTAAGGTACGGTGTACCAGGGTGCCTCAAGCAGCAGTCCTCAACAGCCCCAAGATGTATAACTTGTATCTGATAGATGTTTCCTCAAGAATCGTATAAGGCAGCGCTTTGTGTTTGGTAGTGGGCTCGTCTTGTTTTGAGCTAATAAGGACCTGAAAATGGGACGAGCTAAATACCCGTTTCGGCCGTTCTTTTCTTCTTCTTTCTCTGATGACCCGCTGGCCAAGGGGTCTTGGGAGGGCAAGGACTGGGCTTCGGTGCAAGTCTAACGGTTCGTGAGCCGGTTCGAAAAGTGACAGGAGGTGGCGGGGCGGTCTAACTGGCCTAGCTCGCTGCAGCCCCGGAGGACCAAGGGCCCAGGTAATCTATTTCTCGTAACCCAGACACTTCGGTAGGACTCTTTGTGGTAGCAAACACCAACCGCCGGGTCTCAGATGGTTTTCCTGACTGGCGGTAGCAAACATGGCCTGCACGCGAAGCTGGAGCTTGCTGCTAAGCGACACTTTAGCGCTGCGTTAGCGACGGAAAACGCCGTTGTGGGCCGCCAACTGAGGTACCTGATATACATAGTATTCGTCGAGTCTGGTCAGCACCGCCCCCACCTCCCTCAAGTATCTTCCCAATATCTGTACCTCTGAACAGGACATCTTGCCTTAGGCCAAAAGCCTCAGTTAGATGATTGTTGTAAAGTATCTATCCTTGCGTGATATGATACCGTAATGCGAATACTTTGAAGCAGAGCAACAATAGCGCATGCGTCACGTTCACGCAGAGAAGCGAGCTGAGAATCCTTCCATTTTCAGATCGTCGGTTGACGTGACTATTCCAGCTAACGCCACAGCACAACGTCAACTTCAGTGGCGGATACTGGTAAATTTTGTCAAAGAATGACCCGTCCCCCGTCCAATGATGGCGTGTATATGTGACTTAAGACCTGGCACCTGTCTGAGGAATTCGTCAGGCGGCGGAAAACCGCCAACGGCTATGGCCCAGACAAACCTTGGGAATACGGGGCCCGGTCGTTTAGGGCGGATTGTGCAAACTATACGCTGTATAGTCTCTATCCTTTGTATCCGTATTATGCCGACTATCACGTCAACCCAAGGCACATCTTAAAATGAGAACCTTGGGTGCCTTAGGGGACCGTCGCGTGCCTTCGGCCGTGCTCTCGATTCGGTCAAGGTCTGCTTCTCGAAGCGGTGGGCGAGTCGTGGGAAACGGAAAAGACTGCACTTCGGGTAAGGAGCGACTCCTTCGCCCACTCACGTTGGGGGCCATCATTATCAAACCGGGCAGCTTCCCCGTTCGTAATGGAGGCTGCTCATCCATAGGCTCAACTCTAGACCGCCAGCCAAGCTGGACGTACGCAATGCCGTCTAGCTATCGATTTTGGTCATGCCGTTGACGGAACCTAATCACCGCCACGCAGATGTAGCTGTGCAAGCCATGTCACACTCAAATTGACGTCCGCCGTCAAGCTAGCAAAGTGACGTTGTAGGCGGGCAAGAGTCAAAGCCAACCAACCCCTGTTTTCCCGCCTACTGTTAGACACGGCCTTGCTATAATGAACAATCATTGTAGGCGCGCCATGTAGGAACGTGTCTTTAGGACTTTGGTATTCGCATATCTTCGCCCTAAGGTTTTGGTTTGGGTAAGGGGCGTGCTGCGGGTGGTTGGCGGTGTAGAGGTCCCCGAGGCGAGAAGGAGTGGCGCCGGCGACAGAGACATCGCCCTCGGGCAAGTTCAACGTGCTGTGGGCGATGGCAAGCAAGAAAGCGCATGTCATCCCGTCGCAGTGATTCATAATCGGCCTAACACGGCCGGCCGTGTGGGTGTGCATCTCCCTGCCTCCCTTTGACGAGTACCTTCGTAGCTATGCACTAGGTACCGTGTCGATGCAACGGTACGTACAAACTCGTAATCAGAACGCCTTAATGTGGTTGTTGGTTACATCGAGGAGGCGGTTCTTTGTACGCCTCCTCCTGTCATTCCTCTGAAAGCTGATTCAATCCACACCAAGCAATTCTAAAAAAGACTTTGCTTGCCGCTGGTGTTCCTGGCACTTGCTTGATACGGGGGCTATTTTTAATCCTCCCGAGTCGTGGTGTTCAGCCAGATAGTATGACCAGACCTATGACCAAACATATTCTTGCTTTGCACGCCAAACTAAGGGGTGGCGGCGGAGGCGAGTGTCTCTCTTTTTCTCTCTGTCTTTTTTATTTTCCTCTTTCTTTCGTGTCCAGGCGATGCTGTAAGCCACGGAAGGGGGGAAAAAAGCAAAGACATCTTTTTTGTCCAAAGTGTTGCATGCGTGCCGCGCCGCGGAAGTCGTCCGGTAAAGTACGAGGAGACCCAGTCGGGATGACAGTGGGTGCGGGAATGGAAAAGCGAGAGAGTAAGTCACAAACGTCACATTCTCGTCTCCTGCCACCTTCGGAGCTGGGTCCTCGCAAAACTTGACGCGCCATTGGTGCTTTTTTGCGACCGAGCTGAGGGCTCAGACTTTCCCCGTCACCCCCATCTTTTCTTTTCCTTCTCCGCCTTCCCTCACGCAGCAGCGGAGTCATAGAATGGCACTAGATTAGGATGAGTGACGTGATAGGATCGACTGAAGCGGTCGACAGTGAGAGGGAAAAATAAAAAAAGAAAAGGAAGAATCGAAGCGATAGTGCAGGCTCCTTGGAAGGCACTACAGGTGTAAGTACGTCTGGTGTCTGCTAGTGTAATAGCGAAGGATGCACATTGGACAGTACACTACGTAGTGGCAGTACAATGGTGAATGTACATTCCTTGCTATGCGGTGTGTAGGGTCCCTAGACCAGACACGGCTTACATAATTGAGTCAGTGATTTTCTCCACCATGGCTCTGTGGCTGGACTCTTCAGGCACCACCAGTACCTGATACTTCCTTCCACTGAACGGGGTAAGTAGTCTATCCAATCCAACTCCCGTCAGTCTTGAGTTGCAGTTGAAGAGTCCAAATCAGAATATTATGGTGCGTGGTTTTTTCCTGACTTACTCTGGCTCTGCCGGCTACTTTTCCCTTTTCCTCCCACCCCCTTCCAATATCTTCCGTCTTTGTGAAGCTGTCACGGTTTCACGAGACACTAAATGTGACGGTAGGGCGACCATACAATGTTTTGTCTCGTGTGATATCAATCATCACAGCCCGACTACACCCTGCCAGGTCTCGCAAAACACAACGATACGAAAGGACGGACACTGCTTAACGAGCCATTGCTGCGATCTTATTATACCCATTCTCAGCCGCGAACAGGTTTTGGCCTCAATCTATCTACCCTCGTTTCGGCGATTCTCACACGAATGAGTCAACTAACCAGCTTACCTGAAGCCATGTCTTCACGCATCGGCGTCATACCTCGCCCTGCTAAGCAAGCCCCTTGTCAGCAACCATCAAACCCGCGCCCCCTTGTCTTTTGCTAGTCTCGGAGAATTTGCCGACCCGTGGATGGGTTGGCTCGTCACAGTCTTGACTTGGGACTGTTCATGATGAATTTCTAGTTGTCGATGTGCCACGAAAAAAGGACAGTGTGGCCTAGGCCATAACACTATCGAAAGATCCCGGCCTCCACCACTTAAGCCTTGACATATCCCCTGCATCTCTCCCCAGAGAGCTCAGGGAGTAGATGCCCATGAACTGTATCACTCCAGATCTAGAGTTTCATAGCCGCGGAGAACAGACATTGTGTACGGGTACGCATGCAAGCGGCACCACACGGACTTGAGCCTTGATTCAAATACTCAGCAGAGGATAGTCTGTTTAGGGACTCTAGTGTCACAGGCCCAGTTAGCGAGCTCCTTCAATTGCGCACGCCTTGGAAACCATCAAGTTCGTGGTTGCATAGGAAATTAGCAAATGACGTCGAGACAGCAACGAGTTCCAGCTTCGCGCCATTCTCTCCTAGCGGCCGAAGGAGGAAATCATAGTCGTCTAACGCGAAGTTGTTGGTCTCCGCCTTTACAGTTGACCTATACATTACCAAGGCGTCAGGTACCGAGTACATCAGCTGCAATTTCTTCACCAAACTCCCAATGAGCGCCACAGGGCCGTTTGAATGGCACGAATGTCACCCCTTAGACAGTCGGTCAGGGACTGTCTACTAGCGCCCCATCCGTCACCGCAAAATGGCTGCATGGTGCGAAACCATTCTGCCCACCGCGACCTTCCTGGAAATACGCAGCAGGGGGGGTGAAGCGGACCAAGCTGCGGGCGTGGCTGCCGCGGGTGGGCGTCGCCGGCATGGGCTATCCGTTTGGACGGTGAAGAGGGAGTACTGGCTAGACTAGGGGCTGTCCTCATTGACAGCCCAGAGAAACCTGGCAGACCCCGCGAAGCTTGAACAAACGGGTCTCAGGACGAACTGCTGCTTCCCAACGACTGAGCTAAAACACACGACTATCAAGACGGCCACGATATCGCTGAGATTTTGGTGTCGAAATGGCCTGCGTTGCAAGCTAGAACAAAACTGCTGCAAGTTGCCCGGGTGTCTATTTGGGAGCTCATCAAAATTGACTCAAAATCCAGCCGTCAACTACCCTGAAAACCTACTCGCTCACAGGGCGTCCGGGCCCAAGTTATTCAAGCCCTGACCGTTCGCCGGCAATTGGGGGGGGGCTGTTCTCTCAGGCTCAATCTCCACGGTCGGCAAAACTGGGCGTGTTAGCGACCATATTCGAGGTGAAATCACGGTTGAATCGTGATCTTGAGTGCCTTGGACGACGCCGTTGTCTGTGCAATTTCCATAACCAAAATGGTCACGGCAACGCCGTAAGGAACAATATTGCAGGAAGCAAGGCGATGCCGCTAGCGTCACGAGCGGGCGTTCGGATTACCACGCAACGCAGTCACAGTACCATTCAAGCCCATTAGAAGGCCCCACAGCAACGCAGCAACTGTGAGGTCTGGCGTCCCCCCTGTCAATGACCCGCGAGACACCACAGAATCAGCCTGCCGCGGTACTTTGATCAACGATAAGTCATCTGTGCGTCTTTCTGCACAAACCCTCCCCTCTTCAATCCTCTCTCCCTTGGGAGATAGACATGGATATTCCCTTCACACAAACAGCCAAAGCTGCCAACGCCAGCAACGGTTTCTGCAGCGCCATCTCTGCCACGTTGTCTGTCAACCTCGCGGGAGCTCCATCGGTCAATGCCATGAACAGTGGCTAGCCCGGCTAGCAAGTATTGCCTCTTTCGGCACAGTCGGGTTCAGCAAAAGATCGCTGCGATGAGGTGCTGTTGAGCTGCTCAACCTCCACACATTGTTTGCGCCCAACTCACTGGACAGGAGTTGTGCCGGTTGACGCGTTGACTGTGGATTCAATGGAACCCTGGGTGGGGTCATCTGTCGGCAAAGAAGAACCATGAACTTTTGTGGTCCCTCTCAATCTCATTTCGTCGAGGTGGAGTCTCTGCACATTCGGAAACTTAAGCATGTCAGTGCGTCCGCATTGCAGGCACAACCAGACCTCACCAGGTTGCTGGTCAGGGGGGAGATGGAAGGGTAGGTGAGCGGAGACGTCCGACTGCCTGCCCTTGTCCCCGTTCCCCAAGGCACTCACTCCCGTTGCAGCCATCCACAGATGCGGCGGTACGGATACCCAAGCCAGCTTTGGACTGCGCGCCTCACATCCTTGCAAGCCACGCCATATTCAGACATCAGAAGACGTGACTTGAAGAATCGACCATTTTCCCCGTCATCGCTGAGGCTTGCTTCTACAACCAACTTCAGCTAATCATGGCAGTTGTTGCCTGAAGTTGGTTTCCCTCACGCTACTAAGTATTTCAACATCAGAATCCTTGGGGGGGGGGGGGGGGGGGCTCTTAAACTGGGTGCACAGCGCGAAGAAGTACGAAGAGACGGAGAGACGTTGCCAATCTCACAGACTAGGCTTTCCCTCCGCAACTGACAACCCCTGTTTCATGCATACAGATGCTTGAGAAGGCAATTGTGTACTTCACCAAACTTGAACTAGGTTTCCATAACTTCACACAAAGGAGCTTGGCTTTCAACTCCTGTATCTCTCGCTGAGCGTAACACCCGAGTGGCTTTATAAAGACGCGTGTTTGTTAATGAAACTTGAGTCTCCGCGTACGCTGATACCAAGGGTCGCATCTCAGCCTTACAGAAATCCTCTGTGGCCTCCTAACCGGGTCTACTATCGCCCTAGGCATGATCACATTGGCTGCAAGGTTGAAGTCGAGCAAATATGATACCCAGTCTTGAAAAATGATCTCCTCCAGGCATACTGCACGAAGTGGTAGCGTCGTGCGCCCCTGGCTACCAGTCAAGGTTTGGCCTGACAGATGGACGTTTGCAGCTGGGTTTCCATGTCACCTGGAAAGCTGTGACGGAGGGTCTCGCACATGGGCTGACAAGCATGACTGCGTTCCACCCAGACAGGTAGCAGCTAAGGGGTTCATTGGAACACCCACTAGGAACTACGATCACTCATTATAGTCGTGGTTACTTATCACAATTACAGGAACTGTTGTGAGCCGGAGACTCGAGATCGACGTTTCCAATTAACCATGAGACTGTTCTTGACAGATGATATTCCGCGCTTCAAACCTGAAAGCTGGCATGTGTCATATCAGAAAGTCAACCTCTGCGCTTTATGAACCAACATGCACACACATGCTACGACCAGGTGCTGTTGACAAATTTGTCCTAATGTATGTCAGCTCAGGCAACTAGACATAGACCGTTGAACAGGGACGGCTTGGTTGTCTCTGACAACTCTGCCCATTTTTGGCCTCCCCTGAACCTTGGAAACACAAAAACAGACGACTACTTCAGATGCCGGTCTGTCAGAAATGTCCTAAACATGATATGATCAACGACGCTTCGCTCGTCGTATCGCTCGACGCGGTTGTAGAGTTTGAGTCGCGTCGTCTATGGCCAGGGTCAGGTAGATCAGATCTAATCAGCCGGCCAGCCAGATGAGGATCTCGCCCATTTATATTACGCGACATCAACAGCAGTAGAGGGTTGGTTGCGTCAAATCTCGGTGAAAATCCTTTTGGCTAGTCTGAAGTTGTAATGCCTTCGCGGAAGTTGAGAAGCTGTCTGATATTGGATCAACGCCTCAATCATAGCCCTCCGGCCAAGCCAATCCCAATTTCGGGAGAGATTATATCACACGTGTACTCACGGAATGATAGCTCCGCGACAGTATGCATAGCTGACACGTAGCATACAAGCGTTAGCGATACCGAAGCCATGGATGCCTTCGAGTATGGGCTGGATACAGCCTCTGCTACCTTTGCCCGATTATTTCTCCGATATTTCCTCACTGATTACAAAGTCATAATGGCAGGTATTGGCGGTGTACGAAGCTACCACTCCTTCGTGACGAGACGGCGCGTGTGCTGCTGGCATTGGAGGCTGTTGGATGTCCAAAATTGAGCTGGATACATTTGGAACGAGCCTTTGGCTAGGCGCATCTTGACCACAGGAAGCATCTACGCCATCTCCAGGATCCGCTTAGTGAATATACAGATCACGTCAGTCTGACTTGGTTACCTTTGGGTCTCACTCATCGCTCATCACCAGGGGCATCATCCCATGGTCTGAAATTGGACATGTAACAACAAGGAAGCGCGGTACTTTCGTTCATGAGAAGAGAGCAGCCATGCCGTGATAGTGGGGGCCTTCCTACCGAACCACGGTCAGGTGGCGGAACCCTCCGGCGATCGCAACACAATGACGATGTAGAGACAGTCAAGATGGTTCTTCCGGAGTCCTGCGGTGTCCGCGGGACCTGGAAATTACCAGCCACAAGAATCAACCATCCGGGTCGCCAGAACAGTCCCGCCACGACCTCCTCATCTTGTCCATTCCAATGATGTGTTCTTTTCCACGGACTCAAAGAAAGTTTCGGATATGGTCCAGAAGCCCATCTTGGGCAAAAGCCGGAGGGCGCAGTTCACAGCCTCGTGACATGGTGCTAGAACTCTGCGAGTAGAAACCACAGGCCTCTCTCGCGCCAAGAAGCACAGATGCAATCAATCTCTTGGAGCAGACACTTGATCTTCAATTCCGATGGAGATGAAATGGATCCTCCTTGTGGAGAATCCACCGACGACTTCGAGCCACTAACGCACATGTCTCCTGACAACACGAAGGTAGCTCATTAAAACTGCTCGCTTCAGGTCACCGGATATGGTACTTTGGGGGCCCAGCTTACTCAGGAGTCCGGTAATTGGTCGTCCTGTCAGGATTCCAGAACCGCAACTTACTTCCAAAGGTTATGAACGCCCCTGCTGTTACTGTTAGCGAGTCGGCTGCAGAGTCCGCCTCCCCGCCTGCTTTAGCCGTGTTTGAAACTGCTCATGATGTTGTGCCTAAGGGCAGCATGGTAACGAGAACCGCAACGGCGACCAGCACGCTATAGAAATTCGGTCGGTTCTGGTTCTCCCTCTGGCAATCTGCCTGAGAAGCATCACAACGAAGAAGATATTCTGGAGTCGCTGGGCAGCTTAAGGTTGTGCTGCACAGGTGGAGAGAACGTGCTGCGTACAGTAGAGGTTGACCCTCGGTCAAGGGCCCTGGTTATCCCGAGTTGGTGGGAATATCCCAAGGCCCATCCTCCACCCAAGCTCGCCGCACTCCGCCGCCCGGGGGGCCGTCCCTCAACACGCCCAAGGTGCATGGGTGCCCGAAGCGGGTTAGAGGGAGACAAGGAAATGAAGTAAAAATCCTGGAACGTTACTGAGCTTCCCCTGCATGATACAGTGGTATTGGTGGCAAGCATTATTCCACTATATTTAGGCATACAGAGTGCGGTCACCGAAGATGGAGAGCCATTTTGGCTTGGCATGGATATCCATGCCGGTGCTGGGGGCCTGAGGTTGAGGACCACTCGTTCTCTTACCCCTACCACGTCCTTCTGTCTCTCTCCCCTGCAAACTTGACCGTTGGCATGGTCGGCGACCTGCCAGTCTTTCTCCACGTGGGGGTCCGCGTTTGATAGAAGCGTTTTCCCGGCCAAGGGGTTTCTTTTTAATGACCTTTCCATGCTGGGCTGTTCTCTGGGCGGTCGGGGGATGGGGGAGGGGGAGGGGGAGGGAGGGAAAAAGGTCGCCAATTCTGGGAGAAAGGATCATTGAAAGTGGGGTACATATTGATATTTAATACCAAATGGAAGAGTATTGAAACCACACTCGGTGGGCAGAAATCCCCTTTCGCGTGGGAATAATGTCGCATGGAAGGCGGATTGACATTTGATATATGTCGATGTTACGTGCGAGGTGCGAGGAGAAACCTTGTTTCTTTTTTTTTTTGGGGGGGGGGGCAGAAAGAGAGAGAAGACAGGAGAGAGGAAGGGGATTGAGAGTGAAAGTGGGCAGAAAAAAAAAGGGGTCTTTGGGGAGGAAGTCAGGTCCCCCCCCCATGAAAAGGGCGTGTTCGCGATTGTGGTTCTCGGGTGTGGAGCGACGCGTCTTGATGATGACCGGACGCGTCGCCGTCCAGACCTGGGGCATATCGGATGCCCACGACGATTTGGAGTTGGCGAATGTGGTTTCTTGGGAGTGTGCAGTGATGCCTCGTCGGTGTATGAGCTATCGTGTGTTGTTGTATATACGGTAAGTTGATGGCAGGTAGTTTAATATATCAGAAGCCGTGTCTGAGTTGATGAAGAATCGACTTGTATCTTGTGAGATGGTTTTGACAACAAGGTCTGGATTGCATTGAATAATAATACACTCTTGTGCTTTCAAAAAGTGCATGGGTTTGTTGTATAAGCTGGGAATAGACTCTGCTTAACTACGGCGGGACTCTCGTGTTTCTGACGCTAGGACGTGATGATGGTAGTATTGCTTGTCTTTGTAATCTGTAGAGCCGGGGGAACCATCTGGTCGTGAACAGGAATTGATGCCAGAAAGACAAACTTCTTGGTATCCGGTATTTATCAATATGCCAAAGGGAAATACTCGTTTCGATTTGATGGTCGTAGTGTACTGCTGCGTTCCTCGTTTCAACAGATGATGATCTCGGCTTATCAAAGGGACAAGACGGTCTATATAGCTTTTGGTTGAGGACGGCCGCCATTGGCTTCGACGTCGCCGTAGACACGCTGGATGTCTCTGAGGTAGCTGCCAACTACGAGTACTCGGAACGAGGGTGACGTGGGTTTGATGCGATGAGTCTTACCATGAACGGCATTGTCATGGACGCGAGTGATGATGACCGTATGAGTTTGATATCGGTGTGTTCAATGCTGAGGTGGTAGACTGGCTAGGAATGTTTGTGTTGGTTGAGGGTGACGAGGGGGACCCTCGTCACCGTTCACGTCTTAAAGTGTCGTGGGTGATGTTATATCTCTTGAGCCGACAGGCATATGCTCAGTCGCGGGATATACCACAACGTGCTTCCACTTGTAGTTTGTCATTGCTTTGTCCAACCAGTCTGGAACCACTCAAAAATATCCATGATGCTGGAAGTTGATGTATAGCCTGTTGTCCTCTCGATTTGAGAGCAGCTCCTGCTCACATTGTAAAGTTATGCCATTGGACGTCACCGCTGCTCAGCTACACAAGTAACAATCGAGGAACGTAGACAGCAAAGCAAAAGGCTGTGTCAATCATTACAAGGATGACCTGCGATATACTTCAATGTTTTCATTGTGAACACTTTAAAATATGCGTTCTTTTCTTCCGAGAACTTGGGAATGTCATTACTGCCACTTAACCGATATCTCAATGTTATTATTCACTTAGAACCAAGGCAACCTTCGCAGAGCAGCTTTGACTTGACTCGACATACACACAATTCTTTCTTCACCATCTAACAATCATAACCCATACAATCAACCTCAACCGACTCGCTCCAGGAAGATTAAAAGTTGGCGTAGGAAAGACCTCAACAGGAACTTTGCTCAACCTTCAATCCCTACAACTCTAAGAATGCTAGACGAAGAGATGGAGGGGCTTCCAATCTATGAATGCGTGGCTATGGGCGTGCTGGAGACGGTTTGATGTGCAAGGGGATTGCTGAAGCCTCAGCGGCCGTCGAGGCCTGAGAAGTTTTGGACGAGGGTGGACTAAACTTTGCTCTAAAAAGCGTGAAATCTCTAGTCCGCGTACGACGATGTGCGCTGGTTTCCTCCGAGGATGACGACGAAGTCGTCAAGGTCGGGTATATCTCGGTCAGCGGACGGGTTGAAAGAGTGGCGGTTCTCGGGTCGACCGCTTCGTTGGAAGCGTCATCACTCCTGATGGGCTTTTGCCAGGTCTTGAAAAACGGAATGGAGCTAGTGGACGTCGACGTCGACGTCTGGAGTGTGGTGCTGGTGCTGGTGGTGCTGGTGGTGCTGCTTGTTGTCTCCAAGGAAGCCGACGGGAGGGGAATGTCCGTGGGCCACGAGACCGTCAAGGTCGAGTATATCTCGGTCAACGGACGGGTCAAAATGGGGGCGGTCCTCGGGTCAACCACCTCGTTGTAGATCTGGCCAGGCTTGATGGGCTTCCACCAGGTCACCGAGAGCGGAATGGAGCTGAGAGACGTCGACGTCATCACTCTGTCGGGGGGGAAGGTTAACATTGTCTTGAAGCTCAGGTACTCCATGAAATCCGAGGGCGTCAGGGTCACGAACGTGGGCCTGATCTTCCCTTCGTCGTCAATGAGATGGGCGATACGGGTGAGGTATATCCGTGGGGTGTACAAGTGCTTGGTTGGTATGATGATTGGGGGCGCAACAGTTATGCCACCCGCCATGTGTCGAGGCTGGTTGGGCAGATGTGCCTCTTCGCGGGCTTCATCCGCTAAGAGAGTCATTATGGGTTGCGGGAAGCCATCGGGCTTCGTGGGGAAAGGATTGAGGACGTAAGTCGGCTCTGGGTCCGTAGAAACGGTTATGGTGATGGTGTTCGTCACGGTGTTGATATTGGTGATTGTATTTATGACCGTGCCAGCTCCCGGGCTCAGAGATGTGGACGAGGTTGGAGACGAGGTCAGAGACGACGAGGTCGGAGATGATGTGGAGGAGAGAGAAGATGATGTCGACGTCGAAGCTTGGGTATAAGTCAAAGTCGAGACAGTCACAGTTCCGGTTATCGTAACAGTCACGGTGGTGACTCGATTGACTGCCGTCTCAGTGGCGGTAGTAGTTGTTGTCGTAGTCGTACTTTGGCTGCGGCTACACTTCCTTGTCCCTTCCGTCGGAGCCAAAGGCAAGCTGCAGATCAATATACACTTCTTAGCACCGGGCCTGCAGTAACAGTGTTCCCCAGGCGTAGACGTAGTCTCGGCTTCTGCATCCCCACGAACCCATAAATTGTACGTTTCGGTAGGAAGAAACTCAGTGGTTGTTGGGGTAGGCGGAGGCGCGGTGTTACACTGCGCGCTGCATATCTTGTCCTTGCACCAGCACTTTGTGGTGGACCAAGTCCTAGTGGTGGTGGGCGTCAAAGTATTGCTGGTCGTGACCGGTGTGATGCGAGGAGGAACAAGCTGGCGTTTCCAAAAACCCCTGCGTTGGTTGGCGCCGGGACCAACTGCTTCTACGTCCATGTGATCGAATTCGATGGATGGCGGAAATAGCACATGTGCGGAAAACACGACCAGGACGAAGCTGGCCAAAATAAAGGGAATCTTCATGCTGTGATAGTTTTGAAATGATAACGACTAGAAAGATAGGTAAAGATTGGAGAAGAACGAAAGGAACGAGAAAAGCCAACGGCTCCCGGCGTGAACAAGACCGTCTACTGATATAGATGAGGAAGGTTTAGGAAAATTCTGGTTGTTTGGTGAGTAATAGCTGTGAAAAAACCGAAACTCAGTTGCGATGAGCATCATATCGGGAGGGCCATACATCTGAGTTGATCCAACAGACCGTCACGGTTCCGACCTTGATAGTCCACAAGCTGCCAGTGGATGTTCTGGTAACCTATGCTGTATGAGAAGGAGATAAGCCAGGATCGACGGTAATCCCTTAATGTTCACATATGTTGTGAACTCTTTTCGCTCTCACCGTTTTACATGACCGGTTAGCGCATCGTCCAACCTGCATATGAACGACAACGTTAGTCCTCAAGGTACCGGCGCCCGGGAATAGTGGCGTAGTACTATTAACACATTCTGCATGTTCGAGATTTAAACGGTCCCTTTCTGGCTAAATGAAAAGACTGTTTCGCTTGAGACACAAATGCTCTTACTGAAGGATATGCCGTCAGGTATCATAGATCTCGACCTTGTTGGTCATTACGCTGGCCAGGTAAAGTCACCTAGTAAACCTGCAGAGTCGTAAGTTTATTCATGTCCCTATCAAAAACGCAACGTTTCTAAACATCGACAGGACTAGGTGTCTCATACAGGGAAAGAAGCAGGACAACATAGTCCACAGAAGAGGGAGACTACGCGGCACGTAAAACCTACAAGGTCCATCATGACTGACTACTGGGGCCAGACAGAGTTGTATGTGAGAGACAACGACCAGGCACGTCATGCTCAAAAGTGTAGGATAACAAGGTGAAATGACGTCCGGAAAGAAACCTCGCAGACTACAGACAGACACTAGACTGACTACCTGTCATCGCACATCGCGCTTCCGCTCATGATACTCCGCCCCATGGCGCATCAACCTTCGCCACACGCAAGTAGTACCTCTCCGAAGGAGTCCTCCGAAAAAATCACTTCACGGAAGCTAAAGGTGCCATCGTTCAATACCCCCCGATTGCCCCCGAGCCCCAGGCAAGCTAGCGCGCCATGGCGTTCGCGCGAGCGGCAAGACCAGTTCGGACAAGACAACTCACGAGACCAAGTTCAGTGGGGACTGCCCAGGCTCTGTGTGAAGCGATATGTCCGGTTCAGAGCACCCGAGTTGCAAAAAGATTTCCTTGTGATCATGTATTTTTCTCGATAGCTACTACAGTTTTCTTTTTGGTATTCGTATAAACGTCTCGCCTTTTCCCTGGTTGCAAATACATAAATGGTGAAAAAAGACACGCTTCTCGCTTCATGGAACTCCCATCCAATGCTTCTTGCTGTCGTCAAACAAAACCCAAATTGTCGCACATACACTGGTCATTCATTCAATAAATGCATGCTTGAAAAAGCGTTTTATCCTTCAATGGCCAACTGGTCCCGATCGCGTTCACGGTCTCTGTGGTGACGGTGGTGGTGGTAGTCATCGCCATCGTCATCCCGTCGATGTCTGCGGTAGCGCTCCCGGTCGCGCTCCTCGTCGTATCGGTCGTCCTCCCCATCGTCTCTCCGGTGGTGGCGGTAGTGCCTTCGCCTGTCATCCTCGTCGGCGTCCCGATCACGTCCTCTGTCATAGTCGCGGTCCCGTTCCCGGTCCCGTTCACGGTCACGATCGCGGTCACGATCACGGTCGCGGTCACGGTCTTTGCCGGCCTCTTCACGTCTCCTCTCTGTACTATTGTTAACTTCCGCAGCAGTAGGCGCACCAATACTTCAACATACCTCTCAAGACCTGCGTAGCAGCAGCGTAGGCTTGGATTTCTTCTTTGCTGAGAACTCGAAGCACAATTACGAAGTCGTCGCGGACTTCGAACCGTTCTTTGCCCACAGTCAAAGCCTCGGGGTTGACGATCTTCCGGCTGATCTTGGTCCATCGGGCCCCGGGGGGAACTTCTTTCAATTTCTTATCATCCTTATGGGGAGCAACACCTTCACGAATCGGGTTGTCTTCCTCCGGGAACTTGCTAGGTGCTTTGAGGATGCCCTTAAGAGGCTTGGTGTCGGACTTGTCACGAGGCGGCGAAACTACGCGTACCTGCTTCTCCTCAGCACGAGGTGACGCGGAGTCACGGCCCCGAGATTCGTCTCTGGTTGATACGATGGCTGTCTCGCTTGTAGGCACAGACACAGGCGATTCCCTCTTTGGTAGCGAGTCTTTCTTGGGTGAGGGCGTGCGATCTTTTGACTCTCTTATCGGGAGATCAGCATAGGTCTGTTGATCAGCCCTATCATATCTCTCTTCATATCGATCCGAACGTTCTGTACGTTCTGACCGGTCCGTCCTCTCAACTAGAACGGGAACCTTCTCTTTTGGCTTGTCATCCTTCATGGCTGCGAGTTGTTCCTTCAGCTCACGAATGTCATTCGCGTCGGTAGGGTTGAAGCCGATAGACTGACGAACAGGTCGCTTCAACTTCTTGACATCATCATCAGGAGACCCGTCTCGCGGTGGGGCATCGCCGGTGAGTTTGGCCTCGGCATCCCGCCGGTTCCGGTCACGGTCTCTCTCACGGAATTCTGGGTCAGCATCAGCCGATGTTCGGCGAGTCTCGACGATTACAGGTGCGCGATCCCTTGGGTCTCGAGACTCGTCGCGAGGCTTGTATCTCTCGGCAGCGCGGCCCCCCAGGTCATCCTCTTCGCTGCGACGCCTCGGGTCCTTTTCGGGCTTTTCTGGTTTATCGTCCTTATTCACTGCTTGTCCAAGGCCAATTGCTGTAGCAGCAAGTCCAAGCCCAGCGGTGACCTTGTCGCGGAATCTTTTACGCTCAGCATCATCGTCATTGGCAGTGCTGGTTCGTCTCGTGTGCCTGTCTTTCTCGGGCTCCAGTCGTGCTGATTCACGCTTAGAGCGATCCTTCTCATCATCGGAGCCTCTCTTTGCGTCCGGAGAAGTTCTGTGGCCGCTCCGGGACTCTGGGCGGTGTCCGCTGCGAGACTCAGGCCGGTATCCGGTGCGGGACTCAGATCGATATCCGTTTCGGGACTCACTCCGAATCTCTCTGCGTGGGTCTCTTCGGTCATCAAAATCACCGCCCACCGGAGCCGAGTCCGTACGGATGCCGAATCCACGCGTGACTACTCCCTCATCGTGGAAGTAGTCGCCGCTACCGTAGACAGGCTCGTATTTGCGTTCCTCTCTGGTTTGTCGTTGGAGCCGGTCGTCCTCACGGCTGCGGTAGTAGTCCTCGTGATGGCTGGACCGCGGAGCAGCGCCTTCCTGGTACACAGACACGGGTCGGCGGGATGATGAAGCACCAGCCACAGTACCCGCAGCGAGGGAGGTAGCTGCCACATCCATGGACGAAGGAACACCCGTAGAACGCCTCTCCTGGGGACTAGGGGGGACCTGCATGTGAGCCGGGGCGGCAGGGACAGCAGGCGGAATCGTGCCTTGAGCTGGGTCATAGGAGTTGGAGGTGGTCCTATTGATCTTGTCGAGACCCCACGTCGTTGGAGGAGGACCACCACGCTTCTCGTAACGACCCGTCTCGTTGTAAGGACGGCTGGCAGGGTCTGTCGTGGTCACGTTCACGCTTGGGCGGTAGTAGCCACGATCGATGCTCTCTCGTCTGCGAGACCTCGAGGGAGGGCGAGAGTGATCCAGGTCATAGCGAGCAAGGTCGCTAGGAGTGGTGTATTCGTATCCGTCACCGCCATAGTCAATCGGGGCGTTGCTGTGACGAGGATTACTGGCGTACATGGTGGATGATCTCGAGGGGCGGTATGTCTCGTGTCTAGGATCGGCGGTTCGTTCGCGAAGGCGGGTAAACTCTTCATTGTCCATCGTTGCACTGTAAGAGCCGCCGCGATGGTGGCTGCGAGAACGTATAGAAGAAGCGGGCTGGGTATAGAATGTCGAATCGCTGGAGCGGTAATCATCGCGGGTCGGGCTGGAGTGTCTGTTGCTGGAGGAGTGGTGCGACGAGCTTGTCTGCGGCGCCCTTTGTGTAGTAGTAACAATGACAGGGCGAGCTGCGGTCGAGTCGAGAGTGGAGGAGCGATGGTTGCGGCTCACACCTCTCAGACTGGTCCCACGAGCCAGAGGATCTTTGGTGACAGCATAGGTTGTCGTTGTCGTCGGAGTAGTCGAGTGAGAGTGATGATGACCTCTTGAGGAAGCGGAACCATTGGAGGCATATCTCGTAGACGTAGACGTGGGCATGACGTGAATATCACCTCCGTACATGGAGCTGTAGCCGATGCTCGTGGGAAGCGAAGCCCTAGCGGGATTGAAGGTGGGCGATCGCGGGCGACCCCCAGTGTAGCGTGAGGAAGTGTAACGGGAATCCATGGTGATTGATGTTCTTGACCTAGCGCTGAGTTGTCGGCGCTGCAAATGGCCCAGTGGCCCAGTTGTCTTCTTCCGTTCTCGTCGCCCAGTTACGGACTATCGGAGGGTGTGGTTTTGGTAGAAATCGGGAGCCTCAAGGCCGCACCGCGGGGCAAGATGATGGAGGAGGGGCAGACACGACGGGTTGGGCGCTGTGTAAAATGCGATAATGGGGAACGGACGCAGCGGGAAGATGCACGGTGAAACCACGTGAGGATTCCGCCTTAGTTTCTGATCGTTCTTGCTTTGACGTGAACGTGCCTTGGCGTCTTTTTTGGCTTCGCACGCCTCGTGGTCGTTTGGTGTTGCTTATTATGTCTTACTTTGTTCTCCTATTATTCGGGGCAAAAGATAGAGCAATGAGACGAAGCCCTACTCGTTTCGTCTTTTTCTTCGTATTTTTTTTTGGGAGGAAGACAAAGAGTGAGGGAGATGAGGGGCACGGCGGTTGGGATGCCCACCTCACCGAAATGGAGTCGGGTATGGTGTGGGTTTTTGGGTGGCAGAGAATGGCGGGGTCCAAGTCTCTTCCTCCCCCCTCAGCTCAGTTTAATTCAGTTCCGTTCCGTCCGTTCGTTTAGTCTGGAGTTGGAAAACCCCCCGTCAGATCCAGCTCTGGGCTGGGTTTTCGGGTGACTGGGTCAGGTCGGGTTCCAGTCAAGTCAGGCCAGCAGGCCAGGGCAGGTCAGGTCGGGCTGGGTTGTTTTGGTGGACGCTATTGTCAGATCGCTGTCGAAACGCCCACGTCCGCTGGGGCATTAGGTGGAATCTCTCTGCATGCACCTGCAGCGCCGTGGTAGAAGAGGGGCGAGTCAGCTTGCTAGTAGAAAACGAGGAGTCAACAACCGGGTGGGCATGGGCGCAAAAATAGGACGAATAAATCCAGGCACATTCTCCATTCAAATGGTTCCATGCAAAATGGATGCTGTGCCGAGTATAGACTATGCGCATTGCATGTTTGTGGAAGATAGACGAGGGACACTCACCAGAGATCGGAGGATGGAAATGAAAACGATGATAACGTCAGAGAAGCATACGTGACAGGCAGGGTTAAAAAAGAGTCGAGGCAGAGGGAGAGAGGATGGAGGGGCGAAAATTGGGCGATAATTGAATTGCTGCAACGTTGGTTTATTTTGGGGAGGGGGATTATCCTGGGCACAATGACGAAGAGAAGAGTGGACTGATCCCTGTCGGCACAGCAGTCAGGATCGCGAGGGGGGTTTGGTTTGATGATGGTGATGGCCCGGGGGTAAGTCAAGTCCGTGTACATACATAGTACTGAGCATTTGTAAGGTGGAATAGGGAGATGTCAGAGACAGAGAGACTCAGCAATTAGGCATTCTGACTGGTTGGCTGTCCGAAAATGAGTCTGTGTTCGGGGTTATGCCGCCCTGCCTGTCTGTCGTCAGGCTGGTTGGTGGCTTGGTACCTCGACGAACGTCGCAGCGCCCGTTGGTACTAGTACGGGAGCTGGCGAGGTGCCGCGAAACCAAGGACTTGGTTGATAAGGCCAAGAACGTCACTGGCCAGCCAAATGCTCTCTGTAGGACAAAAGCTACTCGTAGATTGTTCCTCGAGTAGGGGTCTTCCGAAGATCGCGAGGGGCCTGCGGTTAACCGATGCTGACGGAAGATGGAGAGGGTACTTCCTCCCCCCCCCCCCGTAGCAAGGCTACATGCACAAGCAGAGGGCGTATTTCTGTCGTCAGTTGGGCGCGCGCTGCCAGTAGGCACGTGGAGTACGGGTGTGTCTGGCACGTAGAAAAAGGTGAGTCGTAGAGGAGGGCATGTCACAGTCTGTAAGTGTGTGTAGCTGTACCATGATCAAACCAACGAGCTGGATTGGCGGACTGGATGTACGTGCGTCAACGTCAATGCTAATGGATAGGTAATGCAGTGATGTAGGCCCGCCGTCAGATGGTCGACTAGTGGCCTAGTGGCGCTGCACCGATGAATGGCTTGGTGCTTCTTTCTTTGCAGGACGACTCTTCAGCCCGCCTAGGTGGACTGGAGTCAGAGGGTCAATAATCAGCCACAGACGCTAATTCCAATGGCTTTAAACAAGAGCCCGGTTGGTCCAGAGTGCATGCAGGATGCTAACTTCGTTTCGTCTCTGTAGTGTCGAGGGTTCCTGAATAGTTCAGACGAAGGGAGAAAATGGACATCCGATAAAGATGGAACTGGATGATTCACATGTCATCGCTGTGATGGCTAGGTGCCCAAGGGGTTCGCTGGCTCCTGGGACCTTTGACAAGTATTCGTTTGGTGGCTTTGGGCCAGACCGAGTAAAGAGTTGGCCCAGGGGAGTGAAACCTTAGCAGCTACCCTCAAAGATGTGAGACCGTCTTTCAAGACAGAGAGACCAGGGCATTGGAATGTGCTCACACAGGTTCCTGGTTGGTGGCTAATTGCTTGGGGGGCGGACGGCTGCTCTCTTTCCCTTTCGGGAAGCCGGCTGTTGTCCGTGTCGACGACGGCGATGACGTCCGTTGGACCAGAACCGGGCCAGCAGCCAGGACCCTGTTCCTCGCCCGCGCTTTGCTCTACACTAGTGAACCTTCAGGCCCAGTGTTTTTCTCAGTTGCTGACGGCATGTTCCCGGGTACTTTAGATGGTATAGCTTGAATTCTCGATGGTCATGGAGTCTGACTAGCAGCCGATAGACTGGTGGTTGGTGCAACGAACATTGAACATCTACTGCCACCGGCAAGACGAAGTGAGTTTTAGAGAGCGACGACTGAGAATGATTCCAGAGCTTGTCGTTCTTCTCGTGCTGAGTGGACGATGATAAAACAAGAAGACCTGTTTCGTGCAGCTGTGGGCGTTACGCGTGGTAAATTAGCCAGGGGAAAAGAACAGTTAGGGAACCAGAATGAGCCCTCATTTGATGTACTGGAAGCTTCAACGTATGCTGCGCTACTCTGAATTCGGGCAAGGCTGGTATTTCCATCGCCAAGGCCACAGTTGTCCCCCTTCCTATACGCCATGGTTGTGTTTTTGTTGCAGAGCTGTGCGATGTGATGCTGTCTAACTGGGATGACAAGGGGTTAGTTACTCTGGTACCTGACTAACAGGCACCAACTCAGAGAATCAGGAATTTTGGCCGACGTCAGCGGAGGGACGGGGTGTTGGATAGAATTTCTTAGCGCGCAAGTTGTGGAAGACAGTCCAGCCAAGGTGAATCAATCAGGAGCGTACACCCGTGCCACTCAGTACGGTCAAGATGCTGCGTTGAAGGGATGCCTGCCCTCAAGACATACCAGGCTGGGCTAGGCCAAACTGGAGGCGTCATGAATGCATGAACATGAAGGCTTAGAGACAGGAGAATTATGCGATAGCCCGAGTGGTTCTACATTTCCATATCGGTCTAGCGGGGTTGGGCACACCGAGATTTGTAATGGGCAAGAAGGCCGGGAGCACCTGCCACAATAAAAAAAGAAGAAAAAAAAGAAATGCACTGACAGCAGGAAGGAAATGCTTTGGCAACAGGAATATGGCAGGCACGACTCAGTCGAGTGCTGAGGTAAGAGGGAATGGCTCTCCTGCCTCACTCTTGCCATGTTCCGAAACCTTGTTTTAAGAAACCAACAAGCATTGGCAAGACCAAGAAAAGAGGGAAAAAAAAAAAAAAAAAAAAGAACATCAACATTCAAATTGCATCGACCCTCAAGCACCAAGGCAGTCAGCAATATCGGTTCCAATTCATTGCAGTCCGTTTGTTCCCAAATCTAATCCAACCAGACAATCGTTTCCTGCCGTACCCTCTTGGCTGCCCCCGCTTCACTAACAACAGCCCGACTTTAACTCCAGGCTTGTCCATGTTCCAGTGGATGTCGTCGTGGATGGGATGGTCAGGATGAGACGCCCCATATCCCTGCATGTTGGGTCCGTCCCCTATGGTGTCTCCATCCAACGCTTCATCTGCCTTTTCGAGAGAAGATATCTGAGCCCAATTCGACCCAACCTCCACCCGCATCTCTGGTTTGCCGGCCTACTGTGGCTGCCCGTCTGTTGTGCGTCTTTGCCTAGTCTGACGGGCTGTCAAACCTCGACGACCCTCGACGATACGGCCGCCAACCATTGCATAAGTGTGGGACGCGGTTTCGAAAACTCTAGAATCCTCCGCCCGTCCGTTAATTGAGTTATTCCGACGACAAATACCATCACTAATAGCCAATGTGACTGGATGGCGGAGACGACGGCAGCTGCCTGCCCCACCCATCCACCTCCAGCACAACGTCCGCCACAATCATTCAGAATCGCCCTAGAGGTCACACAGGGACTCTACGCAACTGCGTCCACAGCCAGCTTCTTCCTGTTCTGCAACGCAACCCTCTACAGCTAGGGAGAATGGCATTTGTTGATGGACCACGCCACCCTGCAAACCATATGGTCAAATAAGCAATGTCTTGCATCTTCCCGCCCACGGCTATCGTGACTCGAGAACTTTTCCGCATGCTCTTACACCTCCTACCCGTAACTGCCGCGTGGGGATAATTGGGTCGATCTTAGAGCCCCAACAAGTTCAGTGTGACTTGAACAGACTCGATCGCGCACGCTCACCGCCATGGCTGAGCTACACGTAGCCATCGCCTGATACTTGAAAGTATTTCCCTCATCTTTGCAAGCAGCATGAAGTGGGCAGCAAGTGCAACGTCTACCAGATCGCCCCAGTTGTGCGCGGTGAGAGGGCGCAGATGCATGGGCATGGCTGCCTTTTCAATAAGACAAGAATGCTCAATCGAGAAAGGTTCCGACGCATCGCCCATCATTGCATCCGGTAGACAAGGAGCATCCCTATATCATCTGCCTCGCCAAACAGCCTTGCTGAGAGACATAGCCTTAGCGAGGCTAGCGTCTAAAATTCTTCCCATCTACGCTTCACACCCAGCAGTGCGCTCGATTTTCATCCTGGGATTTCCTCATCCGTGCTTGTATCTCCCCCTTGCACGATGACCTAATCTCATCTACATAGTATGCATTCTTACCGTGGACTCGTTGGTAGTTGGGCTGGGACGTTCCCAGAAGGCCGTCAACAAAGCCCCGTCTCTGCGAAGCCCAAGACTGGGATCCCCCGGCTTCGACAATTCCCAACCCACCAAATAATAGCATTGGGTTCTCGCCCGGTCTGTCGGGCACAGCCGTTCCAAGATACTCACCGAGTTCGATGTTCCGACTTGCAGGCCCACGATTAATGATCTGCTCTGACAATGCCCATTTTTGACAGTATTATGGTGTGGAATGTTAGAAAATCTCTGTTCTTGCATTCTGATCTACTAAACTATCATCCATGATCGGCCGGCAATGGCGGGTCTTTGGGCAGCATGTGGACGAACTGGTACGAAAAGATACCTTTACTTATCTGAAGGGAAAGACTTGAAGGGAAAATGAGCGAGCCCGACCAGAGCTCACCACGGTAGAAATGAGCAATATCCCACACAGACTGCGCAGGGCCAAGAGTTCTACCGCCACGCCATCTGAACTGAGGCCAGCAACCTCTCTCACCCACAGGCAACTGCAACAAGCCTTGCAGCATACTGGGTTGAACAACCCCACGGCCAACCGCCGGTTTAGTGCCCCAACTTCCGTGTCAAACAGCGGCTCGAATCCAGCTGGCTGTTTTGGACAGGCAGCCTAGAAGTCAGCCTGGGCACTAATGCACACCGTTGAGACGGTGCTGGATCGAGCCGCGTGACAGGTCTAGTTGCTGCTTAGACACAGTCCGTCGTCCCACGTGCCACCACTATGGTCCAGCTCACTGACGGTTTTATTTTAAACGGTGAGCTAGACCTTATTGATGCTGTGTTCCAAATGCGAGGAGGGTCAGTCAGTATGGCATTCCCATCTCATCTCGACGTTGCCAAAACGTAACGTTTGCAACAGACGGAGTTCCGGTCTCTGTCGAGACACAGCCTTGATCCTTTCGCCGCTAACAAATAAACCCACCAAACTCAACAGAACCCTTGTAGGATGCCGGATGACAAGGGAAAGGAAAAAAAAAAAAAACTAAGAAAAAAAAGGCCCAGCCTCACTTTGACTTTGAGGCCAACAACGCCCGTGGATCTCGGGGCGTTCTAGTCCACCGGAAAAAGGGCAAAACAAACCTTCCGTCCTTGGCAGCTTACTCCTTCGCGGGACCGAAACCCCCCCACCAGCAAGGGAAATTGACATGGAACTGGCCTTTCTTTCCCGGTGAGCAAAAAACCTGCTTCGGACAAAGTGGGGCCTTGCAAATGCTCGGTGGGCGGGGAACCCCGGGGTTTCTCGTCGGCCACCGGAAGGCATCCGTTTCGGGGGAAGGCTCTCGGAACCACTGTTTTCTTTGAACGTCGCGGGGCGGAGGTGAGGCGGTTGGTACTGCATTATGGCGCTGAGGTGTAGGTATGTATGTGTTGGCGCAATCCGTAGCGTGGATATTGCGTCTGGCACCGTGCCGGTCCAGACTCGAGTGGATGAGCAACGTGTCGTACAGAGTACATAACAAGCAAATCATCAACCCGTTCAAAAGAATCATATTCACCTTGGATGAAGTGAAAGTAACAAGGACACCGGTAGATAGGGAAGGGTCGACAAACGACACTGACATTAACGTGAAAAGAAGTCAATATAAAATGTAAAATAAAAACGTACTAAATTGATTCGCTGCTTGCTGTAATATTTCCAAATCATCCACAATCATATCATACGTAGAAAGGATACGTTCTACAACACACTTGCGATCCCACACCAGCAATACACGCATACGCGACGCCCGCGTCTACGCCAGACTGCCCATGGGGTCCCACAACGGAAGCACAGTCGGCTCCGTACCGATGACGGCCTTGACCTCCTTGCTGAGGAAGCGGGGGTCGACGACGGCCTGGTACACGAACTCGTCCATCCACGCGTCGCTCATGACGAACCAGCCCTTGTCGCCCGCGCCCTCGCCCCAGCTGTTCTGCACCCTCCAGCGCACGCTCCTGCCCTCCGAGTCGAGGTGGACCGCCGTCAGCACCATGGCGTGCGTCATGGCGCTCTCGCCCGTCCTCAGCCTGCTCGCCTTGTCCATGCCCAGCGTCGAGACGCCGAAGCCGAGTTCGTAGTCGATCAGGTCGAGGTCCATGATCCCGGAGGCGCTGTTGCTGAACTTGCCGACGTCCGAGCCGAAGAATATCGGCAGGCCGGCCTTGAGCATGGAAACGCATGCCGACTTGAGCGTGTCAATGTCCACGTTGACGTAGGTGACGCCACGGCCGCCGACGATGTTGCCGAGCCTGTCGACGGTCAGGAGCGTCAGGGGCTCGTGGCGGGGGTCGTGGACGAGCGAGACCATGCCCTCGATGACGGCGGACGTGATGCGGAACTCGGAGGAGTATATGTCCTTGGCGAACGCCGCCGGCGTCGTCGTCAGCTCGTGCGCCTTGCCGTTCCTGTCGAGGTACGACCACGTGAACTCCTCGCGCGGGTTCGGCGGCGGGCCGAGCGTGAGGGTCAGGATGCTCAGGATCTCCCTGACCATCTTCTCCTTGGTCGACGACAGCGTCTGGGCCGTCGCCTCGCCGGAGCGGATCTGCGCCCGCAGGATCAGCGCGTACTCGCGCAGCTTCGTCTTGACGATGGAGTTGAGCACGCCCGAGTTCATGGCGTTCCAACTGTCCGGGTACAGCGCCTGCGGGACCAGGCCGTACTTCTGCACGAGGTTGTACACCATGTCCCACTGCCCGCCGTCGCTGACGATGTCTCCCAGCAGCGCCTGGACGAGTCTGCCCTCGAGGTCCTCGCCCGCCGTGTCGATGATCTGCTCGAGGAAGTAGTTTGCCTTTTCGAGCTTGTCCCAGAAGAAGAGGTATGATTGGGAGAGCTCAAAGGAGTCGAGGTTGTAGCGCTTCATGAGGGCGACGCGGAAGGTGTTTGTGGAAGCAAAGAGCCAGCATCGGCCCGACGAGCGCTGGTTCGTGATGGGGCCGCCTTCGAAGGGGATCTTGACGTTGAAGATCTGGGGGTCGGCGAGCTTCGCCGAGGTCGACGTCAGGACGGCTCGCGGGTCAGCGGTGCTGAGGGCTGTGAGGGCGAGCCTGCCATTTCGTGTTAGACGAGGATCCCAGGCGGGAAAGTTGCAACAGTTCCCAGGGTTAAGATGTCTACCTACTTGTTCTTGGGATCAGACAGGAATCGGGACTGCCATGACTGCGTTTGATGAACGGGAAGGCCCTCGGGTTCGCGGAGCAGTTTGAGGCCGCTCTTCTCGTCCTCACCCGAGCCTCCCACGTTGACGAACTCTTCATCCGTAACCTGGAATCGGCGAAGGCGCTCAAGGAGCTCCTTTTCGCTCGAGATGTCGGCGGCAGTCCTGGACGTTTGAGCACCCATCTTCACAAGATACCTTGATGGCCTCAGTTTCTCTTGTCAGGATATTTCACTTGAGCAATGTGCGACGGGTGTCAGTCAGCGGGCAGCAAGAGAATGGCGATGGGGGCAAGCGGGACGGGTTTCAACAGTCCAAACACACAATCACGCAATTCAGCGGAGGAAACAAAGCTTTAGCGTTTCCAACGTTCCTGGAGAAGGGGAGGGGGGACGGATGCTCGGTATTTAAGACAAAGGCACGCGATTCGTAAACATAACAGCACACACATAAGCACACACAGTAGTAGTAGCCCCCTCCTCCATTCCAAACTTTTGTTCCGCCTGATACCGAGAATGCCAGAGAGAGCAGGTGTGCGGCCTGTTGCTAATGGAGGTAGGCAAGGTAAGGAAGGTCGACGGACCCCCATGGCTTGCGCAAGTTCAAGCTTCCCGGGGTACCTTATCAGTTGGAGGGGGTTCAGTTTTGGTGGGCAACCAAACAGCGATAAGATGGAGGGGGCTTTCGGCAGGGATTAGCTGCCTACGATGCCTAGTCACGCAACCCCATTTGACACACGAGGCACTACAGAAGTGCTACGTAGTTGGCCCATCAAGGTTCTCTCCTCTTATGGATCTCGCCCAAAGGGTCCTCACATGATGCGGTCTTTTTTGGGGGACTTTGACTTCTGTTGCCGTAATACCCAGCCACTTTTGTTGTATGTTGCGACATGAACCTAATCGGCTGCAGAAGCACGCAATTTGAGATGCAGGGGTATGTTCATGAAGACGACTTTGCTTTGCAAGGCCACGGTGATGGTTCCCACGTAAAGATGCCGGAAACAAGAAGGTCCTTGGTCCGTGGAGGAGATGTAGTGGTTCTTTGCGCGGATATGATTTTGAGATGACACTTACTAAATAAGAGATGAGTTTCGATGCGCTATGTAAGATAAGAAAGCCTTATGCAAGACATGTAACGTGAGACTCAAATCTTCTTTGCAGATAACAGGGTTCCGGCTGACTGAAGGGGTAATGGCCGGGATTTCGGGACGGACCACTGACCCACAAAGCCGAACGCCGGCTTCTCCACTCTTCCCAGTCCCAAGGTATCAATGTAGCTACAACATTCAGAAAGATCGGTCTTTTGAGTTTGTAATTGTCCTGTAATTAGCTGAAATTGGGCACTATTCGCTGCTACTAGCTACCGGCTTCGCTAGATTATCAGATCGGCCAGAGAGGGGCTGGTCCTCTGGCATTGCAAGGTCTACTTTTATCATGTCAGAAGGGCATTTACCAGAATTTAGCGGGTATAAGTCGTTTAATCAGAGCTCTTAGTTATATACCAACATATGCTTGCCGTAATTACACCACAAGCATCTATACTGCCCCGACTTCTTATATCAAACTTATCTCCGTGCACGGCGCTGGGGCGGTTGCGTGCATGGTTCTTAATTACCATCATCACCGAGACGAACTCCAACCCCCACCTTATCTTCATCGACGCCTGACTTCTACATAACCTTCGATAGACTCTTCTTTGATTCCATCGTTTATGTATCCCCTGGAGATGACCTCTGTCGCCAATGTCGCGGGGGCTGCTTAAAGAGGGTGAGGATGATAATTGCCATCTTCTACTTCATCTGTGCCGTAGTCGAGATAATCGCTTACAAGAGGGCTTTCATTGCGCATACTTGTTTGCGGAATCGGAGTAGTCCGAACCAAACGCTCACGAAAGCGATCACGACCCCGACGAGAGCTCTCGTCTTCGTCGGCGTTTCTTTCTACTTCAGCTGTTTCCTCCTGGTCTGGAGATTGCACATCCATCGAGACCTGGCCACCCTGATATCGTGACTTTGTACGATCCTTTTCTTTATTGAAACGTGCTTCCCGACGGCGTCCTATTGAACGCTGGCGAGCGCGAGCTGCAATGTTCATCGGGGTGCCAAATGGGTCGTAAGAAGTATCACGAGATGATGGGCGGCGTTCGATTGGTTCTTGATGAGTGAGGGGAGGGCTCGCGGCTGACATGATTGGACTTCTGGTAGACAAGTCTCTTGTCGTTTCCTCAGATGGCTTTTGTGAGCTAGTATTAACAAGAGGAGGGAAAGGATATGAGCCATGAAGCATCAAAGGGTGCACTGAGCCGTCGTCGCTGTACTCTAGGGACTGGAAGTCGAAACTGGAGGGCCTCTTGTGTTGATCAGCGTTCTCTTTGGCTTCAAAATGTTCTCTTGAAGTTCGTCGACTTATAAGTACTTGCTGCACGTCGCAATCGTTGCAGCGCCAGTGATAGCAGGACGGGCATGCGTGGTCCCTATAAATGTTGAAAGGCCCGACCCTGCAATTACTACAATACCAAACCCAAATGGTTTGTTTATCCTCTTTACTGTGCTCTCTGCTGTTATCGGGCAGAGAGTGGAAGTGTTCATCGGCTTGTGGGGTGGCATCCCTGTATACAGGATGATCTTGAGAAATGCCACTCTCATTGGTATCTTGGCGGTTAGTGACACCAAGAGTCAAGGAGCCCTTGTGGTTTTCATCCGCTGTTTGTGCAGTCTTTTGTTCCTTGGTACCCATGGCTACTTCAGCTTCGTGGTGCGCCCGGTCTATTTCCTTGGAAAGTGTCTTCTTGTTCTTCCTGGCTTTTGTACCCCATAGAGCCCAAATTTCATCGGAAGTTAGTTCTTCTTGTGATGTTTTTTGATGCTCCTCCTCAGGCAGAACGTTCCTTATACTCTTCTTCTTTCCTTTTTTGCCTAATGAAAACCCCCAGAAATCATCGATGGGACTTCTGTCTGAATGAGCTTTTGAAATGTCTTCCTCTGAGGCATCATCCTCGCTGCCCTTCTCTATCTTCTTCCCCTGCCGATCTGATGGGGAGGCAAGCTGTGGCGACAGATTATATGCAACGAAGTCTTTACCAATATCAGCTGTATGTTTCCCCTTTGTCAGAGAAGATTCTTCAGTGCCACCTTGGCTCTGCATTGAAGATGGCTGTGGTTGGGGAGATATTATATTCCCTTGAGCGTCGGTTTCCGCCTTTTGTTTGGCTTCATAGGCCGTGTACTGTTGGCTTAAATCCATCTCTCTGCTAAAAGAGAGCTGTTGGTATGTTTCTTCTGGCTCATGTTGTCCACCTTCGACGGCCGGAAGATAAGGCTCTGCCAAATTTGTAGCGTCTGATTTTCTACTTCTGGCTTCCGCTGCAAGCCGCTCATTAATCCTAAGCCTCTGCTCAACTTTACCTAACAATGACTGATAATGTGACGGCTTTATCTGTATATTTTTGTTGGAGGTTGCGTAGTACCATTGATCGGAGGTGTTCCTCTCGGGACAGTTGGTACACCACAACCCGACCATCTTACGTGCGCAGTCCTGGCATGCAATAATTGAGGCGGCAGCATCTCGTAGATGCTCAGTTTTCCAGTGATTCTCAAGCTCATACGGGTTGTCGAATTCGGCCTGGCAGAAACTGGTCCCGTCGTATCCAGATACAAGACATCTACCGTTTTCCTCAAAACGAAACCTTCCAAACGGGATCCAGGTTACTTCAGGAGCGTCCTTAGTTTTTTCAGTTGTCTGATCATCATTTTCGCTTGATAATGAGTCGCCATCGCTATCAGTTTCTCTGACCTCAAGACCTTCGATGGCCAGAGGCAATGCCTCCCGGGCGATCTCTTGAAGGTGTTTGGCAAGATGGGATCGAAATTTCCTGGTGTTATCCTTGCCAGTTGGTGAAGGCTTCCAGTTGTCACATAGTGGACAAGCATTCTTATCAAAGTTCGTGAGTGCCTTTTTGGAGGCCTTTGCCATCACACGCATCTGTGCCGACGACAGAAGTCCAGAATGTTTCGAGCCAAAATGTCCCTCAAGCGCGGATTCAGTATTACATTCGACATGACACAGATAACACTTCCATTCTTGTCGATGATTTTCCATCTCGTGCTTAAACCACTCATGAGAGGACGCAAAGGGCTCTGCTTCGCACTTCTCAAAGGTGCAGACATACATTTGAATGTCTTGATAGACGTGTCGTCTAGATGACTCTTTAGTTTTCCTAAACAATACCTGCAATATTCGCCAGGATCGCAAAGGAGATACTTACTTCCATTGATTCCTGTTCTCTATTATCTGAATGGTACGGCAAAACGGGCATTCGATATTCTGGTTATAGCCCAACTTAACACCATCGAGCCACATGTCTGTCAGATTTGGGATCCGGCGACCAGAAGCCATGTCGCCAGCAGCAGTAGTAGCAAATGACGTGGCGACACTGGTAAAACTTCCTTCTCTAGCACTTATGGAATTTGAATTCATAGCCTCTTGCCCACTGGAGGGGTCGTTATAAGTGGTCGCTTTCGTTGTAGCACGGGTGGATCGAGTCTCGTCCGATGCGTCCTTATTGGATCGTGACATCTTCTTTCGGTGGTCTTGCCGGTAACGAACGTAGTCTCTCTGCTTGCTTACCCATGTACCTATCCTTTCTGCGAGCCATGGTCTTTGCTTAAGTTTTGGAAACTTATCTCGAGCGTTGACGATATCAGGTCCGGGATCTGGCACCGAGTCCTGTGGTCTTTGTCGTCCTATGCGACCGCGGGGCCGGTCTTTTCGGATCAGAGTTGATAGAGTAAAGAGGTGTGTGATGCATGACTGAATGTTCAGAAACAGCTGAGCTAGTTCGGTCGTGTCTGACGTCGAACTTTCATCACCCATAATGTTTCCAGCGTCACTTCTAAAGACGATTTCGACGGATCGCGTGGCCACATCCTCCTCTGAGACTAATGGTTGGCTCGTCCTGTTTGGTAAATCTCCTGAAATTATACCAGCAGCTTCAGGGCGCTTCCAGTCAGTTTGTATTCTTGTAGCCACACACATCGAGATACCGCTGGAACGCACCTCTATCAAGGACATCTTTCAGACGAGTTAGATCGGATGAGACAAATTGTCGCATACGGTCGGATGTTTTCAATCTTGAGTCTAACGAACTCGCGGACTTTGCATCCTGTAGAGCACCGATGTTTGCCGCCCATATTTTGAACCTCCCTACCTCATCGGCGACTGCGTTTTCTAAGCCACGATATGCGGAGTTGGGTATACTTTGGCGCAACCTATCGAAAGCGGCATTACAGGCGTGCGACTGAGATGATATGCTAATATTGGGAGTATGATGTCCGTCCCTTTTTGCCTGGATGCCAGTAACAGGCGGTGCACTCTCAGAGGCACTCATCATTCGGCTCTGAGGTTGAAGTTGCGAGTTGATGCTGTGTATGGTACAGGTAAGAGTACAAGGCTGCCTGCCATATCTTATCCTCTCAGATTGGGCAACCCCTCACTTCAAATGGCTCAGCTTGCGAGTGTATGAACCAATGAGACACATTCAGCTCATGCAGCCGCAAGGCTCAGCTCATCGTAACCTCCTCCACATCAGGCAAACCCCGCTGGTCATTCCAACTTCGCACCTTCTTATTCATGCCGCTGGCGCGTCGCTGTTTCATTCCGAGGAGCCCTTTAACTGATAAAGAACAGCGCAATGTCGGGCTTTGAGATTGCTGGAGTTGTCCTCGGCGGGTTTCCCATCCTCTGCGATGCCGCCAAGGACCTCAAAGGCATCCTCAAGAAGGCCAAATCGTGGTGGCAATTCGAGGCGGCATTCGATAACTTCACCTCTGCCATAGAGACACAGGAGGTTGCCTACTCACAAGTTTTGCAGCGTCTTCTTGGACCCTTGGATATTTCAGACAGCGAGTACGAAAGTCTCTTGCGGAACCCGCAGTCAACCCTCTGGCATGACGCCAGTGTCCAGTATGGGTTGCGGCAACGCCTCCTGGGATCAGAACATCGGTGGTTCATGAGTAATCTAGGGGACCTTAATGAGGCTATCGTTGACCTACAAAAGCTACTCCCACTCGATCAGGTAAGCATTGCGTGTGAAGTCGCGTAAGGCATTTAGGGCATCTTAAATTTCAGGAGCATTCCGGGCCTTGTTGCTGATATGATTGATAGTTATATCACTTAGACTCCACCAGCATCGAAAGCGAGATCTATCGCCTACAAACCAGTTTCAGCAGCGAAAAGGACCGTCTGTTGGAGCGCATCACGAACATCAACGACGAATTACATACTTTCTTTGATCGAGCTTCAGGTGTGACCAGGCAGGCTGTACAGAAGCTGAACTTCTCGTTTACAGACTTGCACAACCAAGCACTTACATTTTATGAGTGTCTGTCCCAGCAATGGCATTGCTGTTGTTCGATAGACCATACGGTTGGCATTACCATCAACCCGACTACACTAAAACCCATCAAACGGGCCAATCTTGGATTTTTTGACGTTCTTTTTGAAACTGAGACGAAAAGGAAGCAGTTGAAATTACATATCGAGTCGTTCGTTGCCACAGAATCCAAGCCGGATAGTTTGGTCGAGCAACCGACTCCAACGATCAATATTGAAGCAGTTGGCGATATGAGAGAACAGATGATTATCAAGAAGCAAATACAATCGGTGTCAATTACAGCAAGCGAAAAGAGCGTCGCTGCTCTGGCTTTTACGACCTTATCCATATCAGGCCCCCCCTGTTCTGCTCCCCCACGGAGATCAATACTTAAGCGTATGAGCAGAAAGTTACAGAAACCAAGGCCAGCGCCAGTATCCAACCCAGCACCTTCTCTACATAAATCCGTCTCGAACGGAAGCTCGATCTCAAGTCTCAACCGGAGTGTATCGGGCACCACTGTGGTCCTCACTGACAACTCCAGTCTCAGTACTGCTCCAGAGAGGTGAGTTTAGCTCCGAGGAGATGATAACCGGACAAGGTTAACGCACGTCAAAGCGAAACCCCAACATCCAGTATTTGCACTTTAGATGCCTCCAAAGTGCGATTTGGCGATGCGGCCACAAAGCCGACATCCACAGTCCCTAATGACAACACCGAAACAGGAAATCCGGTGGACATATGCAAACTAGCAACAGAAACCAAAACGAGCGAAAGCCACAGAAACATTTTACCAGTAAGCGCAGGAAAAAGAATTATCCTGCAACCAGAATCCCTAGATCAAAGCCCCCTCGAGCCGCAATCCATAGATGCCTTTCTCCGGGCAACAGCCATGCGCTACAACCGCCTATACATTGGCCTTCGATTTGCCCTGACACTCCTCAGCCTCGCCACATCAGCCTGGGTGCCGACAGAACCAGCCAAAACCGATATTTTTCTAATCTCACCCGGCGCGGCGAGCGACAAGAAGGCGCAGACGCAGCCACTGGGACCGTACTTCGCCCGAAGCGCCCGCGACATCTGCACCACGACCAGCGCAAAGCACACCAAGACATGGAACGCCAAAACGTCGCTGCTCCTATTGGGTGTAGTACTCCTGGAGCTCTTCAACGGCGATACACTCGAAAACCAGCCGTCGTGGGCCGAGTCGCTCGGTCCGGACGGACAACCCAACGAAATGACGACGTTCTTGAGCGCATGGCTGTGGATGAACACTACGCAGAACACGATGAAGGCCTGGATTGGAGAGGACCTCGGCGGCGCCTTGTACGAGGCTATCCGCAAATGCCTGTGTTTCGACTTTGGCCGCGATGATGACTACGGTGATACGCGGTTCGCGGAGGTCGTCTATCGCGAGGTCGTAGTGCCGTTGGAGAAATGTTGTCCGCTGAAGTGAGGGTGACCATGTTTGAAGTTGATGATGGATGACCTGACTGTTAGTCCAACCTGAACAGGAATGAAATTAGTGTTGAATCATGTTAGACACTTCATGTAGCCAAACGCCTGTGCCCATAACACAAAGTCCTGTGCGCAACCAGCTGACTGACGTCCCCGTTAAGCAAAGCAGTAGGCTGCACGGGTGTGGCGTTGGGTTCGGCGAAATGCCCAACTTGGTGGCGCTACAAGAGCCACACTAGACACAACATCACTTCAGAGTCGACTTTTCGACATCACATCACAAGGACATTGACGTATGGATGGATAACAGATCATATACAGAGCTACCTTATCTACGTAAAAGACTAACTCCGTTGATCCTTTATCCGCGAGATTTTTGTCCAATTTCGACTTCACATTTCTCCATTACATTGATTCATCTGTAGTTCGTACATGTTGCTAGATCCCAATAAATCCAAGACATAACAAAACACGACACGCTTACAGACGAGAGCCGTGGATAACCTTGACGTCGACGGCGAGCTCGCGGCCGTTGTCGTTCAGGACGAGAGCGCGGACGCTGCCACGGCCAGACTCGAAGGCGTTGGTCAGACGGCTCCAGAGGTTGGACTGGTCAATGACAGGCAGGCCCTGCTTGACGTCACCGGTCTCGGTCATGGCGGTGATGTGGCCATCAGCGAGGTCGAGGACGCGGTACTGCTTGAAGACGGGGCCAAGCATGGTCTGGACGACGACGCTGGGGGCGGGGTTGGAGATGAAGGAAGACTCCTCATGAAGCTGCTTGGTGAAGAGGTCGACACCGAGGTAGCGGTACTGGCCGGTGGCGGCGGAGGTGGAGATCTTGATGACCTGGCAGGGACGGCCCTGGAGCATCAAGAAGTCGCCGAGGCGGATGTGGTGGCAGGGGATGGTGACGGTGTTGGGGAGGTGAGAGCTGCCAGAGGCGGCACCGGAGGAGCGGCGGGGGGCAGAGGAGCGGTGCTCACGGATCTCAGTGATCTCGTAGCTGTCGGCGCGGCCTTTATGAGGGTGAGCAATCTTGTCAGCCAGCTTGTGGAGGCCGTGGCGGAAAGAGTGATAGTGGCCTGGTGCGAACAACACCTCAGTCTCGGTCCATAGAGTGGGGGAGAGAGCACGCCGCACAACCGAAACACACACGTAAAGCCAAGTAAACAATCAACAGGGGGCCAACCGAGCTTGGGGGTGTAAGCTCAGATGGGAGGGGATGCTTTTTGACTTACCATCCTCGTCGTAGTAACCCATCTTGGACTTGTGCTTGGGGGGAGAAACGTGAGAAGGTTCAACGGTTTCTTCGGTGACCTTAATGGTCTCCTTGTACTGCTGAGGGCGGGGGCGCTCAGAGCGGGCGTCGACGGTGTATTCGTCGACGTGGGAGTGAGAGTGGTGAGAGTGGTGGGAGTGAGCAGGGAAGGGACGCTGCTCGACGGTGACCTCTTCGCGGTGGTAGATAGGCTGGACGCGTTGACGGTACTGGCGTTCGATTGTATCAATCGGGTTTACCAGGTGCTCGTGATGACGGGTGTCGACTTGAACACGAGTGTCGTGGAACTCTTGAGTTTGGAACTGGGGAACAGGGCTGGAGAGAAGGAAAGGAAAGAGAGGTCAGTTGAATGTTTTGATGGGATGGATGAGGATATGGGGGGGGGAGGAAGCTTGATGGGGAAGCTTTTTTTGCTCCAGTGAACATGTTTGGGGTGTGACATGTTGTTACTTGGCCAACTAGGGACTAGGGGGGCCGGGAGGAGGCGCCCAGGGTCCATGGCTGGCGGTTCGTAATGGGCAAGGAGGAGGGAAATTTGGCAAAATACCGGGGCCTGCGCTGAGGCGATTCCGCGGCTGGGGACAGGGAAGGGGTGGTCGGGAAAGGCAGAGAGAGCCAGGGGTGGTGGGGGGGAGGGTGGTGAGGCGGTGACGCGGGTGGGTTTTGTGTATTGTTGTTGTTTTGGGGGGGGGGGGGGGGGGGGGGGGGGGGTGTCTGGAAAGAAGAGGATGGAATAATGGCCATGCCATTGATGCCCCTCCTCTTTCCTCCGAGGCACCCAGACAACATGAGGGAATCGAGGATTGGGGTAGAGAACAAAAAACAAGAGGATATGACTCTAGACAGAGAAATCCCGAGACAAAAGAAAGAATAGACGTACCGGAAGTCCTCGTGGTTGTGGTGGTGGTGGTGGTGGTGGGACTCTTGCTGGACACTGGGACCGGGACGGTGGTGGTGGTAATGTTCTTCGATACGGACCTCTTCTTCAAAGCGCTGGTCTTTCCTGGGAGGAAGTTGTTCGGCAGTGGCAGTGAACGAAGAAGAGTATTGACCTTCCCGTCCGGGCTTCTCTGGCTTTTGAGGAAGCTTGATCTCAAGCTCCTGATGAGTTTCGGTGACTGTCTGGGTCTGGGTTTGTGTCTCGCTCTCCTTGTAGGTGGAGGGGAAGACGCTGAAGGGGACGGGGATACGAGCTTCAAAATCCAGATTGGCGGCCTTGAGGGCGCAGAGAGGAGCTTCTTCTAAGCGTTCCTGAGAGTAGGAAGGCAAAGAAGAGTATCCTCTTGCTTTGTTTTCCTAAAAAACAAAGGAGAAGGGGAAAGAGGGAAGAAGCCGGTCGTTGAAGTGACACGCGCTTCTTTTGCTATTTCTCTTCTGCTTTGGAATTGGAGGAACAGAGAAACCTGCGAGGCAAGCTTTGGGCAGAAAGATGGCTTGAAGCTTTGGTGATGGATGGGGAGAGAGGGAAGAAGGAGGGAGAAGAGGGTCAGGCAAGATGTGCGATGCGGATTGGGTTTTGAAGACGGGGGGCTGGGGGAGAGATGGTTGGACGGAGCAGTGAGTGAGATGCAGAAACTGAAGGCTGTGAGGTTGCCGGGGCAAGGGGGTGTATCTTCTGGGATGTCTCGACAAACAGGGAGCGATCTTGGGAGTGTGTATGTGTGTGTGTGTGAGTGTACGAGGCAGTACCGTACCGGTGTCGTAGTACTGGTGGATGTGGGACGGACTACACACTGAATTCGTTTGGTGTGGATGGTCGGAATGGATGGCGTGTGTGTGTGGATTTGGGATTGGCTTGCCTGTGTCTTGACTGCTGAAAATAAGAAGATGGATATCAATATGTGAGAGGAGATTTTGGGCTGAGAGTATCGTCTGTGTGAGTGTCAGGGCCACAGGTACGAGATTGAGCACAGATGGCCGGCCTTTCCTGCCGTGGTCAAGCTGGTTCAATGGCGCATGTGTTGGGGGAAATGTTTACATTGGCTCCCGTTACTTGCAGCAGTGGATATTCCATTGTTTATTCCAGCTTGAACAGGATTAGTCCGGGACAGACTAAGTGGAGACTGGCCGGGGTCGAGCTCTGTACTGCTGCAGCTTGAAGCTCTGACGCCCTGGCACGCCTTGGAATATCTCTGGGTAAGAGCAAAAATGAGCGCCTTGCTTCTGAGGTCTCCAAAGCTCTTTCCCCGACCTTGAAGGTCTCTCCGTGTCTCCCAAGTCAGGTACCCTTCTCGGGAAAGGCAGGTACGGGATCCCGTCCTCATTTCAATGTGACCATTCAGGTACGTACCAGATGCACCTTCCGTCTCACCTTGCTTGTCGTTTGCTGATCCTCGCCATTGCTCATTGTCAGTGACTTCCTTCTGGTCGGCCCTCACATCTCATTCTCTCTTACCAGCAGCTGCCTTTTCCCTTACGGCGCCTAAAGCCATTGGCAGCCCAACAACTGCGATACAAGACCAATTGGCTCAATGGATCATAGTCATGCAATTGCCGACCTTTGAGTCAGCTTTGCAGCAGCCTTTCTGCAAGATGGCGCTGCCAACTCAACACCTTAGGTCGAGCTAGAGCTTCCACAGAGCTGGCCTCAAAAAAAAAAAAAAAAAAAAAAAAGAAGGGAACGAGTCGCGCCGCCCTGTACGTCAATAACGCCGTCAGGAATCAGCACCAATTCGCTTCTCCCCGCTGCTCACGCAAGCTCCGACAGTGGGTCGTCTAGCATTGATTGCCCTGGCGAACTGCTGAAATCCGACCAATTCACCATCTTGGTTCTCGCTTGTGTCTGGGTCCTTCCCTACACCAAAGATTGCAGGCTTTCCCGTTCATCAGCAACTGAATTACCCCAACCTCCCGTGGCCGGGCTGGCCCTGATGGCAAATCGAGCGATGCAGAAGCAGAGAAACTGGGACCTTGGACCAAAATAGGGGCCCCCCGGATTCTCGCGGCGAGACTGGGCCAGAACCAGAACCTACAAATTTCCAGGTCCACAGCCTGCCGCCTCGCCGATGGGCCATTGGGATGCCGTGATGGGCGCCACAAGCTTAGCTTCCGCCAATCAGTGACCGTGTCACTTATGCTCGGCCATGAGGCCAGATGAGAGACACGATGACAGACGCTAAGACAAGAGGCCGCGGTCCAATGTCTCCAGCTGCAACGTTCAGCGCTGCATCTGCACCCTGACCTATCCGGCCTGGTCGCTGCCCATCACATCGGGCAGTTTGTTTTGACACACTCACTACAACAAAACAATGGACGGGGTGGCTGGGTACGAAGATCATCGTTTCGCCTATGGCCCAAATTGCCCGCTATCGACTGTCTGCATGGCTTGAATTGCCTGACCGCGCCAAACTGGGCACTCCATTGGTCAGCCCGCACAGCTACCCCAACCACCTCCAGCTTCATCCGGCCCTCGACCCTCTTTTTTTCAGGCCGGCGGCTGCTGATGAGGCCTGCTGAAAATCAGCAGTTAGTATTTTTCCCCTACCAATACGGAGTTGGAATACTGGGCCGTCAGCATCGTGGAATCCATCCATTGGACTGTCGGTCTGCAACCACCGTACAACTTATGCAAGTCGGCGGTCACACATGCCAAACGAGGCTGGCTGGCAACTTTGCTTTTTCCAGGGAGACGTGGCCCAGCGCGCAACCCAAGGCCAGCCCAAGATGTTTGGCCTTCGGGACCCCCGCTGCTGCACCACCCGAGTGGGGGCTTATCAACAAACCATGGATGGAGGCTGACCGTCGGCTTCCCCATTTCCCCTGAATCAAACCGAATGGTCCAGAGTGTCTTCATCGTCGCAGGACTGTCCTCGCCCTTGTCTGGGGAGGCTGGAGTTGTTGATAACCAGTTGATCACCCTGTCCTCGTCGATTCCCATCGACCTTGATTTACTTTGAAGGTTTTCCGCCACGGCACAGGACCAGACGAACTTTTTCGGGACGCACGGGTACTCCCTTGACATATCCATGGTTGCCCTGACGACAGAAATAGTCCCGGCTCCCGCTCTAGCCGCATGGGGAAGCCACCTCTTCGGCACTGAGCCATCTGCGCCGAGAAGAAGTATCTACCAGAAGCGCTGAAAGTTGCGGGATTACAGTCTGTTGTTGAATCACATGAAGACTGCTTCCCATCCTCAAATTTCCACTGATTGGTGTTGTCAGTCCAACGAGCAAGTTCGCGGCATTCACACAAGAAATTCTTGACAAGAACAGGGACTTCATTTGACAAGGATCCCATCGCGCAAACCCTCTGGTTAAGATGAAACCCGATTGGAAGGCAACTGAAGTCGAAAAAAAACTCTACAGACATTTACGATATTGATTGCAGACACAGGTGCCGGGGTTGTCGTCACTATCGAATAATAACAGTTGGACTTACAAGAAGTTGTATGGCGGTTGCTGCCAGCAGCTAGTGACTTGACAGTACCTGGGCAAGTTGCACCTGCACTTGGTAGCTATCTCCAAATAGCTTCGCAGCCCACCGGCACGTCAATCAATAGGAAACCGATACATCCCATCCGAAGGTGCCCGCGGACACCTCGGCGTTCCATAACGGCCGAGTTACAATATGAGAGAACTTGCAATAAGGCATTCGGTCTCAGCGGTTGGTTTTTGAGGCTCGCCCATAGGTTGCAAGTGGCCGAATATGCAGCCCAGGCGGCACGAGGTTTTCAGACAATGGACTCTTCGTACTGGGCTTGAGAAAGTTGTGATGCATCTTAAGCTTTTAATCGTGGCCCTAGCCTTTCGTAAACTGTTGCCCTGAGATGCGCATTCCGATGGAATGTTGTTGCGTTGGGGCCTCATGATGACAAAGAAAACTCCAACATGATGAAGGCGAACCGTCGCCGCTGCCACCCGCTAAATTAGTTAGACATTTGAGTACGCCAGGCCGCGGGCCGCTCGAGGCTACGTTTTTTCGTCGTTATTCCTCCTTTGTTCGCTGAGCTGTCAACTGTCACCAGCTTGTCAAGCTCCAACGTACAATGACATTGACAGCTTGGACGATGGCGTGGAGCTCGATCTGCGTCATCGACCCAATCATCAAGACAAAGCTACAGGCTGTTGCTGATGGGTTTATAAGATAACAACGACCTTTGTAAAGTTTTTGATATAAACTCTGCTGTTCAAATAGACTGAACTGAATTACCAAACAAACTTCAAAATCCATCTCTTCAACAATAACCCGCTTCAATGAGAACAGACGACAGTGGCACGTGACGTCATCGTGGCGCTCCACATCTCAGCCACAGCTGCCCCGCGATTATTCATTCACCTCACAGAATCTGCCCCTCAATGACTCTGTTGGCACACATCTACACCGAAAGCTCTCACGAAACACCTGGCGCCAAACTGCCATATCCTCTACAAGACTGCTATCAGCCACCATCGCAGTCATGAAACAAAGATTTTCCTCCATAGACGTCAAAGTCATCGCTCACGAGCTTCAGGAGAATCTTGTGACCTTGCGACTGGCCAACGTGTACGACCTCTCTTCCAAGATTCTGCTTCTCAAGTTTGCGAAGCCCGACAACAAGAAACAGCTCATCATCGACTCGGGATTTCGATGCCATCTTACAGATTTTACGCGCACGACAGCTGCGGCCCCCTCGGCCTTCGTCACAAGGCTGCGCAAGTTCCTTAAGACGAGGAGATTGACCCAGGTCTCACAGATCGGAACTGACAGAATCCTCGAGTTCCAGTTTAGTGACGGCCAGTACCGCTTGTTTCTCGAATTCTTTGCTGTGAGTGTACTCCGCCGTAGAAAAACCGACGTTGGCATGACTGACAAATCACCTCGCGCAGAGCGGAAACGTCATTTTGACCGACGCCGACCTCAAGATTATCACACTGCTGCGAAACGTTCCCGAAGGCGAAGGTCAGGAGCCACAAAGGGTCGGACTGACATACTCGCTTGAGAATCGACAAAACTTTAATGGCGTTCCACCTCTGACAAAAGAGAGAATACGAGATGCGCTCAAGGCCTCGGTGGAGAAGAGCGCAGCGGCAGCCGCGGCGGGCAAGAAGAACAAGGCGAAGCCGGGAGACGAGTTGAGGAGAAGTCTTGCGACCACGATCACGGAACTGCCCCCTATCCTGGTGGATCATTCTTTCAAGACTACGGGTTTCGACGGCAACAAGAAGCCCGCTGAAATCCTGGAAAACGAGACCTTGTTGGACGGCCTTTTAACAGCTTTGACAGAGGCACGAAGCATTGTCCAGGACGCTACAAGTTCTGCCAATGCCAAAGGCTACATTTTTGCAAAGTACAGGAATCAGGAACAGGAGTCATCAACACAGGAAGGGGAGGAAACGAAGCGTTCGAATCTGCTATACGAAGATTTCCACCCTTTCTTGCCTAACAAATATGCAAATGATTCTTCGATCAAGGTCCTCGAATTCGACACTTTCAACAAGACAGTAGATGAGTTCTTCTCGTCGCTGGAGGGCCAGAAGCTTGAGTCGAGACTCTCCGAACGAGAGGCAGCAGCAAAGAAGAAGCTCGATGCAGCCAGAACGGACCAGGCAAAGCGTATTGAAGGCCTGCAGGAGGCCCAGTCGCTCAATGTGCAGAAAGCCACGGCTATCGAGACCAACGTTGAGCGTGTCCAAGAAGCTATGGATGCTGTCAATGGTCTCCTTCAGCAGGGCATGGACTGGGTCGACATCAGCAAACTAATTGAGCGAGAGCAGAAGCGCAATAATCCTGTCGCCGAGATTATTAAACTGCCTCTTAACCTTGCGGACAACATGGTCACTCTGTTGCTTGGCGAAAACGAAGATATCGAAGATGATGACTCGAACTATGAGACCGACTCAGACGCGTCGGACAGCGAGGATGAAAATTCCGACAACAAGCAGAAGACAACTAAGAGCTTGGAGGTGGATGTCAACATTGGATTATCACCTTGGGCCAACGCAAGAGAGTACTATGAGCAGAAGCGGAGTGCAGCTAAGAAGGAGGAAAAAACCGTTCAGCAGTCGCAGGTTGCCCTGAAGAACGCCGAGCAAAAGATCCAAGCCGAGTTGAAGAAGGGCTTGAAGCAAGAGAAGGCGGTACTGCATCTTACTCGCAAGCAGATCTGGTTTGAGAAGTTTATTTGGTTTATTTCATCCGACGGATACCTTGTTCTTGGTGGCAAGGACGCTCAACAGAACGAAATGCTGTATAAGCGTTACCTTCGTAAGGGCGATGTCTATGTTCATGCGGACATGCATGGCGCCGCCACGGTCATTATTAAGAACACACCAAGTGACCCTGACGCGCCAATTCCACCTTCAACATTGGCGCAGGCTGGTACGCTTGCTGTCTGCAGCTCGAGCGCATGGGACTCCAAGGCTGGCATGGGTGCCTGGTGGGTGAAGGCCGACCAGGTGTCCAAGTCCGCACCGACAGGAGAGTATCTCCCCACCGGAAGCTTCATGGTCCGTGGCCAGAAGAACTTCTTGCCTCCTGCCCAACTGTTGTTGGGCATTGGTATCATGTTTAAGATCAGCGAGGAAAGCAAGGCAAGGCATGTGAAGCACAGACTGTACGACGGTTTTGCTACCCCGGCCTCGGCATCAGACAGCGCCGCTCAGGGTTCTGGAGCGGACGCCGCCCAAACTAAGGATGATGAGGTGGACGACGCTTCTGATATCGGCTCTGACGACGATCAAGAGGACGAGAAGCCTCGAGACAATCCTCTTCAGAGCCTTGGGCAACACGGGCAAGACGAATCTGAGGAAAAGCTCGCATCCGAGGAGCCGCCAACCGATGAGGTGGAGAAGCTCAAACTCAACGAAGACAAGGCTGACGAAGCGGATGAAACCTCTGCAAACGAACCTGCGAAATCATCTGAAGAAGAGAAAGAGGAGGAAGAGGAAGAGGGAGAGGAAGAAGATGCCACTGGAACTTCTACGCCCGCGGAGCCTGGTGCTGTTCCCAGCTCCCAAGCCAGCACCGCAGCTACCGACAAGCAGCGACCTGCCAAACGAGGCCAAAAGGGCAAGGCAAAGAAGATTGCGGCCAAGTACAAGTACCAAGATGAAGAGGACAGAGAAGCGGCCGAGGCGTTGTACGGCTCTGCGCGCGGCAAGCAAAGAGCTGAAGCCGAGGCGCAAAACAAGGCACAGAGAGAAGCGGAACTAGCAGCTCAGAAAGAGCGTCGTAGAGCACAGCACCAGCGCCAGCAGAAGGAGATTGCCGAGCACGAAGAGATTCGCCGGCTGATGAACGAGGAGGGTGTCGAGGTGCTTGACGCCGAAGAGATGGGCAAGATGACGCTGCTGGACAACCTCGTTGGCACGCCTCTCCCTGGAGATGAGATTCTGGAGGCCATTCCCGTCTGCGCGCCTTGGAATGCCATGGGCAAGTTCAAGTACAAGGCCAAGCTCCAGCCGGGTGCGGTGAAGAAGGGCAAGGCGGTCAAGGAAGTGTTTGAGAAGTGGAAGGGAGACTCTTCGAAGAAGGGTGCCATTGATGAGCGAGCTCAGGATAAGGAGAGGATGTGGCCTCGGGAGGTTGAGCTGATTAAGGCGCTCAAGGCCGAGGAGGCTTTCAACTGCGTTCCTGTGGGCAAGGTCAGGGTGATGATGGCTGGCGGTACGGGAGGTGCTGCCGGAGCCAAGGGCCAGCAGGGGAAGGGAGGTCGCGGTGGAAAGGGTTCCAAGAAGAAGTGAGAGCTGGTCTGTGAAGACATTGAATACGGGTAGTACGCCAGGCACAGCCCTGGTCCGTTTGAATGTTACAAGCCCCGTTTAAATGATACATGTCACCCCATTCGAACCACCCGTGTGACCAAGAGCATGCTTATCACTAACAAACCAATGAATCTCAGTAATACCGTGAAAGAATAGAAGCTGAAGTAACGGGAACCATATATGTATTACACGTTAGAACGACTCCAACTCGAATCTTCAAAACTTATGCTATTCACACACGGCACCTAAAGCTTCTTGGCCATCTCCAACGCCTTCAAGAGATCCCTCTTCTGATGTTCCGAAGTCCACTTGAACTTGACATCGCCAGCCCGATCCGCACGCACCTCCTCCTCCGTAGCCCAGACGAACGCATCGTGCTCCTCGGGGTCGATCAGCACCTTTGGCTCGCCGTCCTCCCCGTTCGCCTCGACCTCCACAAGATACGTAAACTTGCGCCACGCGTCGCGGCCCTTGGCGGCCTCGGGCGATCTCTCTTCCGCGCCGCCGCCTCCCGCCGCCGCCGTAGTTTCAACCCCGGCATCGGACGGTTCGCCTGCAATACCGACGCCGCCTCCGGGGAGAGCTAACGCCTGATCGCCGGGGACAGCGGGGGCGTCGACGCTGGGGCCGAAACCGGACCACTTGTAACTGCCCACGAGACCTTTAACCCTGGCGGCGCGCAGGCCCGTTTCCTCCCACAGCTCGCGCATCGAGGACGCGACGAGGTTGCCGTCCACGGACTCGGCGGCGCCGCCGGGTACCTCCCAGCAGTGCGGAAGCGCCTTTTCTTTGGCAGAGCGCTGGAGGACCAGGATCCGGTGCGGCGTCGACGAGAGGTTGAGGACCGCCGCGCCGACGGCCAGGCGGTGGGTGACCAGGTCGCGCGGGTCCGTTGTGGCGGAGGGGTTGAGGGGGTGGTAGGGGACTAGGTATGGGTTCAGGGCGGACGAGGTGGTGTATGATAAAGGGGGGTTCGGGGGCGGCGGAGGCATGTTTGATTTGCGTGGGATTGGAGTTGTGGTGAATGCGCGGTAGTGGTGGTGGTGGTGGTGGTGTTGGTGGTAGTTTGGACGGGTGGTGAGAGAGAGGAGGAAGGGGGTTAACGAGCGGCGTGTTGATGGATTCATTTTTTTTGTAGATTGCTGGTGCCTGAACCTCCGTCTTTTCCTTTCCGCCTTCAGTAGGTGGTTGTGTGTCTCAGTCGGATTGGTGGGTGCAGCAGCCGTTTGCTGGTTGCCTGCTTTAGCTTTGTTTTGTAATGTTTATGGTGTCAGATTCGGGGGATTGGGGCCGACTGTTATGGCGGAAGCGGGAGTTGCCGATGCCGGGGACGGGACGGATTTCGGACACCGGTGCGGAGATGGTTTCGGTGGGTTTCGTGACGTAGGGGAGGTTGATGTAGGATTGTGCCACTGTCTTTTTTTCTTTTTTCCTTCGGTTACAGTACTTGGTCCACTGTTATGGTCTGATCTGCAGTTGGAACTTGGCCCGGGATGTGGGAATGCATTCCCGCTATTTATAGTCCCGTTATTGGTACGGCAGGCTCTAATATAGATATTCTACAAAAACCCAGAAGCTTCATGATACTTTTCCTCAGGTGTTTTTACTACGATGTGAACAACATCCTCCATTTATTGGCTAAGCATACATATCTCAAGTTGTCTGTACTCAACAGAAGAGGCACAACAACGAGGTAACAGAGTTGACTTGCAACTAACAAGAGTCTTGAGGTGCTAGTATCTTAGGCAGACACGTTGATAGAATTGTTGCATCCAGAAAAAAGAAAAAAAATGATTGATGAAGAGTCTTGGGTGGTTTGTGCTTCCATGACTAAACAAGTAGTCGCCATCTTGTGCTGCCACTACTTAGACCATCCAACTTCGCATCCTCTTCAACCAAACCCCGACTTCGGCTTGGTTCGCAGTCATCATGCTCCCACCTAAACCGGCATGGCCATTCGTATGGACTCGACATCGCTTAAAACTCCTCAGAAACCCAAATCAGCCGAGAACTAGTCGACGCTAAATCCCAAAGTGGTAGTGAGCGAGCTCGGTCGTCTAGACTAAGAACGAAAGCTAGCTTAGCACGTAGAAAAAGCAAAAACACGTCCCAGCTAGATGGAAACCCCGCCGAAGAAATCCACAACTGTCTTTGTCTAGACTGACATACTCGGCAGTTTGTTGGTCTCGGCCTCGCTCGCTTGGGGTTGTTCGTGCAGATCTGGAGTTAAATCCACGGGGAAGGGGGGGGGGGGGGGGGGCATATGCTTAGCACCATGTTATGAGACATGAGGTCTCTAACCAGTCTTCAGAATACTCTTAAAGCGCAGATGTTTTTCTAAAATTGCCAAGAATGATATTCTGAACATTTCCACATAAAACCGATCATATCGAGGCAATAAGAGTCTAGCAAGGGGCACCACAACTGTGACCGTGGTTATGAATCTTTTCAACCATGTCTGGTTCATTTTGCAAGCTTCCTATCTTATCATGAAGATTCAGGTAGATTTATGTCGTTCAACAGACACCTTGCCGAGCATCCGAGTCCACGTAACGCAGCCAATAGTATTGCACCTCGACCCTTTTCCTGGCGTCAAGCGGTGCGTGCATGAAATGACATGCAGTGGCATTCGGCGCCGCTGTTTCTCTGCTTGGCACTTCACTCTTTGGCATTTCTCAACTGGCTATGTGAGGTTGCTTGAGGCTATTTGCAAGCTAAGCATTCCCTAGCTTAGCTTCCCCTGTCGTTCCTGGTGATTGGCCGCCACCCGAGCCGTCACCGGAGACCGGCTGGCAAGCCACATGGCGGTTTACCCCTGGCTATATCTCTTTTGGAGTTTACACTGTCATGAACCCGGAGGAGTTCCCGAAATCGACTTGGTTTTACGGTTCCCCTTAACCTGAAGTTCACCATGGTCCAATTTCCAGCTTGTTTGGACTCTGAGCCGAGCCTCCCGGGTGCCACTGCAACGGGCCGCACCAAAGCGTCCGGCCGCGAGGCGTTTCTCTCGTGTAAGCTGTAACGCTAAGCATGTCGATTATGGCGGGACCAAGGGTCCGGAGACATCCCCATACAGAAAACCCCCGTCAACATAAGCTTTTTTAAAAAGACGGGACCCCAAGTTCTATGGTAATGAGATGCCGCTCCCTCAATCTCTCATCCGGCCCTTCGTTCTTTCTTTTTGCGGCATACGCAAGTCCTTTCTTCCTTTCCCTGAGGTGACTATCGACCATGGGCAGAAACGCCCCGGCCCGTCTGGCCGCAGCCATCTTGCTGGCATTGCAAACCCAGACAGTGGCAGCCATTCCTTTCAACGGGCACGCTCGTGCCGTGACTAAGCCCCCAGTTAATGGCTACACGTACCAAGGATGGTATGTTCTGTCGTATCTCAGTTTTGAAGCCACTGCTGATGAAATTAAGCTATTCTGAGCCATCCAACGGCCGCGCTCTCGAAGCAGTCACCGGTGATGACGCCATGACGCTTGAGATGTGCGCCAACATCTGCTCTGCCTCCAGCAAGGCGTACTTTGGCGTCGAATACGGAAGAGAGTGTTGGTAGGTGTAAATCTGTGGTTAAGTCGATAACGTCACTAACAAAATCCAGGTGCGGAAGCAAGCTGGCTGACAGTGCAGTCCCCGCGGCCGACGAGTCTGAGTGTTCCTTTGCCTGCCCTGGAAATTCTGCCGAGAACTGCGGAGCCGGCAACCGACTGAACCTTTACAAAAACGACGACATCACCATCCCCCAAGGCCCTTCTGCCAAGGCCCAGGCCGGAAACTACATCTCCTTGGGATGCTACAGCGACCTTGTACAGGGACAGCGCGCTCTTTCTACCGTGCGTGCTGATGATGCCATGACTCCGGACATGTGTGCGACCTTCTGCGCCGGAAGTGCGTATATGGGCATTGAATATGGTAAGCATACCACAGCGGAGACTTTGGTTCGAATACTAAGGGGTATGCAGGAAAGGAGTGTTGGTGCGGCCGCAACCTGAACACCCTCAGTCAACTCGTCAAGGACGAGACTGACTGCAACATGCCGTGCCCTGGAGAGAAAACCAGCCTTTGTGGTGGTCCTTCGCGCCTGAACCTGTACTCTATGAACCCATCAGCAGCCATCTCAAGTACAAGTTCCGCAGCAGCTAGCACGCCCACCGATCGTGTAGGCGACTTCATCCACCGAGGATGCTGGACTGACGAGCGCGCCGATGGCAGAACTCTTTCTGAACTGAACGCTTCCGACGATATGACTATCGACATGTGCGCGACCTGGGCTATTTCCAAAGGATACCGGTACTTTGGCATTGAGTACTCGCGCGAGTGCTGGGCTGGTAATGACCTGAACCCAAGCTCCAGCTCTGCGGACTTTTCTAGCTGTAACATGAGATGCGCCGGCAACGCGAATGACCGGTGTGGAGGCCCCGATCGTTTGGATCTCTACAGTTACAGCCCTGCCCCTTTGTCGACTTCATCTGCCGAGGATTTGTCGGTCTCTTCAACTTCGATTGTTTCCTCTGAGACAGGCTCGTCAACCGAATTGGCCAGTATGTCAGCATCATCCGACTTAGATTCTTCTTCTTCTATCGGCGCCTCGTCAACTTTGCTCGCAGATGTATCAGCGACATCATCAGAATCCGCCTCATCTGACTTCGTATCAACAACTTCAATCGTAACTGCTCAAGAATCGACTTCATCCGCCGATGCGTCAGCGACTTCTTCAGACTCTACCTTCTCTGACATTGGATCATCGGCTCTTCCTGCCGCCAGCTCTGCTCCAAATGACTCGACTCTACCCCATACAGCCAGCGCTCAACTGACTGATGCGACACCCGGAGATAACGCTCAGATCGAACAGGTTGATGGGAAGACTGTCATGTACGTTATGAGAGTTCCAGGTGCTCGATCTTTGCTAACCGATATTCTAGTTCTTTGACACCACCCGTCAACGGCCAAGCCACCGTCACCGTTCCCGCAGCCGCGGCGCCTGATGTCCGGCCTGGCGACTCTGTCGTGGTGCAGCTGACCTACAAAACCGATCCCACAGTCACTAAAAAGCGCGCGGCGAAGCGTGCTGTTCTTTCGGAGTGCACCTTGACCATGACCGTTGGAGGTACCGTCATCTACTCAAACAGGATCTGGACAACCGATGGAAGCTACACGACCGTGACTAGCATGCCTACTAGCGCCGGCGGCCTGACAACTTTGATAATCGTTCAGTACTGCCCTGACACCGCAGTTCCGATAGTCATTGGAGACGTCGGCGTTGCATCTACACCGGCATCGAGCTCGAGCTCGAGCATTTCGGGTGTTATTGTATCGTCTACAGTCATCATCACCTCGGCTACGGCTTCACAATCCAGCACCGCGTTTTTGGCTGCTTCCGTCCCCCAAACAACAACTACGCCTACTACTACCTCGGTAACTTGGTACAGTGCTCAACCATACCAGTCCGGCGCATGCAGCCGGGGAACTGGATCTGGCGGTTGTATTCTGTCTGGTGCGCCTGTGGCAACCTCTGGTTTGCTGGCGGCAGCGACTCCTATCCCTATCGCCAAGAACGGTGACCCGACCGTGGCCTACGAGCTTTGCGCACGCATGTGTCAAAACACAGTCGGATGCCAGAGTTGGGCTCTGGACAGGACCGTCTCTGACAACGCTCCTGAGTGGAAGTGCTACTTCTACTCGGGTGCCATTCGAAGTTACGCCATCTCCTACAACGGTCTTTACAGAGATATCGTCTGGTTCGGCAGTGATTGCTATGCCTGCTCGCCCCAAGAACAGGTTGCTTATATCCCCAAGTCATTGTCGTCAAGCGCGAGTTCCAACACTGTGAATGCCGTCAGTGTATCCAGTTCCCCTTCATCATCATCCCTCCCACTGGTGAGCTCAACCGCGATCGTGTTGTCCAGCACTTCATCGATGGTTGCGGCGAACAGCATCCCCAAGTCTAGCTCGGCCTCAAGTATCTCAAGCACTCAACCTCCGGTTGTACCTAGTTCTACGCGGCCTCAACGACCAGGTGTGACCCCTTTCTGGTCGATTCAGACCCTTTCGATGCCCACTACGGTGACCGAAACTTCATGCCCTCGCCCGACTTCCGCCAACTGGTACGAAGCCGGCTGCATCTTGTCCGGCGCTCCTCTTCAGACCTCGGGTCTTGTAGCCGTTGCCACGGGAATCCCGGCACCGCCGTCGAGTTCCAACCCCAACTTTGAGGCCGCCTACCAGGCTTGCGCTCAGATGTGCGCGTCGATATCTACTTGCAAAAGCTGGGCTCTCGACCGAGGATATTGGCCTGCTGATTATTCCGACTGGAAATGCTACTTTTACTCCGCCGGCGCCAGGATCATGGCCCCTCAGAACCAGGGCCAGTACTGGGTCGTATGGAACGACAAGGGGTGCTATGACTGTCCGACTCCTTCGGTGGCCTTGCTGTCGCCGACTCCCTCGCAGTTCTCGACAGCCTCGCCCATTGTTTCCTCCACACCCGCTTCCTCTACGCCTGTTTCATCCACTGCCGCAGTCTCCACGCTCAATGCCGTTTCTTCGACGGCAGCCGCCCCGACAGCAACACAACCCCCATCCGAACCCTACGTCTTCTCGGTTTCGGCGTACACTTCCGGCACCTGCGATCCCCAGCCCAACAATGACGGACAGACCAACTGTGCCCTCTCCGGCTGGCCCACCCCAACATCAATGTCCGGCCTCCTGGCCGTAGCCACCGGTGTTCCCCCAGTCCCCTCGGGCGTCTACGACTTTAGTCAACCACTCGAGATCTGCGCCGGTGCCTGCCGTAGTGTCGCCGGCTGCAACACTTGGGTCGTCGACCGAGGTAACTGGCCTGTTGACCTCTCCAACTGGTCTTGTTACATGTACAACTTTGTAAACGCCAGCAACTACTACCTCCCTGGAAACTACTTCCGCCTCACAACACCCGGTTCGGACTCCAGAAAGTATGTCTGGGGAGTGACGGAGTGCTACAACTGCACACTCAGCCAGGCAATCTCATCCTCCCGCTCCAGCAGCATCATCAACGGCCCATCTTCAACAAGTATCGTCTTCAGCAGCAGTCCTTCCTCCGTCGTATCCGCAACATCAGGACCGTCAAGCACAGCAACGGCATTCGCCACAACGTCAGCCGCAGCAGCAGCAGCAACAGTAACGACATTCTCTGCACCTCCGCTACTGACGTCTTGCAAGGTACCCACCGCCGCGCAGTGGTACACCAACGGCTGCATCCAATCCGGCTACCCGACCGCGACGTCCGCCCTCCTCGCCGTCGCCACGGGCATCGCGCCCAACGCCGTCGGCGACTACAACTTCGACCCGGCGTACCAGCGCTGCGGAAGCATCTGCGCCGGTCTGACGGGCTGCCAGGGCTACGCGCTCGACCGCACAAACGCCACCGCCTGGAACTGCAGCTTCTACAGCGCGCCCGTCAACGCGCTGCTCCGCGACCTCAGGCCGTCCATCGACTACCGCCCTGTGGTCTGGATGAGCTCGCTCTGCTATAACTGTCCTGTTCCTGCCCCTTGGCCCCCGGCCGTGTCGTCTTCGTCGTCGTCGGGATCGTCATCATCCCCTGCGTCTTCCTCCACTGTAACAATCGTAGGATACGCGCAAACCACATTATCGTCATCATCAACGGTATCCATCGTCAGTTATTCGCAAAGCACAGCCTCGCCGAGCGCCTCCGTCGCCTCCGTCCCAACGGCCTGCGTGCGCGCATCTGCGCCGCCGGCAACTGCAAACTGCAACATCAAGGGTTTCCGCGAGCCCGCCAACCCCACGAGAGCCACGTACGTAGAGCAGCAGGTCGACTGTGCCGCGTACTGTCTCGGTCTCGGAGCGACTTGCAAGAGTTGGGCTTGGGTTCAGACAACAGGGTGGTGCGGTGTGTACGGCCTGGCTGCATGGGACGCCATTGGCGACTCGGCGGTCGCTGGTCGCGCGTACAAGGATAATGTCATGGACGAGCCTGGGTGTTGGAGTTGTCCGGATGGCGTGGTGGTTCATTACCTTCCCTCTTAGATGTGCAGTAGTATATGAAGGATGTTAGGTTTGGGGTCAAGTGTAATCTTGACAGCCTTGGCTGGTGTTGTTAAAAAACATGGGCGGTGGGATGACGGAGTTTATGTACATGTGATATATATATATATATATATATATATCAGTAATATATGAATAGAAACTTTCCTAATTAACATCGACCGTCGACCGGCCGAGTTAGTAAATCCTGAGCTTGCGCTTCACCCACCCGAAAGCCGCCCATTGGCAATCTACCAACTCCGTCTTCCCCTCGACGTATAACGCCTCGACGCGCTGCCACGTTTCGCCCTGGTCCGTCGACGCCACGACCAAGATGAGCAAACCGGGATTCTCGGAAACGATATCTGACGGCTTGCCCTGGGCAAGGTGTACGCTCCCCAAAACGAGACAGAGGGCCTTGCGGGGGTCAGATATCTGGTCTGCATGTAGGCCGTAAAACGCAAACGCGCGCTCCAGCTTTTCGACAAGACTGGGTCTGGCCAGCTTGTCCCGCGCATCCGGATTATCCTCTTTGAACGGATTGATAGAGTCGTCTTCAGGCGGCGGTGACAAGAGGTCCTGGACGCTGAACGTCCAACCGTTCGCGATCAAGGATTTGATGGACCCGTCGTCTCGGTCACTGGTCAACTTGACCATCTGTTCCCTTGTCATGGTGCCCCACGGAAAGACGTAGTCATCATCGTACACAAGAGACAGCTTCGCGGATCCGACATATCGGACTGATGCCCCGAGATAAAACGAATTGACGACCCACCAAGCTGCGTGCGGCCACTTGGATGAGATTCGCCATCCTAGCCACGTCCAGCTCGGGGCTTTCCGCCGCTCTTGAAGGCGTTCGATGGGATGAGGGATACACCACCATAAAGCTCGCGAAAGATCGCATTCTTTCGTATCGACTTCGAGCCCGTACATGAGGTAAGTGTCGGAGCTGACGTCGTTGAGGTGCGTCTGGAAACCCTGGAACGCGCAAAACACGTCCGCTTCTACCGAAAGACATCTGTGGACGTAGGTCGACACGTACCACAACTCGTTCATGTCAAAACGCCAAGCGGGCATGAAAAGCGAGGACCGACAGTCCGTCGAGCCCTCGATACAGCTCTCCAGCCCGCGGTCCCTGTGGTCGCCGGCCTCGAACAGGGCAAAGTAGTCGGTGAAGTACAGGCGTCTCGGGGACAATGCTGCCTCCTGGAAAGTCCACGCCCGCGAATTCCACGTCGAAAATCGGATTTGTTTCCGGACCCAAGGCCGGTAAAGCCAGTGTCGTAGCACATGTGACCCGCATCGGAAGGTCTGGGGCAACTGCCGCGCCGTCTTGCCGACCCCTGGTAGTCCATACTCAGGCCCCGATCCGGCGGATGCGATGATGGCGAGGCACGAGCGGGAGTAGATGAGGTTCATATTCCGTATCTGGTTCATGCGCTCTCTGTGATCGTCTTGGGGGATGCAGTACCGGTCGATCCAGATGTAGCGGAAGCCCAGGGAATTAGCCGTCTCAATAGCATCTTCGATAACACGCGGTAGCCTTTTTGGTAGGTTGCGGGCGTCCAATGAATGTTCTGATGGCTCGGCGCCCCAAACGTAGCTCAAAGTGACATACTCGATGTTCTTGAAACTACCAACCGCTGTGATGCATTCGGATAAACTAATGACGGACTTGGTGGCGCAATCGATGACTCTCCACCCAGGGATATTATCCATGAACCGTCTTTCCCAACTTGACTGATCGGCGCTGGGGAGGTGGTGCGTACATGGTGAAGCTGCCGCAGCTTCACTGATGACAGCAAAGTCAGCCGTTATCCTTGGCGCGTCCCAATCCGGGTCCATCAAGATGAGCTTCTTTCCAGAAGGGCATTTGGAGAACTTGGTTGTTCTGCAATAGTACATGAACCGATCCTTGTCTGGCGGCGACGGTGCTGATGGCTGAGATATTCGGATAACTGCCACTAACCGCCTAGTTTGCTCCTTGGAGCCACGGAAGAGCTGGAAACATAACAGATCCAAACCCATGTCCGAAGGCTGGTCTAAAGCCGAGTGTCTGATACTGCAGAGGAACGTGCAGAAATCGCAGCCGTGGTTGGGACTGATATGGTCAATCCGCAGACTCATCCCATATACCATACCATGTTTGTCAGCCCATAATACTGGATGATGTGCAGTTAACTCATCATCCCGAGAGCTTGAACCCCCTAGCGAAGCTTCATTTTGACCAAGTTTGGCTACTGCTTCAGAGAAGACACTGTCAAAGTCAATGGATGCGCAGCCCTCGCAGATTCTCTCCCGGAAAAGGAGGTCTGCCGCGTCCTGGGCCATTGCGTAAATATCAAGATCGTTGATTCATCCCATGGTTGGTTTTGCTGCTTCGTAACGTGACGGAGGTTGTAGTTGGACAAAGTTGCCAAGGCAGACACGGGCTGTGAGGGTAGTCAGATTAAACCCCGCGTCCTGGCCAATCACAAAGAATCATGCAATGGGTGGAACTACCACATGACTGCGCATGACTGTGCGGTTCCATGTGAATCGCCGTCTAGCTTATTCAAGATTAGGTATGTATTTGGTATAGACGAACAGTGAGTAATCATACAGTCAATGTTTGAAGACGGGTGAATTGAGCATATTTAAAAGAAATACACGATAGTGGATAGGCCTATCAAGAAACGGATTGACCTTGGATCAGACTTGAGGTGTGATCGCCGTCGTCAAGCTTTATTAATGAAACTATGGAAGAGTAAAAGCCTGACTCTTCTTTTTGATGGTTGATCTGTACAGAGGATAAGAATGTTACTAAAGAAGGCTTTCCGCAAGTAGACATGGGCGAAGCTTAAGTCACGTATCGGAGAGTCAGGAACAACTTGGTTAAACAGCGTGGTTTGTCCAAGAGAAACAAACAATCTTCCGGAAGACCGTTAATGGTGCAGTGATGAAGTGTGCATCAAGGAGCATCATCATACGTCGGAGTCGGACCCTACGGTCGTTGTGGAGAGCCGGCAGTGCGGGCCTCAAAGCGCAACTGCTCAGCGTAGTAACTGCGTGTGGCATGATAAATATAGAACGCTCACTTGCAGCAGACTTCTAATTCCAACGACATTTATTCCGATGCAGGTCGGAGTAGTTCTAGACCCGCACTGACACGGCCATCGAGTATCTGAGACTGGTTCGAGCTCTGGCGGCCGTCGCTTCCTCCCGCCTTGGCGATAGGCTGATTTGACCTCTGTATGTCTTGGAACAGACCGGAGAGCTTGACAGACGTTCTGCCATGGTTTATTTCAATTCGCGGATATTATGCCGTTTTCTAGAGTCTTCGCGTGTTTACGAATCCCCTCAGCGTTCCATCCTGAAAAAAGCTTCTGGGCCAAGCACTGAATCTACGCCCGGTTTCCACTGACAGCTCGAGAGGACTCATGCGCCTTTTTGACGGTGCGCCGAGATCAAAGCTAAATGCGGAGGCTATCTCGCCCGGTGAGCACGGCCGCATGCTGCACACTTGCTGGGTTAGCATTGAACTGACAGTGGACTTTTCATTAAAAGGTTCAGTCGCCTGTCAATAGAACTCTGGCATCCTTCCTTTTGATTCTGTGGGTGTGAGTCTGAATTGCTGCGTAATAATTTTGTTCTGGCAACGATATATTCTTCAATCTTGAGAAATCAATGTTGGCTCTTTTGTTTACATTCTCGACCTGCGTTGGCGGTTACCTCTGCGTGCGTGATAGCGCATCCAAGAATGGATAAATCCGAAGATAACAAACACGACAGGTTACAGGGCCCCCGGAATGGTCAAATATGCGCGACTGAAATAGTCGATCCGACATCTAAGACAATCGCCGCGAACGGGCAAGGGCTGTACCCACCGTTCGTAACGTTACCGAACGATGCCATCCCTCGTGAAATTCCGACTTTGACAAAGCAGAATGCGGCCTTTGGCAACGATTTCGCATCAGAGAGTGATGAGAATGCTAGCTCTCAGATCTCTTCACCAGGGTATCATACCATGCTGGAAGCCAGTTTGGTTCAGCCTTCACGGCAGCCTGCCTTTGAAGTTGCGGCGGGCACGGCTATGACGACGATCGAATCAAGCCATACGTCATGGGGACATGGCGCGCTGGCTGAAATAAACTCATCATATTTCAGCCATCCAAATCGGACGGGCGAAGGTGGCAGAGCTTCTGAGCCCGAGAATATCAGGGAATCCCTTCTTCCACGACTTCATGAGGGCCTTCTGCCAGCAGTAGGGTCGCCCTTGACCCATCCAAATGGAGTCCCAATCCTTCCAGATATGTCAGTTGAGCAGCAAGCTGTAGAGTCATCAGAGGCCACAGCACAAGCAGAGGGCTCTATTGAGGTGGACAATGATGAGACAGCTTCGGTTCTCAACGCTCCAGAACCGTCTGACGTGGGCTATGAGACTGAGAATGCAACAACTGCGAGTACTTCAATTGGGTCATCAGTTCGCGACTTCTTGTATGAGAATGGGCGAAGATACCATCGATTTAGAGAAGGTCTCTACAACTTCCCCAACGACGAGATTGAGCAGGAACGAGAGGATATGAAGCATGCGACAGTGAAGTTGCTGTGCAGTCAACGGCTGCACTTCGCCCCCATTGGGGAGCACCCGCAGCAGATATTGGATGTCGGGACTGGAACGGGCACTTGGGCCATTGAAAGTAAGTAATGAAAGCCAGCAACAGACTAATAATGCTGATAATCGATAAGTGGGCGATCAATATCCAAGTGCGACAGTGCTTGGCGTGGATCTCAGTCCTATCCAACCGGACTGGGTGCCGCCGAATGTCAAGTTTGAGGTCGATGATGTAGAAAGCCCATGGTTATATCCCAGCAATCATTTTGATTATATTCATTCTCGACATACCGTCATGGCAATCAAAGACTGGAAGAGGCTATTGGAAAGATCCTTAGAGTAAGTGGCAGACCGCAATTTAATCTTCCGTCACTGACACTCTATCAGGCACCTCAAGCCTGGAGGATGGGTCGAACTGCAGGAGATACACTTGTTTCCGTTATCCGCAAACAACTCGCTGCCTGCAACGCACCCGGTTGCCGAGTATTGGGGGCTTGTGGGTAAGGGACTCTTAAACTTGGGAATCGACTTGGAGATGGCGGCAGGTGATAAACTTCCCAACCTGATGCGTGAAGCAGGGTTCGTCAACGTAACAGAGAGATTGTTCCACGTCCCAATAGGAACGTGGCCGCGAAATCGTGTGCTAAAAACGGTGGGCATGTATTTCAGAACGGTACTTCTCGATGGGCTCCAAGCCATCGCCCTGGGACCCTTCACGCGGGGGTTACGTTGGTCTGTGGAGCAGACGGAGCTTTTCCTTGTCGATGTCAGAAAAGCGTATCACGATAACTCGGTGTTGATGTATATGCCGTTCAGGGTGATGTATGCGCAGAAGCCGAAGGATCTGTAGTCAAATATCACAGTAAAGAATAGCGGTTGTCGCGTTGTGAAGCACATTTGGGAGTGACTTTTCGCACTGTTTCAACGTTAGACATAGCATGAGCATTTCGCCTGTACAACCACAAAAGGAATGACTGAGAGAAATCGAAATATATGAAGTTAGGTAGTGGAAGAGGAGGATGAAGTGGATAGATGTCGCAGATGCTGTGTGAAAAGGCCAATTCAGGGACGTCGGCGACCATTGCTGGTTCCGAAATAGCGGAACTCCTGGTATAGCGTGGACCACCACCCACTAAGGTCCACTGAAACAACGTAATTTTGCAGTTACTGATTGGCGCAGTAACCCCAGCTCTGGTCAAATGCCGGCATAGTCATGGGGGAGGAACTGCTGTTGCACTCCTCCTGCAATGATATCCTTGCCCATCGTCACACCTACCCTAGCAACCTGGGTTGAGTGGTTTCTCACCGCTGCATCAACACCAGCCCTGTGTTGTTTGTTCGATGCGACACCACGCAACATCTGACCCCTGCCTGCCAAATTTTGATGTCCGAATGCTTCTGCCCCGCCACTACATGTCTCGAATTTCCGATGACTGAGCTGCGGTAAATGATGGGGATTATTCCCATAGAATGTCCTCTAAGAACATCTTCAATCTAGTACCACCATCCCGAATCCGTCGATGGCATCGACACCGAGCCTAGGCCTCAGTAGAAAGACACTCCTCGCCACAAGCCACAAAGAGACGGAGGACACCGAAGCGGACAAGAACAAAACGCCGTGAGAAACCCTAGACCATGGCGTTGGATGGAAAAGCATGGGCCGACGCTAGTCGATGTCGTCGAAACGATTCAGTTACCGTCCCAGCTTGTCCCGCCCAAGCTCAAGGAGGGGGGACTGTTGACATTTGGCCCATGCTTTTTAAACAGAAGACCGACCCTGCTTTCCAGGCGACCGGGTTTCAATGTTCCAGAATCTTTGCCCATTCTGAAAACTTAACGGCGGAACCCTGATCAGTGTAGCATATCGCGCTCTCTCTGTCGGATTTTGTTGTTACTGAAGACCACCCCACATAAATCCTACAAACTGAACCCAAACTACACGGCCTCGGGTTTCTCGGGACCGAAACACCTGACAGCGTTAAGCGCCAAAACAGCTATCCCATTGCCTTCATTCGTCGGTGATCGAGCTCCAGTCATACACAATGACCAAGTCTAAGCCCAATGCCTGGCCGAATGTTGAGACTGACGCCCCCAATGGAACACCCACTACGTCGCACGCAACAAAAGCAACAGGCTCATCGTCGAGGATGGCAGAGCTCGCAAAGATAATTGCTGTCGAGACTGAAAGGCTGGAGAAGTACATGACGGAAAATGATCTGCCGTTGCCCAGTCTTGATCCCAACGGCCCTTTGGATTTTCCAAAGCTTCCTGAAGACATTCAACAGAGCCGGATGGAGATCATTTTCGCTACCCGAGAGCTAGAAGCCCTGGTGCATGGGCCAAGAGAGGATGTTCGATGGAAAGCTTGGAGTGTATGTCGACCATGATCATCTTTGTGTCCTGAACTAACTATCATGCAGTATCAAGATAGTCTCAGTCTTCAGCTCATCAACCACTTTGGCCTCGGTGAGTGAGCCCATTTCGAGTCCAGAGTCCTTTCTAATTGACTCGAATTTAGCTAAACTCGTACCCATCGACGGCACCATCACACTCGCCGAGCTCCAGACGAAGACTCCGCTAGACGCCGTCAATCTTGCGCGGGTGCTTCGCCATGGCATGACGGCCCGCATATTCCGCGAACCTTCACCTGGTGTTATTGCTCACACCGCCGCATCTCGCCTTTTAGCAGAGGACCAGACACTCCAGGACTGGGTGGGCTACAACCTGGAAGACAACTTTCCTGCCTCTGCCCATGTGCTCCAGGCTCTCAAGGCCTACCCGGAGGCCACCTCTCTGACGAGGACTGGATTCAATGTCGCATTCAACACCGTGGACAAGGAGCCCATGTTCGTCACCTTTGGCAAGGACCCTGCTCGCGCTAAGCGTTTCGGTGGTGCCATGGTCAGTCTTACCGGTGGCGAGGGCTATGAGGTCAGACACTTGGTCGATTCTTACGACTTTGGCGATGTTGACGCTAAGGGGGGAACTCTGGTTGACATTGGCGGCAGCCAAGGGTTTGTTTGCGTTGATCTGGCAAAGAAATGGAAGAACATGAAATTTGTTGTGCAAGATTTGCAGAAAACAATCGACTCGGCGCCGAAGCCAGTGTCCGACGACGCTCAGATCGCCAAGCGCGTCGAGTTCATGGCTCACGACTTCTTCACAGAGCAGGTTGTCAAGAATGCTGACGGTAAGTTTATTCGAGTCTATTGACATTCTGCAATAAAGCTGACGTCCTCTATAGTTTACTTCTTCCGATGGATCATGCACAATTACTCCACCCCTTATGCTGTCTCCATACTCAAGAATCTCGTGCCAGCTATGAAACCCGGTGCGAAGGTCGTCATTAAGGACCACTGCCTTCGCGAGCCCGGACAAGAAACCCCATGGGACGAGAGGATCATCCGCAGCATGGACATGATCATGCTGGCGGTGCTGAACGCTCAGGAACGGGACGAGGAGGAATACCGGGCCCTGTTCAAGGCGGCGGATGAGCGATTCAGATTCAAGGGTGTCTTGCGGCCAAAAGGGTGCCGGATGAGCATTATCGAAGCCGTGTGGGATCCCGAATGGGCCAGGGGCGGGTCTAGAGATTGATAGAGCTTGAAGGAGGAGCGAGAGCTAGATGTTGACGCGTGTTAATATACCCAACATATGAACGCATGATTTCTGGATACAATACTGCATCAAGTGCCAGTTGTACCGATTGTACACACGCAGCTTGAGCTGTCTAGACAAAGCACTGCTGCTACTGCCCTCGACGCATTGTGGAGGCATGGTGGGTTGAGAGCTGGACTCCACATCGCGAGTGGGACGATGAGTCGATCCACGTCGTCCCATGCATTTACCCTACCCTACTTGAGCTGCAAGTTGACATCGTTTAGTCATCAAATCAAGCCAGGCCTGCTGGCGAAATGGCATCGCGTCAGATTTCGGCTTCCAAGTCATACTCTGAAGATTCTAGGTTCGATCCCTAGGTAGGTCGCATTAATTTTTGCATTTTTGCACTTGGTCTTGGACGGTTCTGTTTGAGTATTCCATCGTGGGTCGACGGGTGGTGCGGTTTTCATCACCGAAATGCGTTGGTATGCGAATTTGTTTTGTTTCAATATGCGTCGAGAGAAGAAATCGTATCGTTGATGTTGTTGGATGTGTGGTAACTTCAATGCGACTTTCCTCGTAAAACACCGCATACTCACGAAACCGAACCAATTGGCGTCGTTGCGAGTCATCAGACCAGACAAACTTCATGGCTTCCAGTACTTCTCCAACATCTCTCTCGCCGTCAACGGCTTAATCTCGGGGAACAGCTCATTGAGCGATCCCTCCCTCTCAACCCTCCCCAACCCAGTCGCCATCCACAGCTCGAAAATGGCGAAGAACCACTGCAGCTGCTCCTTGGGAAACTGGCCGTACGAAGCCTTGTGCCCGGGCAACTCGGTGATTTGCGAAGCCTTCAACTTCTCCACGTCGTCGAACGCGACGTCGAATTTGACGCCCTTGATTTCCTCCGCGAGTCTCACGAATTCGTTAAAGGTGAGTTCGTCGCCGACGATGCGCAGCTCGTGGGTCTCTGGCCAGCGGTCGAGGTCAAGCGCCGCGACGACGAAGCGCGCCACGTCGAAAGTGTACGTGAACGTCACGGGGGTGTTACCGTCTCCCGGGATCGCGGCCGCGTTGTGTTCCATGTCGAGCACGATGACGCTGTGCGGCGGGTGGTGCGATTTCAGAGCCGGAGGGGCAAAGTACTCGAGGAAGGTGCCGTTGAGGACGACCGCCCACTCGAGCGATGTCGTCGACGATAGCGCGGCGAGGGACGTGAAGTAGTGTTCTAGCGGAGGGAGAATCTTGACGCCGCTGGTGTCTTGGTGTTAGTTGGACTGATTCAAAGGTTAGGGAGGTGTTGTGGTTTGGCTGACTCTTCGGGGTATCGCATTGCGAACGAGCTCGGGATGAAGCGCTTCGTGGCCGGTGAGCGGTCGGCGGCTTTGATGAGGTTGAGCTGCGATGTCGCGAGGGAGGTACCGTCGATGCCGAAGGCGCTGATGACGGTGTGGATGTTTTGCTCCTCGAGGAAAGACGTGAGAGCGTCCACGTCGGTGTAGTCTACTTGGTACGTCGGCGCAAGGGGCTTTTCATCCGTGTCGGGGGCCTGAGGGTCTGCTGGTGAGTATATCAATTACTCTTTGGAAATGCTCGTTGGCAACGGGCTACCTTGCGAGTGAGGATGATGGCTTGGTGTTTGGTCTGAGATGCCAGCACCTCGATGAGGGTCCGGCCAACGGCGCCCGTGCCGCCTGCGATTGCGACGTTGACCATTGTCATGTGTAGTGTGTATAATTGCTTTGCTTGACTGCTCTACAGGTTTTTCACGGGGATAATTGTGACAAAAATCCCATGTCTTATATCTCAACATCGATCATGTAAGTCATCTCCCAACCGGACCGAAACCGAACCAAGCGCCCGGGTTGTGGGGGTTTCCACGCGGCGGCGTTAGCGGACGTAAGGGCGCGCTCTTTGCGTAGGTTGCTGACAACCATGAAGGCGATCGATGGGAAATTCGCATTCAAAGGACCCGGTTTCCCGCTCCTCGGTGCCCGCGGGTTGCCTTGACGCGCTGTAGTGTTTGTTAGCTCTCCCTGCAAGCTGGTTCTGATTGAGCTATCGACAAATTTTGTCCGGCCATCTTCGACACTGTGTCAGCCATCACGGGCCTCTGACCCCCTTTGAGCTCCTATCAGAGAGACGTGTTAACGGAATTCGAAGCGTTTTCATGAATACAAATTCATCAGACTACGGGAATGCAATTACTCAAACGAATTATGACGGCCTCAAGAGGTGTCGACTTGGGCCGAGAATTTATTTAGTTTTTGATATTGGGTTGAACAATGAACGCCTTTGAATTCCCGCTTCTAACGCTAAATGCAGCAGTTCAAGAGCAATGCAAGTCGAACCCAAGGCAGGTTGGCGATACCAAAGCTACCTGACCGGACCCTCCCTTGCTGGGCCGGGAGCCTCCGAGTGGGGCCGTCAAGGTGCCGGTGACCGGCTCCGGCGTGCTTTATTCGGAAGGAGTCAGCACTACTCTGTTGATCTTTCATTTTCCTTTTAACTCTTAACCCATATTGGCGCATTTGGGAACCAATAAGATGCTATTAGAACAGGAGAATTTCCCCCTCCGCTTCGTCGAGATAAAGGGCTGAAGAGGAACTACTGCGAATCAAAACTGCCTTGATTGCCCGAGAATCCGAAGACTTCCACTAACACACATCTAACCTAGTCAAACGAAGATGCAATGTTAACCACCAAATCTTGCCAGGTACACAGCTATCGCCCACAGAGTAGAAAGTTATCTGTCAAGCTCGTGGCATTTATCCTTCCATCAAACCGTGCTACTCGACCAGACGTCGGATGATATAGCGGTTGACGATGAGCCAACCAGGGTTCCCCGTGTTGGGTTTCCCGTTCTCTAGCACAGCCTTCCAGCCCTTGACTTCCCAGTCAGGCTCTCTGGTGCGAAGCAGGTTGACGCGCACGACAGCCACCTTAGAGGCGTCGACGCCAGGTCGGAAGGTACGCATGCCCTCGTCAAAATCGGCATCCGTGATGGACGACACGAACACCTCGCCGGTGGGGATGACGTAGTGGTAGACTGTTCCTCGGTTCCTCACCGATCCGCTATTACCTTCACCCTCGTAAAGACTGGCAATCCAAATGGTGTCCAAGTTGGGGAACTGCAGGCGAGGAAGACGAGGAACATCGCGGTCGCCATGATCCAACAACCATTCCTCAAGGTCGAAGCTGATATGCAGCCGAAACCAGACGCCGGCTGCCAGAGGTGCCTGGAGCCAAAGATTGGGCTCGTGGAGTCGAACTTCCCGGATCAGTTCGGCGTCTGCATTTGACATGGATGGAGCCCAGATCTTCTTCACCATCCCGAATTCTTCACGCGGAGTCAACGCAATGATGGAGCCGAGGACGAGGGTGTCTATGCGAGGATTTAGGTAGACATATTCGGCGGAGTTGGGAGAGTTGACGTCAGACTTGGCACCCACACGGAGGTTCAATCGCAGGAATTCCCAGCGGCTCTCTCGGTTGACTCTGGAAATGACGGGATTTCTGCGCCGGTAGACCAAGTGATCCTGGTTGGGAAGGATCGCGACGAGATCACCTTCAAGCGTGCTGCGCCATATGTGAAGGCGCACTTCAGCCGGAAGAGAGCTGAAGCGTTCGAGGTTGCATGGTTCCGACGACATGGCTGTCACCAAATCTGTTGCTATGGCCGTTGCTGGGTATTTGTTTTATGTCTTATGAGGTGAGATGCTGATGGGGGAAATTGGCAGCTGAAAGGTGCTGCTGGTGCCTGGTGCGGGGCGTGGCTGCCTCCTGCCGAAAATGGCGTCCGGCAGGGCACACCTTCTAACTTCTTAACTGAACAAGAGGTCAGCCACATTATTGATGAGGTTAAAATAAAATAAAAATGGTTAGTAAATGGACAATTATTTGTTCTATGCGTCTATCGCGATTCTGTTCATTCCTTCACCAACTTGACCATGACCACGCAAGCGACCTCTGACGAGTGAATCTGGAAAGCGTTTGTATTTCATCAACAATGACACTAACTACATATCGCCTATCATATTACATGCTTTTATCCATGATTCTCATTCCTAATTCACCATACAGAAACCGTCGATGCTGGGCTTAAGCATACTGCAGACGGCTCTCGTCCCAATCAGGTCGCAGCGACTTGCTGTCGAAGGTCATGTCGAAGCTGGAGGTGTGCACGTAGTCTACCTGCCACTCAACCTTCAACTCTGCGCCCTCGGCCGACTGACTCCAGACCGTGACGGCGATGGTGTTGTCGCCGTTGTAGTTGAGGATACCGGTAGGGACGGGGTAGTGGATCTGGTTGCCGATGTACGGATTGTATCGGCCGTACTGGTAACCGTTGACAAACAGCAGAGCACGGAGCTGGTTGCTGTAGCCCTCTTGCGTCGGCGCAAACGTGTCGTCGCCCGGAGCCGAGAAGCGGAAGGAAATGGAAACGTCAAGACCGGCGGGAACGTCCAGGGGCACAACGGTACGGAAAATACGGATGCCAGAGTCGGGAACCGAAAGCGTCGTGTTGGACGAGCTGAGAGCCTCCCAGTCCTTGTCGGGGAAGCCAGGGAGGTGGGCGCCGATGCGCTCGGCGTAAAGACCACCCTCGTTGATCGGGCCGCGGACAGGGTCGATGAGATCATTGCGACCCGCCGTGCCGGCAATCTTCCACTCGGTGAACTTGTACTCGGATGCACTGGGGCCAAGGAGCGTCGCGTTGGTGATACCGCGGGGAGCGAGGGCTGCCTCACGCAGGTCGTGGCCAGAGTTGTCCATGATGACGATCAGGATGTTGTCGCCCTCCTTGGCCAAAGTAGCCTTCTCGAAGGAGAACTCCCCGGCGTTCGCACCCAGGTAAGACAAGCCAAGGTAAGAACCAATGAACTCCGAGTTCAACCACACAGAGTAGCCAAAGGCGAGACCACCAGTGAGGTTAAGGAAGACGCCGGTGGGAGGGTTCTCGGTGGTCGGGAAGGTGGCGCGGTAGATGTGGTTTCCGACGTGGATGTCGTACTCGTCAACATAGAGGACAGGGTTGTTCGAGGCAGGCTTGACGGAGTTGGAGGTGTTGGCCTTGTCGGCAACAACCCAGGAGTCGGAAGTGGGCTCGTAGTCGGTGGCAATCTCAGGCAAGCTGTCATGGACCTTCCACGGGCCGAGAGCAGGGAGGCTGAACCCGGCGGGGCCGCCAATCTTGGCCGTGAAGAGGTTGCCGTCTCTCGAGGTGATTTCAAGCTTTTCGCCGTTCCAGGTGATACCGCAAAGGGACTCGGAGGCGAAGACGGTGATGGTAGTCTCCTTGTCGGCATCACCACTGAGGGCCAAACGGCGAGTCTTCTCGTCAAAGGCTGCGGAGCGAACCAGGTAAGGGCCCTGGACGAAAACTGTGAAAGTTTTAGCACCATTGAGTCATACGAGACAGTCGAGTAATCTTACCGGTCTTGTTAGCAGGAGCAAAGACGTCGTTGTCGAGAGTAGGGACCCAGAAGAGATACGCCGCGCTACGGTCAAGCAAGACCACACGAGAACCATCTCCGAGGTTGACAACGGTGAGACCCTTCTTCTGGGTGTAGGCAACCGTAACGTTGCTCTCGCCCGCAAACGTCTTGAAGTCGCCGACATTGCCCTCTCCATCCAGCTCGGCGGTCGTGGTGCCGGTTACAGTAAACTCACCGGCCTCGCCCTCGGGAAGCCACAGGGCAATGACCTCGTTGCCGTCGGCAACGATGTAGCTGAGGACCTCTGCGGTCGAGTACAGCAGCTTCTTCTCGCCGAAGGAGAAGTCGGTGACAATGATCTTGGCCTGGTGGCCGTTGATGGCGATGGAGCTCCCGTGCTGGGGGATGGTGACTATACGTTGGCCAGTCAGCGGTTTTGTTTGCCAAGACATCAGCGCGAGGTGACTTACAAGAACCTTCGGATGTCTTGACCGACAACTTGAAGGCTTCGTTGGTGTTGGACGGTGAGTAGGAGTGGCGGGCGACGTAGAAGGCGGCGTCGTTGTCCACGTTGCGGAGCTCAGAGACGGTGATGGCAGAGTTGGTCGAGTAGGATGTACCCTGTGTAGAAGGTTAGTGTTCCGAACGGGAATAACAGGGGGTTACATGTAACTCACGTTTCCGAGTCTCTCCGTTTTTGTCAAATCCTTGGCCACTGCTAACGTAATCAGCCTCAACTCATCTTGCATCATTGCTATAAAACCGACCTCTGGTGAAGAGAGTGAGAAGCTTCGTCTCGTAAAACTTGCTGCCGATGATTCTGTTCTCGGAGACTGGCGACGAGTAGTCGTAGCTGGAGGCTATCGATGGATTAGTGAGAAGCCTTTAACAGCAGCACTCAGTGCCATGGACTTACCAACGACAGGGCAAGCGAGCCATCCCCAGTTGGTACCGCCGTACATCATGTAAAGAGAGATGGCGGTGACTCGCTGGTAAATCAAGTCGCGGTAAAAGATGTTGGCAAAGTCGGCTCCGATATCAGCAGGGCAGCCACCTTCGGGTCCTCCCCAAGGGTTGTACGAGCCTCCCTGGAACTCGGGCATGAAGTTCGGCTGGGACCTTGGCGGATGTTAGCGGTTGTGGTAAGATTGGCTGGGAAGATGTAGTACTTACGGGGACTGAACTGTGAAATAGCTTTACAAGATCATGTTAGTTTCATCACAAAGGCTTCCGTGTCAAGAGGGGTTCTCACTCAAAGTAGTTCTGGGTCAACTACAGGTGGAATGTTAGCACGTAGGAAACCTAAAGGAGTGTAGATAGACACTTACGTAGGGGACATAGTTTCCATTGGTTCCCGTGCACTCGCTCAAGTTGCAACTCCAGCAAGAAGGGTAGCTGTCGACACCGACAACGTCGACATTTCCAGTCGCGTTGGAGAAATCCTTGGACCAGGAGTAGCCGCGCTAGTAGACGTCAGCTTCTGCAGCGATTTCCCTGTTGGCGAAACTCACCATGTTGGGAGCGTTGTGAGACAAAGGCACGTCAATGCCGTTCTCCCGCGCGCTGTCCTGGAGAAGCTGCATATAGTTGGCGATGGGCGGGTTGAGGACCCTGTTGGGGATATTCCTCCACTGGCCGTTGAGCTCGTTCTCGATCTGATGCCCCCCATTAGTATATCTCAGACAGACACATACCAAGTGCTCATACCTGGAACATGACGACGTTTCCGCCGTTGGTGACCAGATGCGGCTCAATAACCTTGGAGATCTCCGCCCAGTAAGGGGTCCACGCCTTGGTGTATCTCTCATCGTCGTTCCTCAGAGAGCCGTACTCGCCAGTGGTAAGCCAAAGGGGGAAACCTCCAGCGTTGACTTCGGCGTTGACATAGGGGCCAGGACGGATGATCAGGTAGATGCCCACCTCCTTGGCAACAGTCATGATGGAGGTGAAGTTGTGAGCGCCCGTGTCAAAGTCCAAGACACCGGGTGTGGGGTTGTGGTAACCCCAATGGTTGTAGATGGAGAAGGCATTGAAGCTGTCGTCGTTGTCAGTAACGCAAGGTCGTCCACTTGATGTTGAATGTCCTCACCCAGCTGCCTTGATCTTCTCAAGAAGGTCTCGCCATAACTCCGGACTATATCTCATCAGCAAGCGACAACTATTTCGCGAACGGAATAACGAACACTGGGATACGCCAGTAATGGAACTGTAACAGTTAGCTTCATTGTCTCTAAAGTCAGTGAGGGGGGGTGTGTCTGAACATACTTCACCAGAGAAAACAAAAAGTCTTTCCCCGTTTACAATGTAGCTGTGGTGATCCCTGTAGAGCCCCTGCATCAGCATAACCTTTGATGAAACATTTTTCTTTCGGTAGCATTCACCATTGGACAACCTCATTCAGGCCGTTATCATGAATCGGCCATTCAACTTCCTGAGCCAGAGCACCACCACCAGTCGACCCGCAGAGCGAGGCGGCAAGCCACACAAGCCCAGCGGCTTTCAAACCGAATCTCATCGTGATAACCTTACTGGATGCAACACACACACACACGCCTGAAGAATGGAACAACCAATTAGCGATACCGCAATGGAAAGCCACACGACGACGACAACGGGCTACTCCGACTTTTATCGCACCTCACATCTTTTTAAACCCCAACACAAAAACCTGAACTTCCCCCCTTCAGGAACAACCAGCGTTCAATTTCCTCTGGTGCCCTGGAAGCAGGGTAGCATCCGGACAAACGCGCTCGGTGTTGAAGGTGCCGACTGCTGCGGGGAAATCATGAGGGGAAGAACCGGGGGGGGGGGAGCGAGATGAGTGAACCTGACGATCCCCGCCCCCGCGATGTGGCTAACCGCATCAATCATCGAGACAACCAAACTTTTGATGTCATCAAGCTGCAGTAGCGTTGGGAGAGCTCATTTCCCCCTCTCCCCAGCGCCCATGTTCCGATTCTCCTCTTAGCGAAGATTTCTCCGGCAGATGCTTGAGGAGGGCAATCAACCCTCGCACGGCGTCATCATATAAACCCGAGAGTTGGAGGCCCTTTTTTTTTTGTTTTGCCATTCTTGGTTTTGGAGAAAGACTGGCGCGCCTACGTGGATGGGGGTATCGTCACCGCCTTGGCGGCTAAGACGGACCTTGTTGGCTCCATCGCAGCATCATGGGCCGATGTCTTTTTTTTTTTTTTTTGCTCCTCTTCATGGGGTCGGGAGTAGCCGAGGTCATTGGGTAAACTATAAACTGAAAAAAGGCAAACTTGGATCTATGGAGAATTGGGTTTACGTCAATCTGGCCAGCGATATATCGGTGAAAGGTCGTTAAAGTCCGCGGAAGCTCGCTCACAGTTGACACCAAAAGGTAAGTATATTTCAGATGCGGCCCTTTTTGTGCGTTTCCTGTATGCATGGTTCCTGATGATGGCCCGAAAATGGCCTCTCGCACACGGTTCATGCATGCCACCTGCATAACTCATATGCACAGCTTCGAGTTTGGGTGACGAAAAAACCCACAATCTCAAGCCGAGATAACTCGCTCACGCTTTTCTTATCCGAGAAACGACAAATCATCACCCGCAATTACCATAATGTGAGGCAGAGAGAGACCGGTTTGGCTGACTTGAGGCGCTCATCAAACTTACAAGACTGGTTCTAGCTTCTACTAAAACTTTGGATGATCCCATAGCCCACAATATTGTCTGGTCCAAAGGGCCCAACAGCGGAAGAACACACGCATCTATGAGACGACTGATGAATATGATTATTGACAAAACAAAATCACCCGTCATCAACCGCTGTCATCCCCCCACATTAACCCTGGCCATGTCCCCCGACCACTCCCGTGCGCCCCCCCGCTTCCGATCACGATCGCCGTCTCCATCTGTCAACCTTCTCTTCTGCTCTTCATCCCAGTCTGATTCTTCGCCCAAAAACTAACCTCCACCTGGAAACCCAACCTTGACCTCATTGTCACTTTCCATTGCTTGGTGTTCGCTTTCGTCTACAAGATTCCCTGGCGGGGAGAAAAGAGTTGAACGGCCAAACCTAGGGCTCTCTTGTCGAAGTTACGGGTATCTGCGTACTCCAAGGTTGCGATGACATGACATTGAGTTTAAAGTCGCCACCATAGCAGACCCAAGGCAGTATGCCAGGTTTGACGGTGGTGTGTTTGAATAACATGTGAGGGTTATTTAGAGGTGAATTGACCAGGTCTGAATAATGGCTCAATTGGACAGCATGCGATTTAACATGAGGACAACGAAAACTCAAGTGCATAACCCAGGATTTGACTACAGGATCTTCTCGCAGGAACTCTTCATTGATATGACAGAGATCTTATAAGCTGGGTCATTTAGACACTCTTGTCAAGGAATGCTTCCTTGTACCGGGTCGATGCCGCCCTCTAAAAAAACACCTTCACCAGGTAACCCTACTCACACGCTGGCGTAGCCACAGCATACACCGTCCTGCATCCGATCTTGTTGCACACATCGGCCTGGTCGCATTCGAAGTTGACCGTCGTCGTCGAAAGAGCGCTCGGGCAGCCGCATGACCTGGTGACGGTCGAGGTGGTGGTGCACTGCGCGACGAAGCAGCTACGGCAGATGGTCCCGGTGGAAGTGATCTTGGGGCAGTTGACCGGGGCGCACGGCGCCGTAGTCGTGCGGGTGACCGTCTCGGTTCTCGTCGCCACGGCAGTCGTGGTCGTGGTCGTGGTCTCGCGCACGGTGATTGGCGTGGTCACTGTAGCGGTGGTAGTCGTGGTCTCTCGCAGAGTTATCGGAGTGGTCACAGTGGCCGTGGTAGATCTCGTGAGGGTAGACGTAGTCGTGCTGACGGCGATTTGGGTAACGGTCCTGGTGACGGTCGTCGTTCGTCCCCGGTTGATCGTCGAGGGCGTGAGAGTAATCTGACCGAGGACACCCCTTAACACGCACGAGTCAGCAACCGGTTGAAATCGCGAGAAGATCCAGAAAGGGAGGGAGACTACCTACAAGGTCAGATAGCCGAGGAGCAGGCCAACGATGGTAACAAGCTGCATTTTTTTGAGATTTGTCGTTCCTTGGTGAGTCCCGTGGGATTTGCGGGTCTGAGAACCTTGTCGAGATAGAACGTCGACTATAGACTTGGAATTGGGTCCACGAGAAATAAAATGCAGTCAATTTATACTTGTGCCAAGCCATTACTTCTCGTTTACAGTTCCATATCAGCTCTAGAACTTCTACAAAGAAAGTCCCTTACTACACGAGAGCTGACGTCGAACACTATCCTCAACTCACCCATGGCGTCCATGCGTACTTGCTGCAAGCGGGGGAGGGAGAAGTATCGATATTACTGTTTTACCCGGCTCCCGGAAGTCCTAAACGGGCCCTCGATGCAACTCGGGGTTGAACTAGAATCATGTTAAAAGTGAGCTGAGGAGCCAAACTAGTAAAATTCGACCACGGAAATTGAGAGGAGCTGGCGTCGAGAAAACCATGGTTAAGCTTGGGGTTCATGCATGACGGCTGAATTCGCGTTACCCTCTGGCCAAATGAAAAGCGTAACCGAGAGAACCCAACCACCGCCTCGTTAATTGAGGAGAAAGCCCGATCAGGATGCGCGGAGGCAGAAAACGAGTGTAAAATAAAATTCTCATGCCGCATGGGTAAGGTACGCGAGGCTGCAAAGCTTCCGATGCGAAAGAAGGTTAAGACAAATGTTGACCCAGCCGTGGTTCATTTGACGTTGGGCGACGGGATAGCAAAATGGTTTCAGTCATCATTGATAAAAGGTCTTCCATTTGTATTAGCGCCTATGCACCACCTATGCCAACCAGTCTTGTGTGTAGGGTATCCAGTGCCGAAGCCAATTTCGCTCAATGACGGTTTCATGGGATCGGCCACCTAATTGGACACGCCCAACCCCTTTCTTCTCCCAGCCTCCGGCACGTGTATAACCGTCTGACTTTTTTCAGTCATGGGATGATTGATCTAGCACCTCCAGGAGGTGATCTGGTTCTCGTACTCAACAGTACGCTCGTCATCAGGCAGAGGGACAGCCAGGTTGTAGTTGTAAGAGGAGGTGAGACCGCGGTCGTCACCCTTGTTGTTGCAACCCTGGTACCTGTTGGGATTTGTGTTAACAGTCATGTCATGGGGTGCAGCGTTTTGGATTCGTCAGTTCAGGGCACATACTTGTAGAACTGGCACTTTCCGCCAGTGTTGGTGGACAAAGAGGAGACCTGGTCGTTGAAGCGGTCGCTGATCGTGGTCGTGTTGGGGGCGTTGAAGTTGAAGAAGGAGACTGTACAAGTGATTAGAACCTTGCTATACTTGAGTTGGCAGGGTGTTTAATTTACCGCAGAGACCGGGGGGAGCGCCGAAGACGAGGCAGTCACCACGGAAGCCCTGCATAGTTAATTAGCATAATCTAGGTGACAAATGCGTACTCGACAAAACTCACGGGGTCGGTGCACTGAAGCAGGAAGATGACGTCGGGGTTGGTCTCGTTGCGGTTCGGGTCGGGCTCCTGACGGGCAAGAAGGCCGTCGGGGCCGGCAGAGAGGGTGTGGACCTCAGTGTTCTGGAAAGGCTCGTTGGCGGCGGAGTTGACGACCGAGCTGGCGAGCTTGAACCCGCCGGCGTTGCGCTGCTGGACGACGGGCTTGACGGCGGCGGACATGACGCCGGTGGCTGCGGCGGCGGCAAGGACAAGGGTGGTGAAGCTCTTCATGTTGGAGGCTTTTTTTGTTTGGTAGAAAACGAGTGTATGTGGTTGTTGTCAAAAGAGTGCCTATGTTGAGTGATTGGAAAGTGACTTTGTGAAATGCTCGGGCTGCGCGACAAGTCGAGGGATAAGTCTTTATTTATCTCTAGGACCTATGGACCGAAGGTTCCGCGGCCCAGCGACAGACTTTGAATCTAATAAGTACATACAACCCTATCCTGGCCTCATCGAGGCCGATCGGCCTGAAAGTTGTGATATTGATTGTGGGGATTGCGATTCCTGCTATTAGGAGTGATATTCACCCCCCCTAAGAAAGGAGAACCTATTGTGGCCCGAGTATGCCGGAGTTGGCGATTTAGACTTTGGGGAGTTTAATATCGGGAATGGAACTCATCAGCGTTGCCAACACCCGCCATCCTTGACAAGGTTTGATGTTGAAAGTGAAAAACAGTGGGAACCGGTACATGAGGGATGAACCCTCTGGCGCGAGTCGTTCGGTCGGTGGGCTGTGTTTGTTACCGTGCATTCCATTTACCTCCTTGTTTATATTGCTACGTAAGGTAGTTGGCTCGGCGCAGCTGTTCGAGTATATCGCTTTCGTTCCGACTGACTCGGGGATTGGACGGTTAATATGAAAGTTTTTACGGACAAAGGGGCAGTGATGCTGAATACTCCTATTTGGGTAAATTCAGTGGCCGGCTATGTTGACTGCTCCAGACTGCAATCTCAAGAAACAAAAGAGTTACTTTCATCATAGTTTTCCAAATGAATTGAGAATACTTTTACTATCAAAATACGAGTTGAACTTGGCGGGCGTTATCGACTGCCAAGGTGACCGGGATTGGAGGTATATTGGACGTTTCATCCAATAGGAGGTATTCAGCGTCCTGTTGTCATCATTTCCGAGGTTGCAAACTAAGTTTGTCTAAACAAGTCCCGAAAATAGACTCGCAGATTAGCGGGGGAGTGGGTTAATGACGGCTGACAGAACCCGCACACGGAGTTTTCTCCCGGCGTGCCATTGTCTCTTTCGAGAAGCACCTAATGGGCCATTGCATAGCTACTAGTTCAAAGTCCGATGTCTTTCATCACCTTTCATCTCTCAAGTGTTAGTCGATTCACCTTGTTGTTTTGTGGGCAATTTCCAGTGATAGATGCTTGAATAGTCATTTTTGCTTCGCGTACTTCGTCTTCAACCACTTAAGGCAGACCCTCAACCAGGGGGCCATGTATTGTGGGCGAGAACCGGCACAGAACGCTCAGAATGGGAAAAGTGGTGTTGTTGGTTGGAAGAACTAACTAACTGGCTAGAGGGCTGTGGAGGCTGGCTAAGACCAGTGGTGGCGGCCGTCAGCCCACGTGACGGGCCGGCGAGGCCTGCCACCCACACCCCCTCTCAGACTCCTCAGCGAAAAAGCAGTAGAATAATAGGAAATATAGGAAAAGTCCTAAATCCTCTAAATCCGAGGAGTTCTTAACTATTAGAAAACTTAGTTAATTACTAGTTAAACCTAGCTAATAGGAGGCTATAAAATCCTCTAAATCCCGAAGTCTTAATATTAATAGTCTTATAGCCTTAAAATCCCCCTCTTAATTTAATCCTTCTACTATGCTTAATAAACAAACGAATTCCTTATGTTTAACTATAACTAGTAGCTTCGTAAGTCTATCGGCAGCTATATTAACGCCTTTGATAAGTCGGAGTTCGATGCTTTTCGTAGTATAAACCTCCTATATAATTTATTTATATCGGACGTCGATATAGCAGGTTCGTGCCTTGTTAAGTAGGTTTATAACGTTATCGTAGCCGTTAGCACTATTAGTAAATATAATAGTAGGCATAGTAATAGGTTTACTAAGTAGTTAGGAAAATGTTGGAACGGTAGGTAGGAATCTCGTAGATAGTACGATATCCTTATAACAGGGTATTAGAGTAAGGGAACTTGTACTTATGAAGTAGGGCTTTAATAGTAAAGAATGTATAGGCTTATATTGAAGCTGAGTTGGTTGAGGAACTAATAGCTAGCTAAGGGAGAGAATTAGGCTAGTTATATAGTAGTATAACGTCGCCTATAATAGCTAATATAGGAAGCTATAAGCTAGGTTTAGTATACGTAAGTATATACGTCAACTAGCTTATAAAGCAGCTTATAAATCAGACTAGAATCTTCTTTAACTAAATAGACTTTTAGATAAGGTTAAAGAGAGTATTCCATAGGGATCTGAATATCATATGTTTAAACTAGCAAGCAGCCATTCTTAGCTAGTTACTTTTGTAAGTCCTACTAAGTCTTAGATAAGACTAAATAGGATAAATAAGTAAAATAGAAGTATAATATACTTATACTTCTAACAGAAACTGATAGGCTAGTTTGAAAAACCGAAGCTAAAATAGTTAAATTCTCGTAAAAACGAGGAATCGAAGTAAAAGTATAGTTATAGTTATAACTAAAAGGTCTATTGTTATAGTAGAATTCCGTAGTGTTTGTAAAAACTAGTAGGTTGTAGTGGTCGGTCGCGTGCTACGTGATATTCGTGCGCGCCAGGCAGCTAATATCGCGTTAGAAAGTAAAATTCGTTAGCGAAGAGGAAGGTGTTGCGATAGTTGGAATACGGAGTCGTGTAGCACTTCCAGCCACACGCCCGCCAGGCTGAGAGGCCCAAGCCTCCTAGACCCACGTGACAGGCCAAGGGGGAATATCCCTACCTTCTAGTCAACAACACTACTTTCAACTATCATAAACTATCGATTAGAACCAATTTACTATTATTTATTATTAACGAACGGAATTCCGTTTTACCCCCTGTGAAACCTATACTGATCAATAGTAAACCTTATAGTTGCTATTAATTTAGTTAACTTTATAATTACTACTCTGCTACGGATAAACCATAGATCAGCAAGGTTAATACTAGAAGAGACGACTTCTTAAACTAGATACCTAAGCCTAGGTAAAAGTAGGGATTTCGTGCTAACGAGAGAAGAAGCGAGAGTAACTAGGATTTACGGAAACTAGTAGAAGAAAGCTTCTTTTCCTCGAATCTACTAGCAATCCGATTATTCGAGTAACCTAGGGACTGTTATGCTTACCTTAGGCGGGATAAGGTTAATCGCAGCTAATTATCGCTAGCAAAAGCGTTCTATCACGCGTTTTCAATCACTAGAAGAAGAGACCTACCGAATCGACGGTCTTCTAACCTCTTCACGCTACAAGGGCGAAGATTCACGAATCCTACAAGGGATAACAACTTCCCTAACTATAACTATCCCCCACGCGCGGTGCTAATCACGAGGCGCCTGCTAGTTTCTTAATAAATCCCTAGACGAGGTGCTAACCGCGAGGCGCTTGCTATAAGAGACCTCCCTATTAGAAGAAGAATACGCCGAAAGGCAAGCAGAGACTACCGGCGGTAATCCGCCTATATAGCTATACGTATACGCCTCCGAGGCTACGGCTTAGGAGAAACGCACGTAGTTATAAGCGTTATAAGGCTAACTATCTACTAGATTCTAAACTTCCTAATAGTAAGGAGCGAAGCCTGAAGCGAGAAAGAGAGATTTACAAGAGAATCTACGAAGTAATTCTTTTATACTATTAGAATAAAGCGAAATTTACGAGAAAGATCGCCTGCAAGCGGCGTTACTACTAAAAGCTAATTAATAGTCCCTATCCTATAGAGAATCGAAAGTATAATCGATCTAGTAGTATAGGGCAACTAGGTAATCGACCTTATAAACGCTAGCCTATAGCAACTAGGTTCCTATATAGGTTTCCTACTTAAGACCTATAAGAAGAGGAATCTTATAGGCTTTAAGCTATGGAACGAAGTTTCTCCCGATTTCGCTGACTAGTTAGAAGAAGACTTCTAGAACGTACCTCCCCTAATCCTACGATTCTTTAGAGACTATTTAATCGGTAACGGCGTCTACGTCGAAATAGATAGTAAGAAAATCTCGAAAAACGTAGCATTAGCTTTTAAAAAGGAAGAATTCTACTACTAGTTACCTTAAGAACTCGAACAAGGCGTTAAGAGATATCGCAACCTGAAGGCTTTGATAAAAGACCCCGAATTCTACGAAGAGATTACGAGACCGGTAATAGTAGCTAATAGCATAGGAGGAAGAGTCGAACCAACCCTATAGCTACCTCCTCTATAAGAATAATAATAGTAGCAACTACCGTACCGACCGCTATATCCTACGGTCTCTCCGTTAATAGACTTCTAACTATACGAGTTAATAGACCGTATCGGAAAGCAATTAACAGAATTCGCGAAACTATACCCCGACGATATAAAATATAGCGGCGATATGTACGATATACTCGAAAAGAAGATGCTAGTATTCGTAGATTACTATAGAATGCTAGGAATTTATACCTCCTAATATAATAAGGTACTTCCCCTAATACTAAAAGGAATAGCTAAAACCTACTTCTACGCCTTGATTAAAGTAATTAACTTATAGCCTAACTTCGAGACTATGATTAACTAATTGAAATCATACTTCGAGACTAGGGAAAGGCAATAAGCGTACGTTACGTAGTAGAATATAACTACTCTTCCCTAAATCATTCGCGATAACCTTAGAAAGACTAAATCGGAGTATTTTGACATACTATATAATAAATTAAGTAAGATTTAGCCTGGTTTGCTATAATAGGATTATAACGACCGATCCCTCTATACCTAACTTCTATACGCTTGTAGAGATATTCCAGAGTATGTAATAGCGTTATTTATACCGGCTGAGACGTACGAGGGACTTCGTAGCTAATTAATCTTGTCGATCGAGATAGCTACCCGTCTTAACTAATAACAATTTAACATAGTAGCTAACCTACTAGAGTAGTACTAGACCGATAGAACTTTTAACGGTCGAGGGCGTTATTTACGATATAGTCGTTTATTACGAAGTCGATTATTACGAGGAAGAAGCCGTAACAGACCCTTATTACTACTAACGCCTAAGAAGTGCTACGTATATAGAAAACCTAACTACTAGTTAACTAAATATACTATAGAAGAGAGACGAAAAGCATACAAGAAGTTTAAAACTACCTAATATGCCTAGGATATATTACTTCTAGCATATAGCTAATTTCTCGTCTAATACAAGGGTTTCGACGGGTTAGACTTATAACCTACCGCCGAAGACCCTTAGCAATACTACTACGTAACCGAACAAACTAGTGAAAGTAACGAAGAGGAAGAGACCGGTAGCGATAGTTAATTCTAAGTTACCGCCTATTTTACTATAATAGTAATTAACGGTAATAGGATCGCTACGATCCTAGCAGACTAGTTAACCCGCTATGCTATTACGAAAGAAGACCTCTTCCGCAACTAACTAGAACCGAAAGAGCTACCTTCGCAATTTATACTCGAGGGACGCTACTCTGCTTAGAACTTCTAAGGGATTATGCCCGACTCGGGCGTAGTAGGATTCTTAACCGCTGGCTACCTATAATTCGTAGCCTTATAATAAATTTACGAAGGAATTATGTTAAATACTAAGGCGGCTGGCGGCGTTATAATGAAATTTGGCGATAGGATACTACTAGAGTCTATAAGGACTACTAAAGTACTAACGCCGTTTAGAAGCGTTAAATTTTACGTTATTAAGACTAATACTCCCTTTCTTATATGCCTAGGAGATATAGACCGATTAAAGGTCTACTTTAATAACGTTACGAATACCTTTATCTAAGGAAACAAGGTCGTACCTATTATTCGCAAATAAGGCTACCTATAGTTATTACTTAATAAGGAGAAACTACTTACCTAGAACTACCTTATAGACGCTAAATTACGACGGGTTTACCGTCGCTTCGGATACCTATCTATTTAACGATTATATAAGGTGCTCTAGAAGGCTAGCTACCTAGTTGAAATTACGGTAATTAAGTAACTATCGAAAGTCTGCTATCGATGCTAAATATATATACTAGCGTTATTACGGTTTAAATTTACGTTACGAGACGATTACGAATTTAACTACGAGGTTATTACCGACGTAATATACCTTAAAGGTAATAGACCGGTCTTCTACGTCGTCGATACCGCTACGGCGTTTAACGCCGCCTGGTTCCTTAAGGATATTTCTGCGAAAGCTACTTAGGAAGCCTTACGCTTCTGCTAGATAGATATATATTAGGGACCCCTAGACTAGCTAGTTACCGACGCTAGAACAAACTTCCGCTTAATAGAATTCCGAAACGCAGCGAGAGGAATAGCAATTAAAATCAAGGAAATTCCTATAAAAGCCTACAACAGTATTAGGAAAGTTAAACGATACTATACACCTCTAAGGAGGGCGTACGAAATTATCACTGGGGAACGGCGGGCAAGCCGCCTGTTGAAGTAAGCCTCCCGTTAGGAAGACGAGCTAGTAATCGGGTTAATGTTTCACCGGTCCAGGATTAGTAATCCTACCAAGACGACTCCATGTTCATGCATAATTACGGGTGATCACGGCGCTTAACTATCAGATCCTTTCCCCTCACCTTAGACAATTCTGGGTTTTCTTGATATTGCGCTTCAAGTTATGGCTCAACAAGCTCTTATCAACTTGCCAGCTGAACTGATAACCGAAATCTTTTATCATCTATTATCACCAGACCCTAAGCACTTGCGGGACTATCAGACTTCCGGGAAACATGCAAAACTATAGCTGAGGCAACGTCTTCAGCTTTCAAAGCACGCTTCTTCCGCATTCGCTACGTAATGCTAGAGAAGGAAAGCCTATTGAATCTTGTGAACATTTCACGCCACCATATTCTGAGTCAAGCGGTTGAAGTTGTCGAGCTCTGCGTTGATCATCTCATCCAACCCAAAGACTACATGAGCCACGAAGAACTAGAGATTTGTGGACTCAAAGACGAGTATGATTTCTTCCGAGTTCGGAATGGCGAAGTTGTCTTACTGGGCGACGATAGTTGGGAGCAAATAATCCAAACCTATAAGGATGGATGGCAGGAGCAAACGGAATTCTTCTCCCAAAGGCAACATATGAGTTATTTAGCGATAGCTCTCACTAACCTCAAAAACTGCAAAGCTATTGGGATATCGGATCATACCCGACCATGGGGCGCCTTTAAGCTTGGGCGACGTATTGGCGTACTTCCAAATAGGTTTATTTCTGATTTCTTACCTAATAGCATGGTTCATGCCTTAGTAGTAATCAGAACACTGTTTTTCGCACTTATTAAGAGCCGCCTTCCCATAGAGGAGATATATATCGAGTTTGGAGATATGATGGAAGGTTGTACGTCTGTTATTCCACGGATGCTATCGCTCCCAAGCAGTCTCGCAAAAGCCGTAAAATCCGAAATCACGACCATCACAAAGCTCAGTCTTGTTATCAATCCTAAGGATAGCGATAATCATTTCAGCCAAGAAATTAGAAAATTCTTTGCAGAGAATGACCCAGTACAGGAAGAAAAATATGATTGGCAATCAGACTTTCATAGCTTCTCTAGCCTTTTTCCAGCGCTCACCGATATTACTTTATTCTTCAACTATTGCGAAGAGAAGCAACAATTTCCAGGACTTTCAGAAAGCCTCTATATTCCTCTTCTTCAAAGGTTATGCCTTGAGTATCTAGACTGCACGAGAGACGAACTCCTGACGCTCTTACGGCGACATCAAAATACACTTCGAAGACTTACTCTCGAAAATGTTAAAATTACTACCCAAGGTCTAGACGCTTGGTCTTTTCTCATACAAACTCTTCAGAACGAATTTAGATTAGATGAGTTGGAAATAAGAGGGTGTGGTATTGACGATTGCGATTTTAATATAGATTTTGATCTCCCTGATCGACTTTCTGCACATACCAGCGAGGAAATGAATTTACTACAAAAGGAAATACTTCAGGTTGAAGAAGAAGAAAGACTTAAAGGGATCCAAGCATAGATAGCGATCTTCTTAGTATTGAATTTTGATATGCCTCATGTTTTCCAACGCAGACTATTTCCTCCCACGCAAACTGCCCCGTTTAGGCCGCTTCGTTGGACTCGCCCCATCACTGCTGTCTTCAATAGTCTCTACCTCTCCGGATCGCTTTATATTAATAGGCGCGACGTCGCGGAGGCCGTTAACAGAAAACGGATCATCATTATCGACAATGGCGTCCGAGGCTTGTGAACCTAAGCATATTAGCTTTCAGAATAATAAAGTAGAATCGTCAAGCTTACCATTATTAAACAGAGGCCCAGGCACTTTCGCGTCGGCAGACATCTGTGCGAGAGGATCGAACTTGAATTTTCCCTTCGTACGTTCAGTCATATCTCCTTTTGACGGCGTAGAAAACGGATCGCGCGAGGCTGCGGTCTGCCTAGGCTCCCCAGCAGCCCAGTCAACTTTGATAATCTCGATGAGTGGGACAAACTCAAGGGGGTTATAAGGATAATCAGAGGTAAAGACGGTATTCTTGTTGCAGAAACCATGGAAATAGCCAGTAATATAGGCTTTTTTTCCATGCTTGCGAAATGGTGTTGTCTCGACGCGGTAATCCTCGCACTTCTTCTTCATATGTGCTTTGCATTTGGGAAGCATCGCGTAAACGTAGTTAGCATACTATCCAGTTTTGGGGGTATAAGCAGCCTCTGTAGAAGTAAATCTAGACCACACCCTGAAGACGGCTGACGAGTTCCTGGTTATTTCATCGAGACCAACGGAGGGATCATCGGCAAGGGGGAACTTTTGGGTATCGACAAACCCGTTGAAAGTTACGAACGGAGGAGTTATCGGGAAACGAGGAGATAAGTCGGCGCAGGTACGGTCAGAAATACTAAGAGGGAGCTTTAGGATAAGTATTCTAATGCCACGGATGAAGAAACTTACGGCGTGAGGGCATCGTCCTGGATCCATGCCAGACGTTTATATTCCACCTCGTCTTCGCCAGATAGACCACAGGGGACGTAACTGAAGTGGGGATCGCAGATAATAGTAAACCATTGGTCTTCCCAATCCTCGGTAGTTAACGAACCTCCCAAGTGGAAGCGAGAGAGATCTAGCGATAAGGCCCCGGCGTGTAAGTTGTCAAGTATATTAGGGAAGACATTAGTCAACCACTCTGGCGTATGAATCGGTATCTGGATTTGACCAGACCAGTTCTGGTACCGAAATATCTGGGAGTCCCTGCTTAGAGATTCAACGGCAACCATTTTACCTGTAGCAAGCATCGTGAGGGGGAGGCTCCATGGCGAAGGCAGGTTCAGCTCGGGCTTCGGCCAATAGGCAGCCAAGTCTGGCTTTCCAGTACCCATAGCGGCAGGAGGAGGCAAGGCGAAATGGTAAACAATCTGCAAGGAACCAGTATAAAACGTAGAAGGAGCTTTCGAGACGTAAGGAAGAGCAAGAGAAAGGCGAATCCAAACATTCGGGTTATACTCTTATAAAGGAATAAACCTTGTACATGAGGGGGCGGAGGAAGAATCCATCGGAAGGGAGATTTTTCAGCTTTGCTCCCTTATCAAGTTATTAATACAGGAGAACCAGGTCTCGTGGTCGCCTGAAGTTGTCTAGTTTATGCTGGCAAGACGTAGACTGCGTCTTTTTTCTACAAAGTGGGAACAACAGGGGGCTTATTACCCTTCTATTGGTAGATCACAAAGTATTGTTTCTTATTCGGATGGAACAGGAATGATTCCAGCTTTATTATAGTAATGCAGCAGCAAGACATCCGTCTTTGCAATACGAAGTTACTTGCATCTCGCCTTGGGCTAATACTATATGAGAAAAGATGTTCTTATTGAGGCAGTAATAACATTTGCAGCTAGGGCAGAAGGTGATTTCAGCGGATGGAGCGAACACGCATTACTATTGCTAAGCTTTAATATTCCCATAGTCAAAGGAATATAATAGCTTTTTTGATCTCCAAAGACCTTAGAAATCCTTGAATCGACTCTAAGTTTTATCATGCCGCATCTTACAACACCAGTTTCCTCATTCAATGACACTCCTATTTCAATTCAGCCTGAATTGAGGCCGAGACAAATAGCCGGCAGGGAAGAGCAGACTTCTCCTTCAAACCACAGTCGCATGCTAGCACCGGGACCACCGCCTTCAGTGAATATTATGGTAAGGTCCCTTCAAACTCAATAAAATCACTATCAGGGCCCCTTTTGACACAGAGTTACTAGAGATCCCTCGACGAAGGATTAAAGGTTCCTTCGAATCGGAACCGAAATCTGCTGCCGACACCACCATCCTCGTTCGACAATATCCGAAGCCCGAATAGAATCGAATCTCCATTATCACCTAGATCAGTGTTAGTACAGACACCCTATAGCGAGGGGTTAAATACATCGCCTAGTAAAATTTCCCTTACGCCTAGGAAAAGCCGTGGAGGAAATAGGCAAGCCCATGCTAGTAGCAACCTTTAGGAGCAAAGTAATCGACCAACCCTACTTCCGTGGAACCCTAAGCCTATATCAAGTCTAAACACGCCCACTACCCTAGACATATCACAGCATAAGAGAGCTCAAGATAGCCAGCATATTCTTTCTGAAGCGCCAAGAACTCAAATACCGTCAGTTGCTATTCGCCAGTCTAATCCTATCCAGCAAAGGCATTTACCAATTCGTCCATCACTACCCAAGCTAAGCCAAAAAGCTAGCTATATTGAGCTACTAGACACACCCGAAGCATACCAAGCAAGGAAGAAGGAGATCGAACAGACAGTACAAGAAGCAGATCGCCGCTATATCCAGAAGAAGCTAGACTCTATGGATCGCACGTGGTGCCGACCAGTTTCCCGAAAAACGATTCTGGAAAAGACCAAGACGTTCCACGAAAGCATGCATGATGACTTTACACTCGAAATCGAATATTGTAGAGTATGTTACCAGCAAAAGCCTCCCAACTCACTAGTCAATTATACATGGGCCGAACTTGAGCCATTATACCTAAGGGTGGAGGACCAAATCCCTGTGTTAGACAGAGAACATTTCCTTTGTATGGAATGCTTTCCTAAGGAGCCAGAGGCAAACTTCGCTATTTGCACCCAGTGCAAGACCTCCTTACAGCATCAAAAACTGCCATACGCCTGCCAGGTGAATAATCTGTCTTTAGGCTGCATCCATCGGTATCCTCATGTTTTGAAAGATCTTTCACCACTTGAGGAGCGCCTTATTGGAATTTATACACCCTGTGGTTGGATTACGAAGCTTACTATCGACGTCGAGAAGTCAACAAGTGGCCGCTACCGAAAACACAAGAGAGGCCATATTACTGTGTTCCCTAACGACGTTCAAGGCGTAGCAGCCAACATTCTACCTCATCCACTCGTGGAAGAGCGAGACAGGTTGCATGTATGCTTTGTAGGTCCTCGGACACCAGTACCATCCGATCTTGGCTTTATGTTATCAGTGAACCCCCAGAAGCTCAAGCGTGCGCTCGTTTGGCTTCGGGCGAACAACCCACTATACCGGGATATTAGTATTAGTGAGGATCATCTTAGGACCTGGGGGGAATGGTCTCCCGGAACTGAGGTACCCCAGGGACTTGTGGAGAGAATGGTGGCGTATGAGAAGCGTGCCGAAGACGAAATCCGTACAGGACACTATGTCCCTCCTGCCGAGCGAGGTCGCCCTGATGAACCTTTGCGTAATGCTCACGATGTTATTGCAAGTCTAGAAGATAGGGAAACCAATGCTGCGCACCTCGAAGCTGAAAGCAACGCTAGGCTAGGGGGAATCCATGCGGGTGATTGCGACCCATTTGATATGGACCCTCGTCGGATAGATGAAGAGCTGTCCGAGTTAACCTCAACTGGACTAATGGCTACTGAGGTATCTGGAGAGCATAGCCCACAAGAACGACTCAGGATTCTTCGAGAAGCAACAGTGAGAGGGCCCCAGCGTGGGAGAGGCCGAAAGCCAAAGGACGCAAACGGAGACAGCACCCTCCGATATAAGAATACAGAACCCTATCTAGTCAGTCGCAGAGGAGAGGAATTTGCTGATTCGAACGATCCCGATTTCTTCCCTAAGGCTTTCCCTTGTTTATTTCCATGGGGTCGAGGCGGCCCTAGGATATTACGTGAAGAAGAAAACGAAGATGATCAGGATGAACCGCAAGGTCCAGACATCCAAAGCAGTCATAAGCCGAACGGATTTTACCTTCGAACCTGGGCACGATTCTGCTTACAGAGGCATGGTTAGTAAAACTTCTGCTTTATAAATAGAAATAAGTAACTAAAGTAATAGTATAATAGGTGCTTACTTTGCTACACACCCAAGCTTCCCTTTTTTAGTATTCAATATGCTTCTTCGATCAGAGAACCGACGGATTAGTTACTTGCGAATGAAGAGGTCTTCATTTGCCAAAGTCGAGCAAATCGTTACAAGACTTACTCCCGAGGAGATTGAAAGAGCAGAAGAAGAGTACCGCGAGACCCGGACGACTACTAACAGCAATATAGCATACTTAATCCGGGAGTTAAGCGCGTTTGGACATAGGCAGCATATGTCAAATGAGGAGCGTCTCTATCCTCGAAGGAAGATAAAGTCACTATGCCTCAAGTATGGAATGCCGTGTATATAGTATACAATCAACCCAAACGATCTAACAAACGAGATAAATATGAAACTAGCCGCCTTTCGGGTAGCACATGGCAAGGCGGCAGAGGAGCTGATGGAAAAGTTCCGGAAGCAGGTTGGACGCGTACAGCATGTTATCCGAGACGCAGTTAGTTCAGCAAAATTTTTTCATCGAGAGTTGGAGCTTTTCTTTCAACATTGTGTTTCTGTTAGCGAGGAATCAATGTTTGGCAAAGTCTCTTGCTATTTCGGCTGCGTCGAGACAAACGAGCGTGGGGCTCTTCACTTACACGGGCTCTTATGGTTAGACGCCAATCTCGGGCTACCTGATCTTTTTCATGATCTTGCCAAGCCGGATAACGCGGACTACGCAGTACAAGTGTGCCAATATATTGATTCAGTATTTAGTGAGGTAAGCATGTTTCTCTATTTTCTAAGTTTATCGTGCTAAGTAAATGATATAGTGCTGCGACGAAGGCAAGGCACGACGATACCGCCGGTGGGAAAGCGTCTTTACCAATATCAAACATCTTACGGAGGATATCAGCAGACTCGATGAAGCCCTTGATGCCGAAGCGAATTGGGTCGCCTACAGGTGCCAAATGCATAGCTGCGGTGCGACATGTACAAAGTATAGTTTCAAAGACAAAGGGAAGGCTGGGTCTCGGCATCCCTGTCGGTTTAAAGCACCATGGACACTGCGCCAGCGAACCGAGTTTACTACCGATGGCCTTCTGCATATCCGAAGAGATCACGAAAGAATCAACAGATACAGCCCAGGTTTAGCAGTAGCTATGCGTCATAATACGGATACTACATTCCTCCCGACTAACTCGGCTGGACTCTCCATGGTATACTATGCTACGAATTACTCAACAAAATTAGATACGCCGCTTTGGAAGAGAGCAGCGCTAGTCAAGGCTGTATTTGATGGGATGGCTGATCAGGGAGACGACTACGGACCGAATTGTGGAGACAGCGCGGCAAAGACAGCACAACGGAATAATAAGACACGGCAGTTTCTTGCTCGTACAGCAAATCAGATCTTTACAAGTCGAGAACTTTCGGCTGTAGAGGTTTGTAGTAATCTCCTCGGGTACAAGAATAGCTATTGCAGCGAAGCGAGTTGGATTAACGTCTATCTCAGTTCGCTTTACTGGGCTATTTTCCGGCGCTGGGAGGCCCTACGCAGAGCAGCAGGGCCGGAAGTGCAGCAGCGGGTAACCCCTGAAACGATTGGATTCGGCGCCGGTGGCATGACTTTGCCATACCTTGAGGCATATGCGCATCGCGGTCGCCTGTTAGAACAGCTTTGCTTTTACGAATACCTATGTATGGTTCGCGTACGGAGGGTCGGACGAAGGACCAGGATAAACCAGTCACGGTTTATACCGTTCGATTCTTTAATGACAGACCGGGAATCGTGGATACAAGAATTGCTCCCAAGGACACATCAAGCAATTCCAGTTGTTACCGGACATCTAAATCATGACGTACAAGGCACAGAAGAAGGGTATTACAAGAGGTAGGTATATATATATATATACCTCAGGCTATACAGTCGCTAACAGACAATAGGTCAGCAGTCCTGTTACTCGGCTTATTTGTGCCGTGGGAAACCTTTATGCAATCCACTAGTCCCGATCCAGGTGACATCTGGGAGAGATTATACACCGACATGCCAGGTCGGGTTAAGGCTGTGGTAAATAACATCCAACTTCTTCACAAGAGCGCAGAAGACGCAAAGAAAGACGCTAAGCTTTGGGCTAGCCGGAGCGAGGGCGATGAAGGATACGAATTTGATGTGCCTGAGGAGGGCTTAGACCTTTCAGAAGAATGGCACCCAGATAGGATAGACCTGCGGCACACCTTTCACGATGTAGTCTTCAGCCTACAGGACGGACCAGGAGTTACGAATGGTTCTCCAGGCATAAAAGAGTTGCTACAAACGCTGGATAACGCCGGGTTTTCTAGCATAGATGACGACTCCAGAATACAAAGCACCAACAGTCAACCACATATGCAAACAACACTACCAAAGCAACATTTAAAAATCACCAAAGCGGCGCAGGAAAGACTCCATAAAGAGCGAATGCTAGCCATCGAAGGGGATGAATCCGCCGAAAGACCCCTACATACCGGTGCCGAAACAGGCTTTGGCGACAACGATGCTAATATAGATTTCCCAGCCCAGCCAGCGATAGTTGGACTGAAACCTGCTTCAAACTGGATCGCAATTACGGCCGCTAATACGTTCACCCAGGCAGGGAAGATTATCGGTGCGGAGAGAACATTAAATCGCATGCAGGGAATAGCGCTTAGTCTCATCTGCGAGGCGCTCGACGAACGAACAAACGGCGCTGATCGGCAACACCTGCAATACGTTGGCGGGGGAGGCGGCACTGGAAAGTCGTGGCTTATCGATACCGTAAAAGAGGTTTTCGCAGCCAAAGGGGCGTCCAGCCGGCTTGTTATTACGGCAACGTCGGGAACGGCCGCAGCAGGTATCGGCGGTAATACAATTCATTCTGCTGTAGGGCTGGCATTTCGGGACGCCGATGGCGCTACCGTAGAACCAATGTTATCGAACAATCTAGAGAAAGCCAAAGAACGATGGCGCAGGCGGGATGCTCTGATAATCGACGAGGCCAGCATGCTCGGACTCCAAACATTATATGATATCGATCAAAAGCTCAGAATGTTAAGGGGCTTCCCAGAGAAGCCTTTTGGTGGCATTTCTGTCGTCGTGTTCACTGGAGACTTCTTACAGTTCCCGCCAGTTTTGCAGAAGAGCCTCCTTAGTACTACCGAACGAATTGGTATAGTGCTAGGAAATATAGGACCGGGAAGCAAAGCTATAGAGAGACGCTGGAAAGAGGCTAAAGCTAAAGAACTCTGGCAGGGGTTTACTAATGTTGTAGTACTCGACGAGCAAAAACGGGCTGAAGCGGACGCCTACCTGCTTGGTTTTCTTGAACGCCTGCGAGAGGGCAAGCAGACAAGAGAGGACGCCGCGAAGCTCGAAGCGCAATATAATAGCGAATCGAAATTCGATTTCACCAGCGGCAGGCGAGCTGTTATACCTCTAAACCGACACCGGTGGGATCTGACGTTGCATGCAGCCCTAGCATATAGCGTCGATACTGGTCGTAAGATATCGATATATCTTTCGAAGCACAAGTGGGAATCGCGGATACCTACAGCAGAGGAGAGAAAAGCAGCCATGCTATTAGGCGACGAGGGCAAGCTGAGCGCAGCTGGTATGTTCCCTTATGTCGAGGGTATGCCGGTGGTAATCAACGAGAACAAGTATATGGGTCTCAAGGTTGTCAACGGCGCAGAGTTTACAGCCGTAGGAATTCTTCATCCGCCCGGAGTAGAAGAGATCATCATAAACGACAGGCTGTCCATATTTCTCGGACCGCCTAGTGGTATTATTCTCCAGTCCGAAGAAACGAACGGGTTAGCTTTCCCCCATCTGCCACCTAATACTGTAATGTTGCCAGCAGCCAATATTCGAGTACCAGAAAAGCACATCAAAATACTCCGGCCAGATCTGCAGAAAGCCAATGTAAAACTAGCGCTAGTCCGGACAGGGCTCCCATGCACACCAGGCTTCGCATTAACCGACTTTAAGGCACAGGGGCGGACACTCGAAAAGACACTGTTAGGGCTTTATGGGAGAACAGTGGGTAAGAATACGGGGGAGCTTGAAAGATGCGATGCAGTAAGCATGTATGTTCAGCTATCCCGCGTGCGGCGCTTTGAAGATATCGCTCTCATACAGCCGTTAAACGTAAAGCAGTTCCTAGAGGCGCGCATGCCGGAGGAGCTAGTCGAAGGAACCAAAAGACTAAGGATCCTCGCGGAAGCAACAGTCCGGGCGTTCGAGGCTAGGGAGAGAGATGAAGCATAGGAGGGCGGAATAGTAAATAGGGAGGTAAAACCATTAAGATGAAAGGACAGATTAGTGGTCTTGCCTTGGCGGTTCAGGCATGTCATGAATCGGGTTAACACTGGGTTATTATCGCGTATTGCTGTCTTGTGTAGTGCTGTTGGACTCATTGCTATGACCAGAAGGAGGGCATACAATAGGCGTAAAGTTAATATGTGCTAGACCCGGAGGAATCCTCCGTACCTCGAATGTCCGCTGGAAAGACAAGACCAAGGAAACCTCCGAAACCTGCTGGCCTAATAGCTGGCACTCGTTCGTCAAGTGAGCTATCGAGGCGTGGATTGCTTCTAACCGGGATGTAACGTCTTTGTAATGAGTAACCAGCTCAGAAGCATCCATTCTGGCCAGTGTGGATGCACGCGAGGTAATACCAGGGTTACCGAGAGTCTCCAGTTCTATCTCCCATCGATCCAAGGCAGAGAAAGAGTCAGAGAGAGTACCTGGTGGCTGTCCGATCAAGCCCAAGGATACACCCGAACGTCTAGCGAAAGAAGCATCTAAAATAGTTAATAAAAGAGCAGGACGAAAGAGGACAAAAAACCTTACATACGGTGACTACAACGGGAACCAGTATTATTCCACCAACAGTTAGCACACCCACCATTCGTAGCCCGTAAGCCCTCAGCGGACTGCATTACAATACATTGCTTCCACGGACCATTTGAACGGGCACATCGGTCGCATGGAGGTCGGCGCTCAACGCCGGTAGCCTGAACCAGGGCAGCAATGATGCGATAACCATGATCGAACGACAGCGTCTTGCCCTGTTTCCGGGGAGCAAGCTCCCGGGCTATTGGAGAGCAAGATAAAACTTCTATTGTTCGGCTGGTGCGCATAGAGGTGCTCACACCAAGTCGATCCAGCAGGTCACCGCCAGCTAGAGAAAGCATTAGTGACGTAGATATGAAGATGAACAACCAGAGGGGACTTGCTATCACAAAGCACAGGGGGGTTATGGGGCATAGACATAGAGGAGAAATACGATATTATGAAACCAGCAATAGGAAGGACAAGCAATAGATATTAATCAGATAGATAGGAAATCACGGAAGGTAACGATAGGGTGGTATTAGGATGGAAAGTTCGATGGGCGAGGTTGGGCCGGGCTAGGCCAGGGGTTGAAAAGACGGGAAAATAAGAGTGGTTGGCGGGAAATAAATGGAAGAAGACCGGCAAGACATTGGGTAAACGACGGGAAGACCCGAGGACGGCGAACATGAGAGGTGATTGGCCGGAACAGGGGTTAAACGAAGCTGATTGGTCGAACGAAGAATAACGAGCGCTGATTGGTGGCAGGGTCGCTACGACCAATCAGCATCGATTTTTGCTCTAGCCAATCACAGAACAGGAGACCAGGGGGGATCAAGGCACAGGATAGTTTTTTACGCCTTCGCGGATGGAGAAGTTAACCTTCCTAACGGAAGGCAAAGCAGAAGACCTAACAATTACGCCAGAATTAGCACTTTAAACAGCAGTCAAAGCAGTTAACGATACTACTAGCCCAAACGGAATAATGCTAATACTCTTAGTATTCGGCTTGTACCTACGAATTACCGACGATTCGCCGCTATCTCCCGAAGTCATAAGGCAGGTGTCACAGTTCTTCCTGCTAGCACGTGGCTACAACAGGCAGAGGTCGGAACCGTGATAAGAACAGAGATGTAAATAGAATAGTGCAGAAGTCAAACAAACGGTCACAAGGCAATAAACAACGATGAATTGATAAACGTAGGTATAAGCAGTTGGTCTTCTATTGAGTTGGCCTACTGACGATGATGCTGTCGAGGGCGTCTCTTATACGGGTACGGCCAGCACGTGAGATATCACGTGCCCCTGATGACTGTTCATAGAACTGTGACAGGTGCCCCTCCCGAAAAAAGGCGATCGTCCCGATCGACAGTAAAATGAAAACTAATTACATGAATTTGTTCCTTCCATTACCCATCTATCGCGAAGAATCACGACCCTGACGATGAAATCCTATCCTAATCGCGGTCCAGCATGTTACTGTCAGATTGAGCGCGCTACGCGAGGCTTCGGCAACGCTCGGCAGAACACTATTTCCGAGCGCCGAGCCCCGGGTCAGGGGGTGGCATACCCCCTTCCCTACGCGCCCCTGAAGGGCCCTTAGACAGTTACACACATAACGGAATATACATCGTTCTGAACCCTCAATTCGACAGTTACTAAAGCGGCTCTGCTTAGCCGGGCCTGCGATGTTCTCGGTGGCGACGCGCTTGTCGCCCTTCTGCAACTTGGCAACAGCTTCGCGCAGTTCCACGATCTTACCGCGGAGGACTGCAATTTCGTCATCCTTGGTAGCGATGACGCGGTTGACCTCTGCGGCGATCATTTCCTTGCTGGCAGCAGTCGCTTCGAGTGCTTTGAGGCGATCGTTGACGCTCGCGACGTCGACGGTGGACTGGGCTTTCTCGTCGAGTTCGTTGAGGCGAGGGATGATCTCCTCGTTGACGCCGTCAACGATTTTCTTCACATTCTTGGTGACCGTCTCGTTCATTCCGTGAACGTCACCTTCGAAAGCCTGAAGCGCCTTTTCCATATTCTTGAGTTGCTTGCGAGCGGTTGTATCGGTGGCGGTCATGTAGCTGATATTCACGAGCGGGGGAACTGAGAGGAGGTCGGCTCGGTGAACAGCAATGAGGTGGCCCGCGATGGTACCGTTGACCTGACCGTCGCCAGTGTAAAAGACGGTTGCGAGAACCTGGGCGCGGGACGGCAAGTGTTCTGTGTACGAGGCGTTGTTGTTGTACGCGGTGTAGGCGCGTTTGCAAGCGTCCTGAACGCGACGAATGAACAGGTTGGAGGAGGGGGTGGCTGGGCCAGTGAAGTTGTCGAGACAAGCCTCGATCTCCTCGAGCAACATATCGTCCGGGTAGAAGGCGAACGCGTCCTGGGCGCGCTTTTTAGCGTCTCGGACCTGGGTGCTATCGACCTTGGTAGCGGCACGCTTCTTCTTCTTTGGGGTGCCGGACTTCTTGCCAGCCTTGGCCTTCTTAGCCTTGGGGGCGGGAGTGGCCTCGACGGCTGAGGCGTCGGACTCCTCCTCCTCGCTGGATTCGTCAACTGGCTCGGGGTTGCTCTTCTTGGCCCTGGCCTTGGCCTTGCCCTTGCTGGTCTTCTTGTGCTGGTCTTCCTCGACCGTCTCGGTAGGTTCGGCGTGGGCTTCGTGGGCCTTGTCAGCCTCGTCGGCGTCGAACATGGTGGTGTCCTGCTGGTCACCAGTGTGTTTAGTGGCGGCCACGGTGATTTCCTCGGCGGCGCTCTCGCTGACGACGTGAAGTTCCTCGTCGGCCAGGCCGAAGTTGTCTTCGAGGTTCTCGTCGTCGGTCTGGGTCTCGTTGTTGCCTACGTCGCTTCCGGGGGCTGCGACGGAGCCGGTGGGGGTTTCGGCGATCTCGTCGGTGTCTTGGCGAGTGCGTTGGGAAGACATCTTCGCGTTCTTGATGTCGAATCTCGCAATTGGGACGTGTAGTAGTGGTAAGTTGAAAGTCTTGATGAGAATAGAAGGGGTTTGTGATGTGTTATGAAGTGGGAGATTTGTTGATTTACTGTTGTGTGGGTGGAAGTGGGATTTATATAGTAGGAAAAGTTCACTTTCGTGGTGGTGGTGTTGAAAGTGAAAAGGCAGAGTTTTTCGCTGCCTATGAGGCAAGTGCCTACGAAGGGAAGGAACGAGTGTTTTGTGCGAAATTCCATTACGTTAACAAAGGGAATAATCTCGCTGATATCGCTTTATTAGGAATCAGCTGTTTTATCGCAGAATAGCGACATTGTTCTAGTTGTTTCGTTGTTGGCGTCGCTTGGAGCGGTAGGTTGGTGTAACCTCCGCGTCGACGGGATATCTCGCCTCATACTCGTTGACGAGCTCTGCTGCGTTGGTCTCAAGCGATTCGCGAAGCTCCCAGGTGTCGAACCTTGCGGTAAATCCCTTCCAGCGAACGAGATATTCGATCCTTGGCTCGCGTTTTCTCCGGTTGATTCTGCGGCTCACAATGTGGTCGATTTCCCATTCTTCGCTGCCGTCAACCTCGATAGGTTGGGGCGGCTGTTGTTCACGGTTGAATGGGTCGTCTCCCTGGGCTGGCTTGTATAGCTGCGCTACCGATAGGATTGGAAAAATTCGCCAATGGGCCGGGAGGTCGACTTCGTAAGCTGTTGGGCTCACAATTCGAACGATTCGAAAGGGGCCCATACGTCGTGACGTCCACTTGTTATGGCGTTGGCCAGGTAAGTGGAAGCCCTTCCCTAGTCTTATCCAAACCTCGTCGCCAACGGAGAATCTGACGTCTGAGTGCTTTTTGTCGTAGCGTTCCTTTCTCAGCGAGTTCGCTATATCGATCAAAGCCGCTGCCTCGTCCTGGTATATCTTTCTTATGACGTCGATAGACTCGGTTGGAGCGTCTTTTTCCGCGATGACGTCGAGAGTGCTTCGAGGCTTGAATCCGTATACGACCTCATTGGGAGATCTCCCGATCGTTGCGGTGTACGAGTTGTTGAGGTTGTGTTGCAGCGCTGGGAGAACCTCTGGCCATGGGGTTTCCGGGTACTCTGAAAGTTGGAATCGGATTGCAATTTCCGCTGTTTGGTTTGTTCTCTCGCTCTGGCCGTCAGTCTGTGGGTGGTAGGCTGTAGACAAGAGCAGTTTCACTCCGAGAGCGCGGAATATCGCGGTCCAGACGGCTGAGATGAACTTAGGGTCTCTATCGCTGATGATACGACGTGGAAGTCCCCAGTCAGCCAGTTGGAAGGCCCTAATGAGGACTATTGCCCACTCCTTGGCTCCGTACGTGGTGTGGCCTGGTAGAAGTATAACTTTCTTCGAGAATTTGTCCGTTGTGGGCGCAAGCGTATCAAACCACTCGAATCCGGGTAATGCCCACGGACTCCCTCGTGCTTTTACTTTTGGTAAATCGGTAACGAAGTCGATTGTTACGGTATCGAAGGGGATTCCCACGACTGGAATCGGCTGCAGGCTGCCTGGCGGTCTCTGCCGGTCGACTTGGTTTTCCTTACATCTCGGGCAGTAGGCGATATATCGCTTTACTACCGATCGCTTGTTTCGTATCTGGAAGCTGGCTAGCTCTGCTAGCATGCGGTCTACGCCGAAATGGTGCTTTTGATCGTGGGCAAGGCTGAGAACTTCCACGACGGCTTTGCGTGGGATACACAGCCTTTTTGTCCCATCATACGCACGGTGGAATAGGAAGCCTGTCTCTGATAGTTGCCACGGGGAGATTCGACGACGAATCGGCGTGCGCCCCTCGTTCCGAGCGCGATTTTCCTCGTCGTCTGCCTCCTTAGGTGACCACCACTCATCACCACTCTCTCGTTGTCTCGTGAGTTGCTGGATGAGTTTTCCGTACTTTGGGTCGGCTTCGTAATTTTCAACGATGGTCCTGGCGAAGTCTTTGCTTATCCCAATTGTGAACCCGCCTGGTTCTCCTAGCCGTTCGTCGTCCTCTGAGTTGAAAGCTGCGATATTCTCATCGTCGTGGATATCTGCGAGTACGTCGCTTTCTTCGAACGGGTCTGCTCTACCTGTTGCCACCAGCAACGGTAGACGCGAGAGAGCGTCGGGTACAACGTTGAGTTTCCCTGGGACGTGGGTGACGTTGAGGTTGAATTGAGAGAGGTAGTTGGCGGCACTCGCCAACCGAAGATTTGCTTTGTTGAGATCCATCGTTCTCAACGACGTGTGGGTGAGAATTCCCTTTGTGGCTGCGTGGTCCGTAAGGATCTGTACTGGGTTCCTGTTTGATTGCACCAGTTTCCTAAGTTTCCTTACTGCCCACACCACTGCTGCTACCTCCGCCTCGGTCGCGAAGTATCGCTTCTCTGTTGGGGATGTTACTTTTGAGAGAAACAGCACTGGTTGGATATGCTTTTGTGGGATGTCTTTTCCGGGAATTCCTACGCCGTCCCAGGTAATATCCATCTGGAACACCATAAGCCCGAATCCTCCCTTGCAAGCGTCGATCTTAAAGAATAAGGGTTTTTCTGGGTTATGGTGGTATCTCACGACCTGGTCGCAGAGATTCTTTTGTAACGTTTCCCATGCTTCCGTTTCTTCTAGCGTTGGCTCGAAAGTCGCACGTTGGAACCGTTTAGTTCTTACAGCCCTATTGAGGCCTGTTGGCAACTGGTCCTCCTTGCGTAGGATCGCGGCTAGCTCGGTTTTCCTTTCGTTAAGGGGGGCTGCGATCACGTCGTACCATGGAATGTCTTTTCGAAGCCATCCTGCCATTCCGAGGTATTTCTCGAGATCGCTAAGGTTTTTTGGGAACCTGAGATTCTTAAATGCAGCGATTCGATCGTCCGTTCTGCGTATCCCTTGTCCGTCCACGATATGGCCGAGAAGTTTCACGGAAGGGAAACCAGCGAATGACTTTTTCGCTGCTATGTTGAGCCTGTTGTTGTTGATTATGTTGAGGACTGTTTCAACATGCTTAAGGTGGTTTTCGTCGGTATCGCTGAAGATCACGATATCGTCGATGTACGCGCGAACGAAGTGTTTATGGTCCTGGAAGATGCGATCCATGAATCGTTGGGCGTAAGCCGGCGAGTTCTTGAATCCCATGAGTACTACGTTCGAGATCTCGATACCACGGGGACTTATCACTGCCATCCTGTTACGGTGTTTCGAGTGGATAGGCAGTTGGTGAAAAACTTAGGTGGCGTCGAAGAGGGTTATTCTTTTCTTGCCACGAATCGCGTTCATTATGTCATCTTGGTCTGGCAAGGGGTAAACGTCTGGGACCGCTAGACGGTTGAGTGGGCGTAAGTCCGCGACCACTCTGGGTTTTCTCGCGGTCTCCGTTTGTCGCCATACGATGAAAAGAGGACAGGCAATCGGAATTGGCTTGCCGTCAGCCCAATCCATCTTTCCCTCGGCGTGAAGTTGCCCGTAGGTTTCGTCTAAAACTGCGAGGTCTTCGAGACCGAGTGGATATACCTTTATGTTGGTTTTTTGGTTCTGCCATCCGTCGACGAGGTCGATTCGCATACGTTCCTCGTCGGGGAGTGGTATGATACCCTTGTTGTGATAAATATCGTACCTGTCGAGGATTTTCCGCAGTTGTTGCGCGAATTCCTTGTCGAAGTCACATATCTCGACGCCGTGCTTGCTGAGAATCATTGGCACGTCGTCTGGTTTAGAGATTCCGTAGTCTGGTATCTCGTCTATCCATGGTTTGGTACTTCCTTCTGGGGTGCTTTCCTCGTTAGTTATGTTGAATATTGCGTTGTCCTGCTCATTTTCAGCTTCGAGGTCGCTGAGCAGGATACTCGTGTCCCCTGGTGGTTGTTTCGTGAGGTGACCGATACGGCGGCCTTTGGGGATTCGCATTTCTGAATTTCCTTTGTTATGGATGAGAAATAGCGCTGGGGTCGCGAGGTCTACCGTACTGTAGATCGCTGCCTCATGTGTTGGGTGGAAGTGCCAGGTCTCGCTCCCGTCGTTACTATCCCTTGGCAGAGGGCTGTATCGTCCCGGGACGAAGACTTGACTCTTCCGTGGAATTGTTACTGCGTAGGCGTTGTCCACGCGCCTGGCGGGTGGCGTCTGCCGTCGATACTCAACGGGCGCCTCCATATTAAATACGGATCGAAACTTAACAACAGACTTGTTGAAGTCTACGACGAGACCGTGTTCCTCACAGAAGGGGGTGCCGAGCAATAGGTTTGCTCCGAGCATGTTGACAACCCCTGCTGTGACAATAACGTGTGCGTTCACGTCTGTCTCGCCTATTTTACCAGGGACGTAGAAGTCAAATGTCACTTCTTCTGTGACCTGGAAGGTGGAATCTACGGCGTTCATTTTCCTTGGTTCGATCGCTCGAAAAGACGATTTGCGGGCGAATCGTGTGACCCAGGACTTTTCAACTAGTATAGTTGAGGCTCCTGTGTCGATACACACCTCGTCTGGTTCGCTATTGTCGTCGGCTTTGACGTGGAGTCGAAGGTGTGTTCTTTTCGAGGGCATGCCACGCTTATTCGGTTTCGTCTGAGCGTCGATGATTTGGCCTGGTGCTAACTTCGGCAACTCTCTGATTTCGTGGTTTTTCACGGCTACTCCAGCGAAGTCGCTAGGCAGCTCGGTCTGGGGCTCTGTTTGATACGCCGTCGTGACTACCGTTACTTCCTCTTGTATTTGAGGAGATGGGGGAGGGATCTCTGCCTTGGGAGTGGTCGCCTCGTGGGCGCGGAAGGCAACGTCATTAGTCCATCCTGTATGGGCTACCTCTTCCTCTTGTGGTTGTGCCGCTGGGACTTCTACGACGTCTTCGAGGATATACCCGTGATCGACGAGGTGATTGATCATGTCCTCGTCCGATTCGTCTTCCCACACGAACTTAGCGTCGTTAGGCGGTTGACCTGGACGGTTATACCGGGCGAATCGCCTTGAGTTCGGGAAATTCTGCTGTGCGTTCCAGGGTTTGCGATCTTTCCAGTTTTGTTGTTTCCAGTTGAGTTGCGTTTTCTTTTGTTGCCATTGGGGCTGGTCACGTTGTGGCTGGGGAAAATCGCGTTTCTCTTGGTTCCTGTTGTTCCAGGCTAGGCGTGGTCCTCCCCATAGAGCGTTATCCTCACTGTCTGGGGCGGTTGTATGAAGAACCTCGATTGGGGTCTGCAGGTATCTTCGAATAACTCCGCGTTTTTCCTCGGCGAGTCTGAGATAGCTCTCAACCGTATCATTAAGCGTTGGTTCGTGGAGAAATCGTTGCAGAGATGGGTCCAGAGCGTTGTAGAATATCGTGAGTAGTTGCTGCTGGGGCGTTGACGATCCCAACCATGCTCTGCCATATTTGAAGCAGTCTTGGGCGAATAATCGGATGTCCTTGTTGCTACCGATCTTTTCTACGGTGAACTTGTTGGATACTACCCATTGGATTGCTTCTATCTGGGTTGGCCCGAAGCGGGCTCTCAGTCCCTTCTGCAGGCCGAACCATCCCTGGGCCTTGTACTGGTTCCTTTCCACGGGCCCGAGGTGATATTCCCACCAGCTGAGTGCTTTGCCTCTAAGTAGGCTCTGCCATTCTCTGAAGACCTCGTCTCGGGCGTGAGGATCAACGATCTTGGCTTCGATCGCCGAGAGCCATAGGTCTACGTCTCGGTAGCATGGTGTCTCTCGGTCGTGGAATATGGGCTCCCTGCCGTACTTGCTGTCGGCGTCGGGCCAGAATACTCCGTATCGTTGCTGAATGTTCGTTATGGCCGCGAATCTCCTCCCTGGGTTCGGTAGTTCCGATCCCGGCGTTGCCGTGCCCAACAGCCTTCCGAACGCGTTTATTAGCATTGCCTCGAACTGCTGCTGCATTTGAGGGGGCGGTGGAGTCTGGAAGGATGGAAATCCCGTTGCCATTGGGTATGGCATCTGCCCCTGAGGGGGAAGGTATCCTCCTGTGCCGGGGGGCATATATTGCTGTTGAGGATTCCATCCCTGGCTCGGTATAAATTGCGTTCCCTCCGATGGGGTCCCCATGACTCGTGCCTCCGTTTTTGGAGGAATAACCTCGGCTTGCGGCGGTTTCGTATATTGTTGTTGATTTGACGGTCCTACTTGCTGAAAAGTTTGTTGAGGTTGGCTTGCAGTTGTATCCGATACCGCTGACTGTGGCTTTTGGGGGTCTTCGTGATTCCCCTCGTATTGGCCGTGCTTGAGTGGTGCCCCAGGAGGTTGTTGCTCTTGCTGTTGAAGCTGTGTTGGCGGCGTAATTGGCCCTGGTTCGGTGGTTTCGTTGTTTCTCACGGGTTGCTTGCCTTTCGTGATGTCTAACTCTTCCGAGCTTGGTTCTCCGAATTGTCCTTGGAGGTCCTGGAGTTCTCGGGCGTAGATAATCGCCCTGGCGATGCTATTTACCGCCTCGTTATAGTCGTAATTCTCTATCCTCCAGCTGTCTTCGAGTTGCGTTGCCTGAGTCCAGGTTCTATCGTCGTATCTGACGTCGATTCGGCCGATATTCGTATTCCACGCGATGAACGCTATAACACTCGTATATGCTCGGAAGGAGTCTGAAATTCTTGTTGTTTTGGGATCATCGGGATATGTCTCCCAATATCGTAGGAGACGTCTCGCTGTCTCGCGATGACCGTTATTTAACCTCGGGTTATTTGCGTAACTCATCGTGTAAGTCTACGTTGGCTACGTCGAGGTATGGGTTGTGATTTTGAGCGAGTAGGCTCGTGGGGTATTTCCCTCGAGATTCTCCGCGATATATCGCGGTTGAATCGAGAGAAAAAATTGATCGAGATTAAGTTGTGCTACCACTTGTCACAGTTCTTCCTGCTAGCACGTGGCTACAACAGGCAGAGGTCGGAACCGTGATAAGAACAGAGATGTAAATAGAATAGTGCAGAAGTCAAACAAACGGTCACAAGGCAATAAACAACGATGAATTGATAAACGTAGGTATAAGCAGTTGGTCTTCTATTGAGTTGGCCTACTGACGATGATGCTGTCGAGGGCGTCTCTTATACGGGTACGGCCAGCACGTGAGATATCACGTGCCCCTGATGACTGTTCATAGAACTGTGACAGCAGGCGAAAGCGATTAAGAAGGCGACAAGCAAAGTACGCAAACTTTACGCAAGGCGACAGGTAGCAGAAGCTATCGCTACCCGTAATAGCCTTGATATAAGGCTAATTGTTAATTTACTACTATGGTTGTAAGTATAAGTATAGCGCGAAAAGAAGGGCTAGACTAGACCGTTTACTTTAGCAGCTATAAACAGCGAAACCTATACTATCGATATGCTACGTAGTCTGAAGACCTTCCGGTCTACCATAGTTAAACCATACTACGAAGATCTTGATTAACTACCTAATTCTATCGCCGTGCTAGAAGAAGAAGAACCCGAAGCTAAGATACCGTAGCAGGAAGTAGTACGCGACGAAATTATCGTCGCTGGCGGAGGCAGTGAACCGGACGAACTGCAAGAGGCACCGGAGCTACCGAGAAGACGCCCGGGTAGACCCCGGAAGAGACTACTGCTAATCGCCTACTTTATAAAGGAATTTAACGATAACCTAGATTATTAATAAATATTCTTATCGATTAAGGAGTAAGTAGACGAAGAATTAGTAATTAAACTACGATAAGAAGGTATTATTACTATACTAAGCAAACCGTTCGAATAGTTAACTAAATAAGAGATTAATAGCCTTATTGCTAGAAGAGTATTTAAATTTACCTAGTTTAATAAGAGAAGGTATTAGAACGTACGAATCTTCCGATCTCGTATTGTTAACAAAGTTAAAGGTAAAACAACCGAACCTTACGAGAAATCGAGACTTATAATATAGGGTTACGCCGACGATAGCAAGAAGGCTATATTAACCTAATCGCTAACGATTTAGCAGGCGAGTTAACGGCTAATTCTATTAATTACCCTGTTATTCCTACGAGAAGGGAAATAACTATAGCTTCGAGATATTATATAAGCCTACGTTTAATCCTTTATAAGGCTTAATCGTACTATTCTCGCCTACTTACCGAAGCAAATTCAAGACTAGTACCTAAAAGGGACTATTATAGAGGTTGTAAAGCCTTTATACGGAATCGCAGAAGCTAGAACCTACTAGTAGGCAACGTATTATAAGTATTATAGAGAGAATCTCTAGATAGTTACTTCTTCGTACGATCTATGCCTATTAATCTTATCTACCGAAAATCTATACTTTAGCTATATCGGCATGCAAACCGACGATACCCTCGGTTTGTTAGACAAGGCGTTCTTATAATTAGAAGACGAATAGTTAGAAAAAGCAGCTTTTATAGCAAAAGCGAAGAATATCCTTATAATTAACAAACCCTTCTAATTTAACAGAGGGATAATCGCGCTGTTAACCGACAATTCGATTAATTTGAGGCAAAAGGGATAAGCTAAGAAGTTACGATATATTAAGACTACTAAACCTAACTTAAAATAGCAATATATCGAACAACGCGCTAGAGGGGCGTACATCGCGTCAATTTGCTAACCCGAGGCTTGTTTCGATTTATCTACTACTACCTAATACTAAGACCCCTCGCTAGAAGCGATAAAAGCATTAAATTAACGGATTTGATAGCAAATAGAATCGCTTAACCGAGGAATAACGTTTATCCTACTTAACCTTATAATAGCTAAGCTATTCGTTTTTGTTAACAGGTTGTTTATTAATAACTACGACCTCTCCTCCTAATTAGGGTTTCTAATCATCCTAGCTAACGACACTTCCTCTAATAGTAATAACGGAGAATTTACGATTTACGGTAACCTTGTTTATTACAGCTTTACGAAGAGTAAACAAGTTACCTATAGCGTATTAGCGTTAGAGATCTACGGGATGGTTGCTAGCGTCGATATAGCCTACGCCTTCGCTATAACCCTAGCGACGATTACTAACTACCTTAACCTACTAACGATTTAGATAGTTATCTATACCGATTCTTATTCGCTATACGAGTATCTCGTAAAGCTAGGCACTACTAAAGAAAAGCGACTTATGATCGATATTATAGCGTTAAGACAATCGTACGAAAGACGAGAACTATAAGAAATTCGTTAGATTAACGGCGAAGACAACCCTACTAATGCCTTTACGAAGAGCAAACCAAATCGAGCCTTCGAGAGATTCGTTGATAGCAATACGATAACGATACGTATAGAGGGATAGGTAATAAGACCGTAACTACGGGAGAAAGTAGGGATAGGAGGCCGAATTGACAAGGAGACGGAACTGTATAGGGATAACGTATTCTAACCGCTTTAATACTATAAAAAGAGAGTTTCTAGTGTTGCGATAGTTGGAATACGGAGTCGTGTGGCACTTCCAGCTACACGCCCGCCAGGCTGAGAGGCCCAAGCCTCCCAGACCCACGTGACAGGCCAAGGGGGATGTTACGACCCGACAGTTAACAGACCACTGACGACGACCCCGCAGGGGCTCAGCGGTTATAGGGACGGCCGTCAGCCGTTACGTCGTAACAACCCCCACGGAACGGAAGAACTAGGATACAGGTCACGTGACGATAAGCAGGACCGACGGACGATAAGCGGTCCTGGGACAGGACCGACGGTGCCAAGGGCGGTCCATGGCGATGGACCGACGTCCTGGGTGTCGGTCCCCCAGGATCAGGAAGTGTTCAGCATGGAACCAGACTTGTATATAGTTGGGACTCGAGTCCTCTCGAGTCCTACCTTTCCTAGTTCTTCAGCAATCAACTTCGTGACTACCCTCACCGGTACTTTCAGCTATCCTAAGTGACGAACTACTCTACGACTCTTGTTGAGGCCTTGACTGATCACCAAGACCTTTGAAGATCTACGATCTATTCGACCAGGACCACGGAACGACTGTTACTACTCTCAATCCCTGACTTACTGCTAACACAAACCCACTGTCAGTTAGCTGGCCGTAACAGGGGAATATCCCCACCTTCTAGTCAACAACACCACTTTCAACTATCATGAACCATCGATTAGAACCAATTTACTGTTATTTGTTATTGACGAACGGAATTCCGTTTCACCCCCTGTGAAACCTACAGAAGGAAAGAAAGCGAGAAAATCGCATAGAAGGGTAAATAAAGCGAATAAAATCGCAAAAATTCGTAAATCAATAGAAAATTGACAGACGAGTAGAATAATAGGTAAAACGACGTTATTCCGAAAGAATAACGCTAGGCTCATAACCTGTAGGCGAGAACCGGCACAGAACGCTCAGAATGGAAAAGTGGTGTTGTTGGTCGGAAGAACTAACTAACTGGCTAGAGGGCTGTGGAGGCTGGCTAAGACCAGTGGTGGCGGCCGTCAGCCCACGTGACGGGCCGGCGAGGCCTGCCACCCACATGTATCGCAGTACAAAAGTCCTGGTCAGTGGTAGCAGTTATGGATGAAAACATAGGTGGTGTAGTCAGTGCGCGGACATCTGGCTCTTATGCCTGAGGCTGAAAGCAGAGTTGGACCGAACGTAAAGCTTCGAAGAGCCGTGACTATTATGTCTTGTTAAGCTAGAGGAGCTTCCCTGTAACCTGTTGTTGTATTAGTGGCGATCGTGACTTGATGAAGGGAAAGGGGCTAAGTGCTTAGTTCTGGAGCAGGAGCTTAAACTATGGACTTGACCTACTGATTGACAGTTCTCAAACGTGTGCTTATCACTAGGGACAATGGGTATGCAAGTTGTCTTGATAATGTCAGCACATAAGGGCGAGGATCCGTAATAGGCTGTGATCAGCAGACATGTTCCATATTAACTTTATTCGCACCTTGATGAAGATGGCTATACTGCTACAAGTCTGTTACATTGTAGTCGATGACTAAACCTACTACCAGATACGGTAAAGGCCTGTTAATGTTGGTTATAATCAACACTGTTGTATGGCTGCGGAGCTATTCGTCCATGCGTTGATCCAACGCACCTTTCCTACATTGATGTAACCCACCTCGCGGTAAAGTTGACAATCCTATCTTGATTTTAGCTTTGTCGTAACAAGACTTCTACCACAGTCTGATGTTCAGCCTTTATATGCTAGAAGCATAAATACTGTAACTTCAAACATTTAAGCAAGTTCTAGTAGTTCTCGCTTGTCGCCAAGCATGCTATTACAGCTTTGTTGAATGAAGTATCGGGTCATTGAACAATCAAGTATATACTACGAGATGGGCCATCTCTAGTCTAGTTTCGGGCTTTTTAGCTCCACTTGACCTTAACTGTTCAACAAACTCATAATCATACGTTAAATAGCGCGGCGTGAACACAGTCCAGCTTTATCTGGCAATGAAGATGACCACTCCTTTTCCCTCAATTATGATGAACAATGAAATTATAAATTTTTTATTTCGCCTTCAAGCAGATCTGCTACCTAGTGTTGGACTCGTTCAATGACCAAGCTTGACTGTGTCTTGCACTGAGGAACACATGCTTGTAACTGAACTGGTATAAATAAAGGCGAATGTCAGCAAAAATGCGTTCAATCAGTCTCGCAGACAATCAGGTAGATATAAGATAACCCAAGTCATCATGATTGAGCTGATATTCTCAAACATAGATCACTTTGATTGCAAATAGGTAAAAGACAACATGTCCTCAATTATCAGGAACACGATGGAAAGACTGTTCACACGGGCAGGGTTCATGTTAAAAGTGTCCACACTCTCCGCTTTCTCTTCGCGGGGTTGACAACTATTGCGCTTTTTTAATGCTTCTCCGTTCCCACCCGGAGAGTCAGGAGTCTTCGATCGAGTAATTACATATGTAGCGATTTCAAGTGTTTTGAAAATCGCCGCCTACAGCCTGCAGCCCGGGCTTGTCGTATTTCTTTTTTTTTTTCGGTGAATTTTCAACAAGAAACTGATCATACGACAGCGGCGTATATGGGCAAGACACCAGTTGAAGAGTGGTAAGTCGAGCTGTCGCGAAACAGAACCTGGTTATTGGAATTGAGGGTCAAGAGGCGGTGTGTCAGCAGCTGAAACTACAACAATGTACGTGGTAGGGGCTAAGTGGTCAACTATGGCCCGCATTTAAGCGAAACTGGCGCTGCAATTTCAGGGCATCGTATAGTGTGTGTGTATCACCGCCAGACTTTGTTTATCAGTCACAATCCGCAGCGCCCCTGTCCGGGTGTCTCGTCGCCCTGTCGCCGATTGGGCTTTGATGACACGCCCCAAATTGTTTACTGCCACCGTCTCGCCTCGACCACAATGGCCACAAATGGGTGCTTTGGGCCGCGCGAATGTGGCACAGCGAAGGCCTAGGAGACGCGGATTCGCTGTTTGCCAAGTGACGTCAATCCCTTGTGCCAAGAAATGACCCCGCGAGCTCTTGGCATCAAAAACACGTTCTATCTTCATGCTTCTTCATGATGCGTTTCCAAGCTCACGATCTTCTCGTCGTTTCTCTCATAAAGCCAGCCCGACCCACAATCTTTGTATTGCCGTTGTATTTCATCCACATCCGTTGAATCTTCACCCATCTCAGCCCGAACCTAAACCACTACTTACTACTATTCTTCATTCAACATGGCGACAGCACTCGTTGATAAGCTCACCGCGTCTGGCGGCTCTGAGTCCGCAGGTCAGTCTTTTTTATTTCATTTTATCTTTTTGTCTTTAGAATTAGACATTACTGGAAATGAACCGCGAATAAGCTAACATTGAATAGGATTCCTGAACGACATTGTCGTCCAGCTATGGCCTCACATCAACGTTGCCGCGGGCAGGATGGTAAAGGAGATTGTCGAGCCCATGTTCGCCACCATGCTTCCGGGCCCTCTTGCATCGCTTCGTTTCGTCAAGATCGACCTCGGACAAGTGCCGATGAGATTCTCTGAAGTAGACGTGCACAAGACCGACAATGACGGTATTAAGCTTGACATGGACCTGGACTGGGAAGGGACCTGTGATATTGAGCTCGAGGGAAAGATGGTGCCCAAGCTGGTAAAGATTCATCGAAAGGCCTCCAAGATGGTTATTTTTTACTAAATTTATCTCAGGGCATTGAGCACGTTCACTTGCATGGCAGACTTTCGGTCCTGCTCTGCCCCTTGACGGATATTATTCCTCTGGTAAGGCACCCATCCAATAATACATTTACGGTGGATCATACTAACTCCAAACTAAGATCGGAGCAGCGCAAGTTGCCTTCATCAACCCACCTACTCTGAAGCTCGACTTCACCGACGCCGCCAATATTGCTGACTGCTTCCTGATCGAGAAGGCCGTCCGCAAGGTCATCCTCAACATTGTCTCGTCCCTGGCCGTCCTCCCTAACCGCTACCTCGTCAAGTTGGATGCCAACAATGACTGGTTCAAGGCATACCAGCCCCATGTTGGTGTTTTGCGCCTGACTGTTGAGAAGGCGACCGGCATCAACGGGCCCAAGAAGAGCGGCGCGAAGAGACTACTGAGCAAAATTATCAAGGACGTCCCCGACTGCTTCTGCAGCGTGACCGTCGGCGCGGAGGAGATGTGGCGCACTACGACCAAGAAGAACGACCACAACCCAGTCTGGAACGAGACGCACGACTTCCTCGTGGCCGATTTCGACCAGGTTATTGCCCTCGATGTCGACGATGATGACCTGGTCGGCGACGACGACATCGGCTTGGCAAGCACTACTGTCAAGGAAATCCTGCTGAATGGCGGCACTCACGAACTGGACCTCCTCCATAACGGCGAGCCGACCGGTGCCAAGATTGTGATCCACGCCCAGTTCTTCAACTTTGTTTCCGACGTCGGCGCCCTGACGTCCTCCGAGAACCAGGGCGAGGGCCAAATCTGCGGTCTTGCTACGGTGCTGATTGCGAGCGCTCTCGGCCTCGAGGGCAACCGTAGAGAGTTGAACCCCAGCGTCAAGGTGACGTGGGGAGCCTCCCAGTTCCAGACCCCGGCCAAGACTTACAGTCCGGGAATGGACATTTTCAACCCCAACTTCGACAGCGCCTTTAAGATCCCCGTGACCTCGGATATGATCAACAACCCGGGAAGCTTTAGGATTGCGCTAATGAACAAGACCGACGAGGCGGGAGCCGTCGAGATTCCCTTGTCAGACGTGCTTGAGGCTCCTGGTTTGGTGAAGGAGGGTGAGTTTGACGTCGGCTCAGGCGCGGTCGTTAGAGCCAGTATTTCTCTCCGGGGTTTGCAACACGCTCCGGTGAACTAAAGTTTGAGGGTTGTATGTGTGGATGATTACTGTACGGGTCTGTAGGTATATGCGAGCAGATTGAACAAAGCTCAAACATTGACAAATAATAAGTTGATGACTCCAATATTTGAAAGTTGTGCGGTTTATAACAAGCGGCTGCGTAAATGTTGATTGATTTACATTGGCCAGTAGCTGAATATATGAGTGCTCATTGGAATTATATTTTTGAATTGTAGAAATTGATGTTGAGACATTTACCTGATCGTACCGTTATCGAACTAGTTCATCTCCTACTGACCCTAAATTTACTTGTACCTGTGGAAAAGTCTAATCCACTGGGTCTATTTCGTTCAACGGCCTGTTTAATTGTGTATGATTGGCTAGTGAAACGCATGCTATGCACCTATTGCCAACTAACCCTCGATGAGATACGCAAAGCACAGAGGGCTTTGCCAACTATGTCTTTACCAGGACGCTTGATTAAATCACGATTCGGTGTTACATAATGGTGATTCAACGTTTCAAGACAAAAAAGTATGATTTTTGTCGAATGATGAGTATTTGTGTGGTTGATATTTAGACATATATGGACTTAAAAATACCTAGCCGAGTTTATACCTGTCGCCAACTAATACTCGATGGGATAGTAGCCAACTTCATTATTTGCAACTCCTCGGAAATATGCCTTTTTCTCACTGGTTCTTGTAGAAGTCGAGAGTTGGTGTATTTACGTGGCGTAATAACCTGTTATGACATCGACTCATTTCCCAGTAACTTCTCAACTGACAAGCGATGTGAATTCCGGCCATATTAAATGTTCGACAAAGCAGTTACTGTCGAAATACTATACAGTAACTGGAATTGGATTTAGTAATCGTTTGGAAGCGGTCGAGTGGTTGGTGGTGTCAGTATCGGAGTAAACTCCACATCCTCCGCATGACGTATGAGTGATGACAACTCAAGAGCCGCAATACACAACGACACAGCACACGTGCACTACTTCTGCTCCTACAGTATCGAGTACAAACGTTTGTATTAATCCATCAAAGTTACTGAATCAACGTAAAACTCTCCCTTGAACAACTCAATTCATCTACTTTTCAATCGCAACTATGTCCGGCACGGCACCAAACAATCCCGCACCCGGAGGCCACGCAAGCGGCCTCGAGCAGACGTCCCTGGACTCAAACCAGCACGGTCAGACCCAGTAAGTATCCTTTCAAACGTCTAGTTTACACATTATATGCAAAATTGAAACCATCAGGCGTAAGTCAAATTAACGACAAACGCAGAAACATCATCGACGAGACCAAGGACACTCACGGCTCAACCACGGTGGACCGCAACGTCGGCGACGCCATTGACGCTTCCAAATCCAAAGCTGGGTTGTCCTCGCGCGTCGATGATTTGCTGGACAAGACGTCCGCTGCGGGCAGCGGTACTGCCGGCGCGGAGCGTAAAGGGGCGGCGGTGGCGGAGAAAGGGTTCCGGGTCGGGGAGGAGGCGGATCTTCACGATTTGGCGAGCAGCAAGCAGCCTTAGATGCGTCGTAGGCCTACACGTAGCTTCAAGGAGTTCGAATAAACAAAGAATTGACTTGCTGCGAAGAACATGCTTTATTTTCAGGAATTCTATAAATGAAGCTGGCGGGAATGAACACCACATTCATTACAGCATTATTCTTTTATCACTTTGCTTACAGAAGCCTTTTGAGACTAATAACCCTGATGGTAATGAAAGTAGTGTAGAAACCGACTATAACATTGATACGCAGCAGATCAGGAACTGACACTTATAGGTAAGCCAAGTGTAACACGTGACACTACATCACATTGACCATCACAACGACCACTACAAGAGTCGATAATTCTCAAGTCGAAACACGTGGAGACTAATTAGGGGTTGTATACTATCTCCAATCGTATAATAACAGTCTCGCTATCATACACACATGAAATTTATCCAGATCTCCGGGGTGAAAATTAAATAGTAGCTTGCTTAGGGGGACGACACGTCTACTGTGCCTCTTCCCCCCACCGTATCATTCGCGTTAGGTATATACAGTCATCAGAGGCCGTTGTTTTCCCCTCCTAAAATTTAGAGAGCGGCAAGGACCAGACCAACGACACCGACGGCGCCGAGGACGCCGGTGTTCTTGGAAGCACCGGCGAAGACGATGCTGGGGGTGGGGGATCCGGAAGGCTAAAAGAAACGAGAACCAGGTTAACACACAAACAACAACAAATTTTTTTCCATCATAGCAGAGACCAAGCCCAGGCGGCACATACAATGACGACGGAGGTACCGATGGAGGTGACGCGGGTAGCGGTGGCGGCAGAAGAGCCAGTACCGGCGGCGGAGGTGGTGGCGGCGGCGCCGGAAGAGCCGGAGCTAGCGGCAGTGGTGAGGGTGGTGGCAGGGGCAGCGGCGCCGGTGCTGCTAGCGGCGGCGGCAGCGGAGGAGGACTGCTCGTTGGCGGGGGGAGCGGCGGCGGAAGAGCTAGCGGGCTGCTCGGCGGCGGGCGCAGAGGAGGAGGCCGCAGCGGGAGCGCTGGTGGTGACCGGGGCAGCAGCAGAGGTGACGGCGCCGCCGGAGGGGGCAGGGTTGGGGGTCTGACCGCAGGCCTTGGCGGCGTTGGTGACACCGCTCTGGTAGTACATCCAGATGCCGAACTCGTTGGCGCAGGCCATGCAGGCATCGTAGCGGGTAGACCACTCGGCGGTGCTGCAGTAGCCCTCAGTGCGGCCAAGGGTGATGAGAGTGCCTGCGGGGAAGAGACTACGTTAGGCGAGATTCTCTTGGGGGAGAGGAAATACGAGCATCATTTTGTGCCTTAATCGAGGGGGGGGGGGGGGGGGGGGACAAAAGCTTACCGCAGTTCTCGTGGCAGGCGTAGCGGGGAGTGCCGGGATCCTGGCGCTTCTCAAGGGCGGGAACTCCCTCGGGGTACTCGAAGCCAATGGCGGAAACCATGGAGGCAACGGAGGCCAGGACAGTGCAGGTAACGAACGAACGCATCTTGAAGGCTATTAGGGGAGGTTTGTTTAAAGGGCTAAGATTGAGAATGCCAAAAGTAAAGATGCTATGAAGGACTGGAAGGGGGGTGAATTGTCTTAATGCCAATCAGCTAATTGATAACGAGCGTGAAGAGAGGGGAACAAACAAGAAGAAAAAGGGTTGGGAGGAGAGAGAGAGCTTATTATATGTTATGCTGCCCTTGTATTGGGATTTCCAGGAACCACGCGTGAGGCTAACTAACCTCCGGCTATATTTACCGTGTGTGTGTGGGAATCTTTGTCCAGCCGCAGTCTGTCTACCGTATCTTGGCCAGGCCAGGACCCAGTCGTAGCAGGCATGGCATGGACAGGAGAGAATATGCTTCCAAGCGAAATCGTCAAGCAGGGAGCAAACAAGGCAACGTAGGTGAGCGCCACGAGCAGGTTCGGTCTGGCCTGCTCGGATTTGCCCCGGATCGCCGACGAGATATGCCTGGAGCCCACCTTGAAGAACCCAGAAAAAAAAAGGGTACTATAGTAGTGTAATTTGGTGCCGGATGCAATAAAAAAAAAAAAGCTCGTACCAAAGATGGCTATCATAAGAGAGATCCACGATTGGGGACAAGCGTGGCACAGGTACCCGCCGAACCAACGCAACTCTAAGTGTACATACATGGTACGGATGCTACCTCAGCTAGTTGGACTCTCCGAAGACATGACTAAAGCCTTGGATGGAGTAGAGAGGAGAGGGCTGGTTGGGTTCTCGAACGCCCAACCGCTCCGCTCTCGCGCGGTCACTCTGCAGGCCAGGCGGGAATCCATTTCTGCATACTCTCCTCCTCCTCCCCCCCACACACACTCTCATCTTCTGGATTGGAAAACAGTGACCTGATGCCAAGTGTTGGAATCATGCGGTTGGCCGGCGAAGACCAACTCGCCTTCCCGAAAAGGGCTGTTCTGGCCGGTGTGTGTGTGAGTGTGAGAGTGCCAACCATCCCTCCACCCCGATATCGTCGACCTGAGCGTTTTGGCCAGGACCAGGGGTCCTTTGTGCCACTCACACTACACTATCTGGACGGTGACTGTTCGTGGCGTGAGAGGAACCAGTTCGGGATGGAACCCTTCCCCCCCTGGTATTCAGCGGGCGACTTCGGACTGGTTGGAGCATTCTGGGCCATCCCCTGTTCGGTGGAGAAGAGGATTTGGGTATGACTGTACTAAGTAGCTTTAAAGTACGATTAAATGGAGAGTGGGGCCCCTTTTACAAAGGATCTTGTGATGCATCTAATCTTATCAATCACATCAGTTAACCCGCCGGCTACACGACGTTCCCTGTTTGGGTTTATTGGCGCTGCTGCCAAGAAGCCATGGCGGGTCGTTTGGCATCGTTTTATTGGCCCAAAGGATCTGATAAACTGCACACTTTGAAAATGTTTTTCCCTTGTTCCCTTCTCGCTGCCCCCCTCCCTCCACTCCGTCTCTCCCTCTCTCTCTCTCCAATGTTGCGCAGTCTCCGTTCCCACGATCCTTTGTAACCTGCTCGGTTGCCAAGGGACGTTATCCGACGTCTAGGTTCAGTCTACATAGTATTGCAGGGGAAAAAATGGCACCCCTCGGCCGCCGAAAATTCGTATTTGCCGCCATGTAAAAAACGACCTTCCCTGTTCCACCCCTGGGCCTGGTCTCCTCCAGCCGCCCTCCCTCTCTTCTTTTGGCCGTACCTATCTGCCGCGCCAATGTTCATGTCCCGTATTTATGGATTGACTAAGTTGTGAACTTGGAGGTACATTCCAAGACTTTCCAAGAAACTCGTCGCCACATTTACCACCACCCAGATAATCTACTACGCTGCGGGATTCGGCGAACCTTACCAACAAACCCACGTTCTGGGGCGCACTATTGTGTAGATTGTGTGATTGAGTGCGTCTGAATAGAATTTTTTTCTTTCTTTTCTTGTTATTTCCCTCATAGCTTCTGAGGCGACTTTTCGCTGGAACATGTGAGGCCGAAGGTGGTTGGTTCGAGGCCAACCCGCGCGGGGACATGCAACCTCGGGAGGACGTCCCCGTATACATGTAGGGTGAACAGGATAGGACTTGCAGCAGTAGTATAAACTTGCGCCGTTTTCCCGCATTACTTCGTTCGATGTCTGACGAATACACACCCCTTAATTCATAATCTCCTCCCCCCCAGTGTGCGTTTTGGGTCTGACAAGCTTTGCGCGGCTGTGTCTCACCAAACAGAACAGAACCCTCTCTGTCTTGCCGAATATCCGACCCCTTTTTCCAAGTCTTTTTACGTCTCGACAATGTACTCCTCTTTGAAGACTATCCTGGCTTTGGGCATGGCCTCTGTGGCTTTGGCCCAGCACTCCAAGCAGGATGATGAGATGGGGTGAGTCCCGAGTCTTCCGTTTTCCGTCAACCATCGAGACGTTGGAATGCTAACGAAGTTGATAGCCCCGCCGCCTTCATGTGGCCTGCCGACAGAGTATGGAGCGGTGACATGGACAACCAGGAGCCTTGCGGCTCCAGGTCTGGTGTTGCGAACAGAACCGAGTTCCCCCTTGGTAAGTTTCAAGCTGTCACCCTGCGTTCCCATCGAGATAAATCAAGAGACGCCGGGTTATCATTGTCCTCCAACTAACACGCAACCAAAACAGTTGGCGGTAAGGTTGCTCTCGTCGCTCAGGACGACTACTACAACACCCAAATCTCCATCTCCTACAGCAACGGTAAGTTTCTTCACCACCCTGGAGCACAACAAAACGAAAAACCCTGCTTCGCTTCTCACAACAGTAACTAACAACCCCATCAAGACCCCAAGTCCAACAGCGACTTCACGACCCTCATCAAGGAGCAGAGCGTCGCGGACCTGAACCCGGGCCACACCTGCGTCGACATCCCCAACCCTCCCAGCCAAATCACGGCCGGGAGCAACGCCACGCTCCAGATCATCTACCGCGCCGACTGGGACGCCCCCCACAACCAGACCTTTTACGCCTGCGCCGACATCCGCTACGTCGAGGCCGCCAACTTCGTCACCCGCATCCCCTGCTTCAACGCCACCGAGCCCGGCGAGGACGACATCGCCGCCACCGCCAAGCCCAGCTCCTCCAGCGCCGCCGGCAACAGCGGTTCCTCCTCTTCTTCTGGAGGCGGCAGCAAGGGTCTCTCTGGCGGCGCCATCGCCGGTATCGTCATTGGCGCCGTCGCCGGCGTCGCTCTGCTCATCGGCGCCGCCCTCTTCTTTTACCGTCGCAGCCAGCAGCAGAAGCGCAACTCCCGCCTCGCCCGCATGGAGGAGAACGCGAGGAACTCTGAGCACTGGAACGCCGCCAAGGATTCTACTTCCCAGAGCAGCGTCCAGCTTCAGAACCGATAAATTCACAATGGTGAAGCGATGACCGCCTTACTCTTGAGAAATTATTGTGAGGTATTCAAAGTACGATTAGGGGTGATGAATAGGTTTTTTACTGTTACTGTTACTATTACTACTAGCAGTATGATATGATGGGAGGGGAGGGGGATATGGGCTGGACGATATGAATGACGGGAGGATCGGTTGGATTATGTGTTTATGTGCGACGTGATGATATCCTGTTCTTAGTCTAGCAATGAATTTGTGGTTTGGCTGCAAACTACATTATACTTTGAGTATTCCATGTGATTTTTTATTATATTTTATACATGTGCGTAGTGTAATTGATGACTTTAATGGTGCAATCATGAGAATTCTAGATTTGTAAATGTCAAGATGGAAGCGTTAACGGCGAATGTTTGCTCGAATACCGCCGTGTATAGGTTCTTTAGAATCTTCTGGTGACACGATACGCTAATATGCATAGAGTACAAACGATAATAAGACAATCATAATTAAATTCAGATATATTTATTCTATTGGTTCACATTTATTTGCTTAATTTGGTAATTTATATTGCGTTATTTTTTTTGTGAGTGCGGCCAACGGTCTTCACTACCACATTCAGTCATCTCTGTCTCTAGACGCAGACTGGCCCTCGACATTCTCCTTCTTATCAGAGTCAATAACGCCGTACCTGTTTTTGAGATTAGTTAAATTTCCACAAAACAACCCAAACAGCGGCCACAGATAAAAAAAAAAAAAAAAAACCTACCATGATATGATGGCCAGACCAAGGAAAGCGGCCACACAGCTGAAAAACATGGCGACATAGCCCTTGGGTGTGAATCCTTCGGGCAGTGGGCCGACGGGCTTGTTCTCGCCTGACAGATCGAGCACGTTCTTGGTATTGCCCGCGGCGTTGCCCTTGGTCGGGACTCCGCCGGCGCGACACACCTCCAGGTGTCCCTCAGGGATCCTCAGCCCCTGAAGGGCCTCGGGGGCCTCGATGATGGTGGCCACCAGACCCTGGTCCATGTGCCACTCAATGTGGCAGTGGAAGAGCCACACGCCAGGGTTGTTGGCCTTGAAGCGGATCACAAAGTTGCCGTTGCCCTCTACGACGAGGGTGTCCCGACGCATCGGGTATTTCGGAAATCCGACGCTGCTGTCGTTGGAGAAGGCGCCGGCGTCCTCGTCCGAGCGGTGCACGACCTGGAACTGGTGGCCGTGGAGATGGAAGGGGTGCTTGCCGTCGTCCTCGTTGTTGAGGACGATCTCGATCACCTCGTTGTGCTTGAGAACGTGCGAAATCGTGTTGGTGCCGTAGACCAGGGGGTTCGCCGCGTTCTTTTCCCCGACCGTCAGAGCAGTGAACAGGGAGGGGACCTTGGGCGCGACATAGGTCTTGTCATTGAAAAAGGCGCTTAAACCCTGTTAGTTGTGCGACTTTTGGGACGGATCACCATGAGACTTACTAGTTGGCTCCGTCGCCGAGATTGTCCATCTTGACGGTGAAGCTGAAGGAGTAGTCGACCTTGTCGTACAGCTCCTTGCGGTCGACCGGAACAAGGTCAAAATCGTCGAATTCGTCAAACGAATCAACGGGTGTCGGCTCGGGCAGGGGCTTCTTGTCATCGTAAACCAACCAACCAGTGACGTTGGAGTTCAACCCGTCGGGAATAACATCAAACAGCTCCTCGTCCATGGAGCCGACAATGGCGAAGTTTTGAGATGCATCCTTTTTGGTCGTCAGGAGGACACTGTAGCGCTGGGCAGGAGTGATGTAGAGCATCTCAGCCTTGGCTTTCTCGGTCCAGACGCCGTCAACCTCGACCACACGCATCTCATGGCCCTCGAACCAAATGTACTGGGACGCGAATGCACCAATGTTAACCATGCGGATGAGATAGGTCTTTCCGGGCTGGACCTTGACCTGCAGGTTCTGCGTGTCATTCATGAGAGCCGAGTTGGGAACGGGCTCAGCACCGGTGGGGTTCTCGACGTTGATGAGTTCCTTGATGAGAGATCTTGTCGACTGGTGATACCAGTCTGAGAAAGTGATGATGAGCTCTTCGTCATACTTTCCTTCATAAGGCCCGTTGGGGTCATGAATAACGACGGGACCGCGAAGACCCTCTGGGTACTGTCCATCGTTGTGGGCATGGTACCAGTACGTGCCGACTTGGTCAAACTGCAGACGTGCATGAGCATTGCATGTCTCTCGGGACTTCAAGCATAGGGTGTAAACTCACTTTAAAATCATATGTAAATGAGTGTCCAGGTGGGATAGCACATTGAGTTATGCCTACAGCACCGTCCATGTGGTTTGTGCCATTTTGGAACATGCCATGGAAGTGAAGACTGGTGCTCTGGTTACCCAGTTGGTTGTTGACATTGAGAACCAATCTATCGCCCTTGGTAGCCTCGATGAGGGGCAGCGGCCACTGTCCGTTAACACCGATGGTGGGCTTAATGAATTTGCCATCTGGGTTAGAGTTGACCCATGTGATGTTCCAGTCGAGATTGATAGTCTTTGCCAGGACGGGAGTCGTGAGTAACAACAAGGCTGAGAACCGGGCCAAGAAGGCCGAAGATGATGAAGGTGAGCAGGCCATGGCGGCCGTATTCGAATGTGTCGCCGAGGACCTTGGTTCGACTCAAAAAATAGCTTCACTAGCCTCCTTCGCTCTTCTCCTCTCAGTATTCTCCGTCTTTATCTCTCTCTCTTACACTCTCTCCCTCTGTCGTGGCCTCTGGCGTTGTCTCACTCTGCCAGTCGATGACGCAGATGTTGAGATGAATATTTCGAATATCAAATTCGATAAAAGCTTCAGCGAACCGGGCCGAGCGCGGAGGACATGGCCATGCCTAAAGTTGGGAAGAACAGACGAGAAAGGGGGGGCAAAGTACCGGGGGGTGGAGGAAGTCGGAAGCGAGACACACGTGAAAAAAAAAGGTGTCGCCTGATTGAAAATTGCGCTGTTCTTGGCCGATCTGATAAAAGGGAAAGCTCCCCATTTTTTTGGTGGGGTTCCACCTTTTGTGGAGGGTTTATCTGATCCTCCAGCGCCTGAAAACCAAACAACGCAGCAAATCGTCGCTGGGACAAACCTGTCACGCCTGTCAAGCCTGTCAGCGCCCTCCCTGCCAATCCCCCCCAAAAAAGCCCCCGTGGCCCCCTCCCATTAGCTTAGTTTTTGCGCGCTAGCCGACATCGCCAGCGCACGAAAAACGTCTGGGAAAAAACCTTTACGTCTCCGCCATCACACGACACTTACCACTACTGCTTTCTACATTCCCCATCTCTGTAGTCATCGTCGGGTTTCCGAACCCACCATATTATTTTGTATCCGTAATCCGTCCCCGACCCGACCGAAGTCGCATCTCCGCCTTGGTCATTATCGCAACCTTTAGCCTTCCTCCTTGATACACCATTAGCCAGGAGCTGTCTTGCGATGCTTTCAGACTTGATCCCCTAAATCCTCCCTCCCCCCCTTTTGTCCCCCGAATCAACTTGAGCCGCCTGGAACCAACAACGCCGACCTACTGAAGATCCAGTCTGCCAAATATCAGCTGATGCCCACCTGCGCCTGATTGGACACATTTCTCCCTGTTGTCCCCCCCCCCCGGTCGCCACTCACCACCAACAAATCTTCTTCAGCCTCCTTCACTGAGCATATCGCAACGACACGCCATGGAGGACCTCTTCTCACTCCCCAGTACGTTTCGATCAAAGGCATCTCATCAAAGTTCAATCTGCTCACGACCTTAGTCTTCTTCATCACCTTCCGCGAGTCGCTTGAGACCGCCATCATCGTCTCGGTTCTCCTTGCTTTCATCAAGCGTACCTTGGCCACTCAAGATGACCCCGTACTCCACCAAAAGATGGTCCAGCAGGTGAGCCAACTCTCATCATTTTCTCACAGCGTTCCTCGTTTCTCATCTTTGTAGGTCTGGTTCGGCACTGCTGCCGGTCTCGCCACCTGCACCCTCATCGCCATCGCCATCATCAGCGGTATCCACAGCCTAGGTGCAGAGCAGTTCGCCGCCGCCGAGAGCATCTGGGAGGGTGTCTTCTCCCTTGGCGCTTCGCTCATCATCACCGCCATGGGCGCCGTTCTCCTCCGTGTGACGAAGCTCCAGGATAAGTGGCGCGTGAAGCTTTCCAAGGCCCTGAACGCCAGCGAAAGCCATTCTGGCCCTTTTAGCGAACGCATCAAGTACCTCGGCGAGAAGTACGCTCTCTTCCTGTTGCCTTTCATCACCGTTCTGCGAGAGGGCTTTGAGGGTGTCCTTTTCATCGTCGGTGTCGGAGTCAGCATTCCCGCCTCATCAATTGCCCTGTCGGCCGTCCTCGGCCTTGCACTTGGTGCTGTTGTCGGATACTTCATCTACAAGTGAGTCTGGCCGCACGCCGCATCCAGGGCTTGTTTCATGCATGCTAATTTGATTTATTAGGGGCTCCAAAACCGCACCCATTCACCTCTTCCTCATCGTCTCCACCTGTTTCTTGTACCTCATCGCCGCCGGTCTTTTCTCCAAGGGCGTCTGGCACTTTGAGCAGAACGAGGTAAGACGCTTTCCGTGAGTGAATAGTTCACAAGCTGACCAGTTGTAGTGGAACAAGATTGTCGGCGGTGATGCCGCGGAGCTCGGCTCTGGCCCTGGCTCTTATGACATCCGTAGAAGCGTTTGGCACGTAAACGTAAGCGCAGGCCCCCTGTTTGACCCAACATGTATAATTCTGACACACATCGTAGTGCTGCAACCCTGACCTCAACGGAGGTGGTTTCTGGGGTATCTTCAACGCCGTCCTCGGCTGGCAAAACTCTGCCACCGTCGGCTCCGTCGTGTCCTACAACCTTTACTGGGTCGCCGTCGCCACGGGCTTCTTCTACATGATTTGCAAAGAAAAGGGCTACTGGCCCTTTTCCAAGAGCGCCAAGGAGCAGGAACACGAGGGCGACGACCAAGAGCCTCTTCTTAGCAGGCCTGCGAGGTAAGATTGGCAGTGTCCACCTCCCGAGTTCCCCCGAAGAGGACGCCGGCCAAGGATGGTGAAAATCACCTGGTCTGACGCATAGCTTCCTCGACCGAAAGAGGAGAACAAGTCTCCCAAAGGCGACCACACATTGGACCGCGTCGAGGGGTGAAGTCCGAAGGCGCCTTTTGCAGAGGAGAAAGAAAGAAAGAATTAAAGAAAGAAATGAAACATGGCATTATCTTGTACATAACACAACTATGTACCTGATCATTTTAGATTTTGATCGCATATACCTGACCTTACTTTTATAGACTTTTATCACTTGGACTTGGAGATGTCACTTCCGCGCAACGACCAGCGATAAACAGACAAAAGTCGCACATAGCGTGACCGGCACTGATTCGCAACTTCACCTCAAGCGTAGAACGCACCGTAATTAGCACCAGGCGTTTCCCAGTCCTCGGCTTTTCGTTTCTTTAATGTTGTATTATTATTGTTAGCTACCTTGGCCCAATCACACACATGTAACAACAACAAGCCTCAATAACATATTCATATCATTCACGTCCCTCATAAAGGGTAGTAAAACTGCTGGTTCGCCGAATTTCCGTAAACGGCGTTCCTAAGCGGACTCTCGAAAAGTTCTCGGATTTCATCGACGCTGTAACCGGCGTTAATAGCCAGCTGTAGCATGATACGAGCTTGTTCGCCGCCAACGTAGCTGGAGTAGATACTAGTCATAGATTCAAAGTTAGCATCTAAAGACTCAAACTCTAAAAGTCTAAAAAAAAAAAAAAAAAAACCCGCAACGGCAAATCGATCGCCCTCGTGCACAGACAGACAGACAGACAAAAAACCACTCACAGCGGTCCGGAAATAGGGCTGGGGACCCCAGAGCCGGTGACCGGCCTCGCGACCGAGACGGTAGGGATTCCCTGCCGCTGCAAGAGATCGGCTGCCGCGGCTCTAGCGCTGGGGCTGACGGACGCCGCACCCGGTCCCATGATCACCAGGCCCCTTTTTACACGTGGTACAACGTCAGCGCCTTTTTTTTTTTTTTTTCTTTTTTTCTGTGTCTAGGGGTCAGGGAATTTGCTTGATTGCGGACTTACTTTGCGCCGTTCTGGACGGCGGCGTACATCAACGAGGCGTCGAAGCCCTCTGCGGCTTTTCGTCAATATTATGCTCGCTGTCTGTGACTCTTCTTTTTCACTTACGATGACCGTAGACGATGATGACTGCTGGGAGCTCCGTCGTGTTGGCGACGTCGAAATGGGGACGTCCGGTCGGGTACGCCGCGTCGAAAAAGTAATACGGCTGACCGGCGAGGAAGGCCCCGAGGTTACCTTGCTCGAGAGCCTTGAACGTGTCCGGGGTATTCGCGTTGAGCTTGGTCGAGTAGTATATCGACGTGATTCTTTGATTTTTTGAGACATTAGAGGAGGGGCTCAACGTTTACAAAACTATGGGACGAAACTCACCTGTCGTTGAACGCGATGAGACCGCCGCGGTTGCGTGAAGCCGGCGACGCGGCCGCGGCGACCGCTTGGTAAAAGTTGGAGCGGCCATCCGGCGAGATGTAGGTGTCGGGTCGCATTGCGCCGGTAGCCACGAACGGCTTCGAGCAGTTGAACGTCAGGTCCACGCCGAAAGCCTAGATCGCTCCGGTCAGTTTTTTTTTTTTGTATAGTTCCGCCCTGGGATGAGCGGCGGCGAGGTGAACATACCGTCTCCTCCAGGGTGTTGGTGCCGTGGAACATGATGGCCCCGGCAATGTCGCTCCCCTCGGCGCAGAGTTGTTTGTTGGCGTACTGGCTGATGTTGAGGTACAGCGAGGAGTTGAGGCCCGCGCTACCGCCCGAAGCCGGGAACTTGACAATGGCGAGCTGTGCGACGCTGAGGACCTCCGAGACGTTGCCGATGAGGTCTTCGGGCGTGGGCGCGGCCCCGGAGCCGTAGGCTATGTTGTCGAGACGGCTGTAGTTGGATGCCGAGAGGATGGTTCCGCCGGCGCTGTAGATTCTTTCCAGGGATCAAAGTTAGCTGGCTGTGCAATCTTGCGAATGGCGTTTGCTCTTGACGTACACGACCTTTGGTAGCGACGAATCGGTCGAGATCCATTCCAAGTCCCAGTCGTTCTTGGTCTCGTTCGGCCGAGCAATGGGAGTTGCGGATGCGACTGTTGCCAATACCGCTGCAGCGGCTGCGAAGTACCGGGATAACATCTCGACAGCTGTAGATCGGAACTATGCGATGAGACGGGCGAGTATCTAATGGGTGAAATGAAGAAGGTCGCGCCAACACCCCGCTCTTATATACACGATCATGGCGGAGATAAACACAGATTCTCCATTCACCTCTGTGTGCTCATTCAGAATGTATCATTTCCATGACTAGCACCTTGATAGAGCATCATCACGCATGCGTCTAACTGAGGTCGGCGTTCAACCTGCAGTGTAACTCCTTCATGCTCCAGAATTAAAAAACATCTCACGGAGACTCTCAATCGTTTCCCCACCGTCTTATCTCGGCGTCCCGTCGTCACGGCCAAGTTGGCGGTGTCGGACTGCCAGGGACTCGAAGCTTGGCATTACCAAAAAGAGACGGGATTCGTCGTTCGGAGCTTTCGGGTCTTGGCAGATACGGCACGATATGAGCGTAAGGTATACGATGGAAACCTCTTTGAAATAAACGTAGTCTTATCGCAGTTGTTCCGATATCAGTATCCATGCGAATCCATCAGCCGGCTGCAGCGTGCTTTAACCCGTGTTAGTATCGGGTGCTGCCCACATGGCGCGAGCCTGCGCGGGGTATGAGCGGGGAGGGTGTGCTTGGTGGCTGTACCTCCTAGCATATGCATGGGGATTAATGACGTTGATGGGCAGTTTGGGCCAGTATGCAACAAGAGCTTTGGTGCGTTGTTTTCTCTCCTTGCCTGTTATCGGCTTTTCTTGATTACTTGTTTACCTGAAGGAAGCGGTGAAGCAGCTGATAAAGTGTCAACATGTTGGTAAGGTAAGGATCGTTGAAAATGAAAAGTCGGAAGTGCAATCAAGTTGTGTTACCGGGCCAGGCGAGATCTACGCTGTTATCCATGCAGAGTGGGCACTTGATAGACAGGGGCATTTGAATCTGCAAAGGTAACCCAAAGTGACGTTGGCCTAGACAGCCACGGTGGATAAAACGCTTCAAAGCAGGCCGAGGTAAACGTGGAGGTCATTGCCAGGCTTTCATTGGGTCCAATGGCGTGTATATCTCCCCCGGTATCTATTAATACGATTTATTATTTTTGAGTTTATCTTACACTAACACCCTAGTCCTATGGTATGTCGTCAAATACGTGTGCCCCAGAGCTGCAACCCGTACACGTCAAATACCAACCCCACGCCTTGTCAAGAGCCGTAAGAGGCACAGTCCTCCTCTCACTCGTGAAAAGATGAAGCAGTGAATAAGACATGTTCATCCCGCCCACTACGCTCGCCAAAACATCGATTGCCTCCTGCACAATGTCCGGGTCTTGGCACTTGTACAGAACAAAAGCTATCGGCCGGGTAATGGAGTTCTCCCTCTCCAATGTCTGAAGACCGTTGAGAGCAGAATCTCGCACCATTTGCGCCGACTGGCGTATGAGATCCCGGTAAATCGGCGTCACGTCCGGCAACACGTTTGAATCTTGCTTATGGCGGAAATAGAGCGCTGAGAGGGTTTCGATGTACAAAGACTCGAGGATCATGGCCTGCGACCACCTCGCACCTTGCGTGCTTCTGCAGTGCTTGGCTTCCCGTAGCAACGGCGTGAAGGAGGAGTACCACGTTTTCATGAGGTCTGCGCATTCGACGAAGGCGGCTGTCCTCTGGTCCTCGCTGACCTCTGGGAATTTGAGGCAGTGGAGCGCGTGTACCATGTTATGCTGCATAAAATGCCACCAGGTGGTTGCCTGGTGTGTGCTGGTAAAGCGCTCTGGTATGTCTATCATTCTGAGTCTATGTCTGCATCCGTGGGGAAAGTCTCGCGCCGGGGAGGTGGTCTTGACTTGGTCGCCTTTTCCAAAGCCCAGAACCCAAGGAAGCGTGTTCATCCGTTCTAGCGAATCAAATAATGCTCTTTCCATACCTGAGAAAGCCAAGTTTTCAAGGGCGACTCCCTCCTCTTCCATCCGCAGGTCGAGGTATTGTTTCATTATGGCGACCGCATAGTTGTGATGTTTGAAGGCAACATCCATATTGCCAGCCATGAACTCAAAAGTGGTGAAAAGAAGCGAAGCCAGGATGGCACTGGGTAGGCTGATCGTGGTCGGTTTCATACTGAAGACGGCGCGAACCCCACGGCCGTAATGTTCTAATGCGGAGTGGTAGTCCTCATTGATCATGCTGTCACGAACTACAGGATGAAAGGATTTTTGTAGAGCGCCAATGCCACAACACATCTGACGGATGGCGCTTGAATGAGCTGCAGTTTGTGCATACTGAGGCGTCATGCTTGATGTGTCGTCGTGCAGAAGAGTGTCCCCTGCTTCGACGGTGAAGACGAAAGACTGAAATGACTCCAAGTCCTTCTGGTGGCAGAACAGCATCGTTTCGTAGCCGGGGATTTTGAATAACCGAGAATCCTCAGCGGGTACAATTCGTTGGTTTTTGCGAACAATCACCTGCGACTGGCTCCCCGGTAGTGTCCGAGAGTTCGAGTCCAGGTACCCCTCGCAGACTCGGTTGGACTTTACGCATCTCATGCAGTACGGCCGGGCTTGGTCGCACCTAATGTGTCGTCGCCTGTACTGTTATGTGAGTACGAGGGTCCCAGTTGGGGAAGGGACACGTGGGAAAGGGAAAGCTGGGGGGGGGACCTATGCACACAGACGTACCGGCATTCTTTACACCCATTACGACTTTTTGGGGCGCTGGCTCGACTTTGTTTAGGGCGATTGGACAGTGAAAAGACCAGGACCTGGCTGCTTCTTGAGAACCTAGTAGCTCGCCCGTATTGTCAGTAACTCTTTCAACCAAGTTTCTGATCAGTCACACCATGTACTTTAGGGCGTTTACTTGATTTAGCTAGAACTGTGGAGTTCAAAGGCCGACATGAGACTTTGACATGACTAGATCATTTCCAATGCAAGCATGGAGGTTTTCCAACAAAATTACAGAAATACACATACCCTTCATCTGAGTTGCTCTCAGAACTTTGAGAATGTGAACGCGGTGATATCCGACTATTCCGGCTCCTGCGGGATACCGCCTGATCTGAAGAGACATTCATACTATAAAGTCCGCGCGAATGAAGAGTATTCGAAAATGGTAGAGCGGTGAGAAACTTTTATCAGTAGATAGTCAAACAAGATGAGGCAGCCAAAGCAAAAAGAAAGACAAAAAATATTGCAAAGTTTGAAGGCTCAAAAATGTGCATCTGATGCTGACAGGATGACATTGAAGTCATGTCAAGCCCCTAAAATGTTATCCTCAACCCCGGGTCATCGACAAAGACCGAGGCGGATAATGCCGCAAGATGAACAGTCTGGACGCCTGGGGTACGAATCCTCCAACCGTTGCCCAATCACGACTCTCCTTTTAGCGAAACTTCCCGCTTGAGTAGCCAATGAGAAGCTTGGATACACGTATTTCCTATTCGGGAATCTCTCCGAGTTGGAACGTTCCATCATCGTCGTTAGTTTAAATCAGCCCCAAAAAAAGTTTACCAATCTCCTGGGCCTTATATTAACTAGGCTGACGTATTTGAAGCCTGATTTCGGGTCGCAACAAGCCGGACCAATTAACGCATGAGATCTGTCATCGACGGCATCCTTCTGCCAACTCAGGTATACGTTGCCGGGGTCCGCACGGCTAGGCCCTATGGCTGGAGACTGCCCTAAAAGGGAGCCTAGATACAAAAGTCCAAATTGACAAATAAGTGTCAGCGCTAGTTCTTAATCATCGGAGGATTCAAAGACTGTTGGTTGGTTCCTGTTAACTGGAGGTTGCCTGTCAACAAGGCTAATCCCTAAACACAGCTTCCCGACGGTTGATGGTAGGCAGTGAGTTGCTTCCTTCTACTGACAAACTGATTTCCGTCTGCTTCCAGCATAGAGGAATAATGTGAAAAGTTTTTTTCTGGTTAAGCAGAGATTATTTCTCTACACTCTGTTCTTGATCCGTTTCCCACCGTTCCGACTTGTTAAATCGTTTTCTTATCTCTATTAGACATGTTTAAAATATCGAACGATTATGAAAGACTCAAGGAAGATCAACGCAAAATCAAACACAAATATTTTCAGGCCCTCAAAAGTTCCTACAAAAGTGCAGAGCAAAAACTGGACTCAAGCGGCTTGGCCGGATAATTGTGTTTCAACCTCAATGTCAGAGACGCGGACACTACGGAAGGGAAGGCCGGGCCCGGGGCCGAGGGACCACCGGCGGGGCACCGGTAGAGCACTAGCAGGAATTACAATAGTCTGCACGAGGGATAAAGGGACGTGCCTAGGAAGGTTTAGAGGAGGTAGATTCGAATGATAGTGTTGCGATAGTTGGAATACGGAGCCGTGTGGCACTTCCAGCCACACGCCCGCCAGGCTGAGAGGCCCAAGCCTCCCAGACCCACGTGACAGGCCAAGGGGGAATATCCCCACCTTCTAGTCAACAACACCACTTTCAACTATCATCATGAACCATCGATTAGAACCAATTTACTGTTATTTGTTATTGACGAACGGAATTCCGTTTCACCCCCTGTTTCACCCCCTGTGAAACCTACAGATAGTATAATCTACCCCCTACGTTGTGTTGTTGTTGACTCTTTCACTCTGTGCGACACCCAGCCTGACAGGCACACATCCCTCAGCAAGGTTAGCTACGAGCCTAAGAAGGCCAAGGAAGAACTTGAAGTCGAATTTACAAACAGACTAGGAACGTTTTCAAAGCGGGATATCGTTGTTTATTCCGACGGTTCCCAAATGACGGATGGAAGCAGAACCTCTGCTGGAGCAGGCTGGGTAGGGTACCAGGCCGCACGACAGATCTTCCGAGGATCTGAACCGCTCGGTTCCCAGGCGGAGGTCTTTGACGCGGAGGCGCAGGCTGCATATCGGGGCCTGCTGGAAGCCGTAAGGTGTCCCACGGCCCGGATGGCAGACAATGTTCACATCTGCCTCGATAACCTCGCAGTCGCGGCTCGACTCATTTCTCAGAGCGCAGGAAGCAGCCAGGCTAGATTTAGCGCCTTTACTAGGCTCTCTTCCTCTTGGACACAGAGATAACGGACAAGTTGGACGATCCCCGGCAGGGTGTATATATGGTGGTGCCCTGGTCACATGCGAATACCAGGAAACGAGGAAGCAGACGCTCTAGCCAAGGCAGCCTGCAAACAGATCCCAGACTCACTGCCGCAGCCTACGTTAGCACATTTGAAGAGGCAGTCTAAAGCAGTTGCTCTCCAAGCTTTTACTAGGATTTGGCCGTCACTCTGCCCCCGGCAGTATGCTGACCTTGGGATAGTCCCACATCCCAAGCCCCCCCGAACTTCGCCTTCCTCGGCATCGGCTAGGTAGGCTGTATGCAGCAAGATCCCATCACGGAGACTTCGCAGCCTACCACGAGAGATTTGCTTACCAAGACGCACTGCTCAACTGCAGCTGCGGAAGACGTAAAAGCCCAGTACACTTCTACTTCTGTAAGCATAGCCGGAAGGCGACGCCGCGCCATCTCCGCCAACGTATGGCGAAAGCAAGCATTGATTTTCTGCTAGGTTCCGCAGAGGGAGCCTCCCTTCTATGCGAATGGATGCAGGCGACCAATTTCTTCTCTGAAATCTGCCCGACCCATTGAACAAGCACGTTAGGTGAAGACGGTGGCCTGTAACACAGTTTAGATTAGTATAGACTGTGTCGGCATTGCCCGACACGTCCCTCGGCACTCTGGACGTATAATACATCATCATCATCATCATCATCATTGGAGGAATTGGTGATCCACCCCTGAAGGATCACCTGAGGGATAAGTGATCCAAGGACAATATGTATATAGACCAGGACTCAAGCCTAGGGCTTGAGCACTTCTCATAGTTCTTCAGCCATCAACTTGTGATTCATCCCTGAATGACTTCCAGCTTATTACACAGTGTTGTGTGATTTTGCTATCTCGTTACCTAATGTAAGACTGATCACCTTACTGTAGGTTTCACAGGGGGTGAAACGGAATTCCGTTCGTCAATAACAAATAACAGTAAATTGGTTCTAATCGATGGTTTATGATAGTTGAAAGTAGTGTTGTTGACTAGAAGGTGGGGATATTCCCCCTTGGCCTGTCACGTGGGTCTGGGAGGCTTGGGCCTCTCAGCCTGGCGGGCGTGTGGCTGGAAGTGCTATACGACTCCGTATTCTAACTATCGCAATACTAGAAACTCTCTTTTTATAGTGTTGAAGCGGTTAGAATACGTTATCCCTATATAGTTCCGTCTCCTTGTCAATTCGGCCTCCTATCCCTACTTTCTCCCGTAGTTACGGTCTTATTACCTATCCCTCTATACGTATCGTTATCGTATTGCTATTAACGAATCTCTCGAGGGCTCGATTTGGTTTGCTCTTCGTAAAAGCATTAGTAAGGTTGTCTTCGCCGTTAATTTAACGAATTTCTTATAGTTCTCGTCTTTCGTACGATTATCTTAACGCTATGATATCGATTATAAGTCGCTTTTCTTTAGTAATGCCTAGCTTTACGAGATACTCGTATAGCGAATAAGAATCGGTATAGATAACTATCTAAATCGTTAGTAGGTTAAGGTAGTTAGTAATTATCGCTAGGGTTATAGCGAAGGCGTAGGCTATATCGACGCTAGCAACTATCCCGTAGATCTCTAACGCTAATACGCTATAGGTAACTTATTTACTTTTCGTAGAGCTATAATAAATAAGGTTACCGTAAATCGTAAATTCTCCGTTATTACTATTAGAAGAAGTATCGTTAGCTAGGATGATTAGAAACCCTAATTAGGAGGAAAGGTCGTAGTTATTAGCAAACGACCTATTAACGAAAACGAATAGCTTAGCTATTATAAGGTCGAGTAAGATAAACGTTATTCCTCGGTTAGGCGATTCTATTTACTATCGAATCTATTAATTTAGTACTTTTATCGCTTCTAGCAAGGGGTCTTAGTATTAGGTAGTAGTAGATAAATCGAAACAAGCCTCGGGTTAGTAAATTAACGCGATATACGCCCTTCTAGCGCGTTGTTCGACATATTGCTATTTTAGGTTAGGTTTAGTAGTCTTAATATATCGTAACTTCTTAGCTTGTCTTTTTTACCTTAAATTAATCGAATTATCGGTTAATAGCGCGATTATCCCTCTATTAAATTAGAAGGGTTTGTTAATTATAAGGATATTCTTCGCTTTTACTATAAAAGCCGCTTTTTCTAACTATTCGTCTTCTAATTATAAAAACGCCTTGTCTAACAAACCGAGGGTATCGTCGGTTTATATACCGATATAGCTAAAGTATAGATTTTCGGTAGATAAGATTAATAGGTATAGATCGTACGAAGAAGTAACTATCTAGAGATTCTCTCTATAATGCTTATAATACGTTGCCTACTAGTAGGTTCTAGCTTCTGCGATTCCGTACAAAGGCTTTATAACCTTTATAATAGTCCCTTTTAGGTACTAGTCTTGAATTTGCTTCGGTAGGTAGGCGAGAATAGTACGATTAAGCCTTATAGAGGATTAAACGTAGGCTTATATAATATCTCGAAGCTATAGTTATTTCCCTTCTCGTAGGAGTAACAAGGTAATTAATAGAATTAGCTATTAACTTGCCTGCTAAATCGTTAGCGATTAGGTTAATATAGCCTTCTTACTATCGTCGGCATAACCTTATATTATAAGTCTCGATTTCTCGTAGGGTTTAGTTATTTTACCTTTGACTTTGTTAACGATACGAGATCGGAAGATTCGTACGTTCTAATACCTTCTCTTATTAAACTAAGTAAATTTAAATACTCTTCTAGCAATAAGGCTATTAATCTCTTATTTAGTTAACTATTCGAACGGTTTGCTTAGTATAGTAATAATACCTTCTTATTATAGTTTGATTACTAATTCTTCGTCTACTTACTCCTTAATCGATAGGAATATTTATTAATAATCTAGGTTATCGTTAAATTCCTTTATAAAGTAGGCGATTAGTAGTAGTCTCTTCTAGGGTCTGCCTAGGCGTCTTCTCGGTAGCTCTAGTACCTCTTATAGTTCGTCCGGTTTACTACCTCCGCTAGCGACGATAATTTCGTCGCGTACTACTTCCTACTACGGTATCTTAGCTTTAGGTTCTTCTTCTTCTAGCGCGGCGATGGAATTAAGTAGTTAATCGGGATCTTCGTAGTATAGTTTAACTACGGTAGACTAGAAGGTCTTCGGACTATATAGCGTATCGATAGTATAGGTTTCGCCGTTTATAGCTACTAAAGTAAACGGTCTAGTCTAGCCCTTCTTTTCGCGCTATACTTATACTTACGACCGTAGTAGTAAATTAACAATTAGCCTTATATTAAGGCTATTACGGGTAGCGATAGCTTCTGCTACCTATCGCCTTACATAAAGTTTATATACTTCGCTCGTCGCCTTCTTAATCGCTTTCGCCTGCCTTATAACTTTAGGAGATAGTAGCGAATCGTTAGTAATTCGTAAGTACGAGCCGAATACTAAGAGTATTAGTACTATTCCGTTTAGGCTAGCAGTATCGTTAACTGCTTTAACTACTATTTAAAGTATTAATTCTAGCGTAATTATTAAGTCTTCTACTTTGATAATTTCGTATGCCTTCCTTAGAGGTATATAGTATCGTTTAACTTTCCTAATACTATTATAAGCTTCTATAGGAATTTCCTTGATTTTAATTGCTATTCCTCTCGCCGCGTTTCGGAATTCTATTAAGCGGAAGTTTATTCTAGCGTCGGTAACTAGCTAGTCTAGGGGTCCTTGATATATATCTATCTAGCAGAGGCGTAAGGCTTCCTAAGTAGCTTTCGTAGAAATATCTTTAAGGAACCGGGCGGCGTTAAACGCTATAGCGGTATCGACGACGTAGAAGACCGGTCTATTACCCTTAAGGTATATTACGTCGGCGATAACCTTATAGTTAAATTCGTAATCGTCTCGTAACGTAAATTTAAACCGTAATAACGCTAGTACGTATATTTAGTATCGATAATAGACTTTCGATAGTTGCTTAATTGCCGTAATTTCAACTAGGTAGCTAGCCTTCTAAAGCACCTTATATAATCGTTAAATAGATAGGTATCCGAAGCGATAGTAAACCCGTCGCAATTTAGTATCTATAAGGTAGTTCTAGGCGAGTAGTTTCTCCTTATCGAGTAATAACTATAGGTAGCCTTATTTGCGAATAATAGGTACGACCTTGTTTCCTTAGATAAGGGTATTCGTAACGTTGTTAAAGTAGACTTTTAATCGGTCTATATCTCCTAGGCATATAAGGAAGGGAGTATTAGTCTTAATAACGTAAAATTTAACGCTTCTAAACGGCGTTAGTACTTTAGTAGTCCTTATAGACTCTAGTAGTATCCTATCGCCGAATTTTACTATAACGCCGCTAGCCGCCTTAGTATTTAACGTAATTCCTTCGTAAATTTATTATAAGGCTACGAATTATAGGTAGCTAGCGGTTAAGAATCCTACTACGCCCGAGTCGGGCATAATCCCTTAGAAGTTCTAGGTAGAGTAGCGTCCCTCGAGTATGAATTGCGAAGGTAGCTTTTTCGGTTCTAGTTAGTTGCGGAAGAAGTCTTCTTTCGTAATAGCATAGCGGGTTAACTAGTCTGCTAGGATCGTAGCGATCCTATTGCCGTTAATTGCTATTATAGTAAAATAGGCGGTAACCTAGAATTAACTATCGCTGCCGGTCTCTTCTTCTTCGTTACCTTTACTAGTTTGTTTAGTTACGTAGTAGTATTACTAGGGGTCTTCGGCGGTAGGTTATAAGTCTAACCCGTCGAAACCCTCGTATTAGACGAGAAATTAGCTATATGCTAGAAGTAACGTATCCTAGGTATATTAGGTAGTTTTAAACTTCTTATACGCTTTTCGTCTCTCTTCTATAGTATGTTTAGTTAACTAGTAGTTAGGTTTTCTATATACGTAGTACTTCTTAGGCGTTAGCAGTAATAGGGGTTTATTACGGCTTCTTCCTCGTAATAATCGACTTCGTAATAAACGACTATATCGTAAATAACGCCCTCGACCGTTAAAAGTTCTATCGGTCTAGTACTACTCTAGTAGGTTAGCTACTATATTAAATTGTTATTAGTTAAGACAGGTAGCTATCTCGATCGACGAGATTAATTAGCTGCAAAGTCCTTTGTACGTCTTAGCCGGTATAAATAACGCTATTATATACTTTAGAATATCTTTATAAGCGTATAGAAGTTAGGTATAGAGGGATCGGTCGTTATAATCCTGTTATAGCAAACCAGGCTAAATCTTGCTTAATTTATTATATAGTATATTAAAATACTCCGATTTAGTCTTTCTAAGGTTATCGCGAATGATTTAGGGAAGAGTAGTTATATTCTACTACGTAACGTACGCTTATTGCCTTTCCCTAGTCTCGAAGTATGATTTTAATTAGTTAATTATAGTCTCGAAGTTAGGCTATAGGTTAATTACTTTAATCGAGGCGTAGAAGTAGGTTTTAGCTATTCCTTTTAGTATTAAGGGAAGTACCTTGTTATATTAGGAG